CTGAGACGTATCTTAATCTCAGAACCATGCACTCAAATTTGCAACCATCTTTGGCAGCACCTATGTCTGTGAACAGACTTTTCCCCAAATGAAACATCTGAAATCTCCAACCAGATCCAGACTAACTGATGAACACTTGCATCACTTGCTACGACTAGCAGTGACAAATACGGAACCGGATATTGACCGTCTCATTTGCCAAAAGCAGGCCCATACTTCCCATTGAAATACTTATTGGTCTGACACAGTCAAAATAATTTTTTAAAAAATTACATATAAGTTTATGTTGATTAAAATTGTTCTTCATTTTAAATATTGTACTTTTCCTGTTTTTTGTGCACTAGAAATAAAATATGTGCAGTGTGCATAGGAATTCGTTCATATTTTTTTTATAGTCCGACCCCCAACAGTGTCTTATGGACAGTGAACTGGCCCTGTTTAAATAGTTTGAGGACCCCTGTCTTAAGTGAACCTGACTTTTCTGTGTAATAAGCACAAATCACACACACAAAAATGCCATTTTTGAGCTATTTTAAGGGGAAATTGGCAAAATCGGCACTGCTGACATGGGCAGCCATATGTTCAGATTTTCCCAGACATTTAGCTGATTTCCACTTGGATGCTGCTGATGAATGCGGTATTCTGTATATGTCCGGGAAATTCCAGATATATGGCAACCCTAGCAAAGCATTTGTGGGTGGCAGTGGGTAATGCTGCTCCCCCTTCACTTTACTCTTTCGCTTGCAGACCCAGACCATAATCACATCTTCCAGCTTGAAAATAGCTTCTTGTCCACAGCCAGGTAAAATCACTTATCGGCACAGAAGCATTGAAAAAATGCTTCCCCTTCCTCCCCATTTTTAGGTTGCAGGTCAGCCAGCTAGCCAATTTCTCTTGGGGGGGTCTAGCAATTTTGCAAATGTATTTGTAAGACTACAGGCAACACTTACTGTGTCCTTTCATTTCTCTCACCTTTTTTGCAGCTGTATATAGGGCTGTTTCCACAGCGTTTCAGCTGCATGAAAGAAAACAGTATCCCAAAAAAACAATATTTAAAAACCCAGAGAAGTATCAGTGGTTCAAAAGCCAGGAGCAGTTTGGAGGATGGAACTAAAATCATATTTTAACAGGACATTGGGCTGCTCAACTGCAAAATACTAAGTGTGGGGGGGGGGGAGAGTACCTATTTCTACTCCAGTTTCAAACAAGTACTACAGTGGCTCAGCCACATGGTGTATTCCATGGACCACGGACGCAGAGTAGTACAAAGAGACTGGAGTAGCAGTACAGTGGTACCTCTGGTTGCGAACAGGAGGCCCGTTTGCAACATGAAAAGAGCACAACCCGTAGCAGCGCGTCTGTGCGCGCGGGAGGGTTACGATTTGGTCTTCTGCGCATGCGCATGATGTCATTCTGTGTCTCTGCACATGCGCGAGCGGCGAAACCTGGAAGTAACCCATTCCAGTACTTCCGGGTTGCCGCGGGACATAACCTGAAAGAACGTAACATGAAGCAAACGTAACATGAGGCATGACTGTATTTGGTAAAATGAACACCACCACTCTAAATCCAATTTGGGTAGAGAAGCAGCTATGTATATTGCTTCAATAGATTGAAAGCTTCTTCAGGAAACAGGATCAAAATCCCACCCCTACCCCATTTGAATAAGAACAAAAAATAATAGTAACTTTCTCTCAAAAGAATGAGGGCAGTGTCTGCTTGTCAAATTTCCGAACCTCTAATGTGAAAAAAGAAGCAGCAGCATAATTATACAGCCCACGCAGGACATAAGTGCTTTTCCCCCTACAAACTTTTTTGATGTGAAATGACAGCTTACATAGAACTTGGAACAAAGCTGCTATATAGAGTTAACATTCCCAGCTGCTGCCAGCACTCTCAACGTGCGCATACCTAATTGAAAAGCAGTGCAGTGATTCATCTGGCTGTTCTACTTCCTTTTATCACTAAACACGCGTAGGGCTGCACTGTTAAAAGCAGGGATAGTTGGTACTTAAAAAAATCCCAACAATAATATTTGTTGGGAATTTTAAATACATTATCCTTCATTATTTTTGTATGCTGCTAAACATGGTTCTGAGGTTACGGAGTGGCAATGGGAAAGTGCTTTGTTTTTTTAAAAAAAGGAGAAGTGTGTTTTAGGACATTCTTTCTCTCTTTCGTTGGACTGACACAAGGAACGTCCAGTATGCGATGAACAGATGGTGCTCACTGCCATAAGCTGTCCTCCCTTTACTGGCAGGAGTTCTGGACTTCTATAACAGCTGAGAGTGCCAGGCAGAAATCCTGCAGGTGAATCTCCCCACACTGCTGAACTGAAGTTATTTGGTTGCAGATAATGTTAAAAGTGGAAGGAGGACCAGAGCTCAGTGGTTAAAGCACATCCTTTTGGATGCAAGGAGCTCAATCCAGGTTAGATCTTGGGGAAAGAATGCAACTCAGTGGCAGAGCATCCTCTCTGCATCCAGAAGGGCACCAAGGTTCAACCCAGGTAGGTCTGAGCCAGTCACCTTCCTGGAACCCTCAAGAGCCTCTGACAGTCATAGACAGTTCTGAGCAGATGCAGATTTAGGGGAGCGCAACTGGTTCGGTCTTACTGGGTGCGAAGCCTCGAGGATGCTGCATATATGATGTACATAGAGAGAGAGATTATAAAAAAAAAACTTTATTTGCATTAGCCAATGGCCATAGCAACAGTAAAACATTACAGTATACGCAGAAAAGGAAATTTGATATAAAAGCACAATTTAAAGTCCTGAATATGATGTACATAAAGTGGAAGGCAAGAAGTGGAGGGAGCTGAATTTTGGCAGCCCACAAGGGCGCTGCTGTCCCCAAGGTCCACCACTGTACTGAGCTAGATTGTCCCGTGATCTGGCTCTGCATAAGGCAGCTTCTTAGATTACTTAAATATTTCCCCTTTTCAGCATTGTGAAGACTAGAGTCTAAAATTATCATTTAAGGGGTGTATGCTGGTGCGTCACAGGTTCGGTTTCCTGGATCTCCAGGTAGGGCTGACCTAGGTGGGCCAGAGATCTGACTCGGCCTAAAGCAGCTTTTAACACCCCCTCCCCAGCCTGAAACTCTTGAGACGCACAATCCTGTTAGTACAGACAGTCCTGAGCTAAGTGGACAAAGTATCAACCTAAGAAGTGCACCTTGCGTTTCTAGAGGCGCTTTGCTTGAGAGCTGCCACAAGGGGTGCCAATTTGAATAAAATGCGGCTGGCAGCAGGTAAGCCCTGTCCCACATAATCAATCACATGACACAGCACACACACAATTTGAATGGTAATGCCCATCAATGGGGGGGGGCTACCCCCCTCATATATTTTATTGGGAGGGGAGATCTCTCGTTGGTCCGTAGGAGTCGGCTTCTATGGCAAGGTGGCTCTGATGCGCGGTTAGCCCCTTACACTAAAGGAAAAGCCATACACTCACAACGCTATGCAGCTCTCCGCTGCATAAGGGCCAAATCAGACTGGAGACGTCTTGCAGGCCTCCCCTGAAGATCCAAGCCTATGAAAGATCCTCTCTAGTGCGTCCTCTCCCTAACACCAACCTGTCCCCAAGCCTGATGCAAAGAGGGGTTCTCTGGCATGTGTGTCTCCAGCATTATGCATGAACAGGAACAGCGTTCCGGTTTAAAGCCAGTGGCGGTGCAGTGACTATGGCTTTGTCTCGCATACAGGTGAAAGTGCAAAAGTTCATCAAGAAGTTTCAGGTCAATATCTTCTGGGTAGATATTCCATCAACAGTTCTACACCTTGCTGAATTTCTTGCTTAGATGCTATCAGGATAGCAAGAATGGAAAACAATTCTGCAACACAGTACCTCTTTTTAAATTGGCTTCAAGTGCATCTAATAAAGGAATATAGGAATAAAGGATTTTATCCTAAACTTATCTCTTGAAGAAAGTGCATCTAAGGCATCAGGTGGACTTCTATCATTTCTTTGCCGTGCCCTCACTCTTTGTCTCCTTGTTTTATAATTGACATTTGGCAAGTTGGCTTTTGCCTATTTCTCAAGCTCATCAAAATCTTCTCTAATTTTCCTTTAAAAATCAAGAAAACTGTACAAACTTGCACAAGAACTCAGTAACAGACCTGACTTCTGAAGGACTTTGCTGACCTTGTGAAAATGACCTAGCACATGGATTTATATCTCGTAAGATTTTGCAGACTTTGGCTGTGAAGCAGTGCCCCACAAAAAAATTTCAAGTTAGGCCCCAGAGTTTCAAATTGGGCTACACTGGCTGGCCCCGAGTCTCATAGTTGCTGGGCCCAAGTTGCCCTGCCCTCACATGAAGTCTTGGGTTTGCAATTTGGGGAGAGAGGAGACTGCCTGCTGGGTGTTGGGAAGGCTAGGGAAGCCCTATAGATTTAGAGACCCTAGGCTTCAGCCTACTTAGCCTATACATAAATCCAGCAGTGGAAATGGGAAAAGATTTGAGCAGAAGCTAGAGACTTCCTTAAATGGTTAGCATGAAGCAGAAATCCCATTAAACACTTTGCAAGACTGCTGGCTGGCTGAAGACCTTTGTTTAAAGATCTACAAGCTCAGCCTATTATATTCAAAAGCAGACACTGAATTAAATGGAGCTAACTCTCCATGGAACAGTGCACAGGACTGTAGTCATGAACAAGGCTGGATTAATAGCCCAAATCCAGGCGATCCAATCCAAATTCCAACATGCTGACTGCTATACCAGCTTTTGCCAGCTCAGGGATCAATTACAGCTGCCTACATTTTTTGGACTCCCCTTGGAGATGTGGCTACGGAGCGGTTGTCACGATGAGCTCACACACATCTCAATTTGTCTCTATACCACCACACTTTAGAAAGATCACTTCAGTTTCAACAACACAAATATTTGTGCAAATGTGTAATTTTGTTCTTTTAAATAAGTATGAAGTGATAAAAATTAACACAAGTTGATTTCCAGTTCAGCATTCTAGGCTTGCCCACAGGGTCCACAAAATATCAAGATTGCTGCTGTGTATTGCGTTCCGTCTGACTTTGCTCTTCTTTTGACTCAAACACTTGCGCCAGTTCAAGAGACCTTTCTCTTATCTGTTGGACCTGAGTCAGGTTTTATATAAAAAGAAACACACAATAAGTAAATTCTGCTTTCTTACTCAGTTTTATGAAGAGTTTACCTTGAAAGGTGGGGCCTGGAGCTCCCTAATTCTCTAATGCCCAAACCCTTCTCCAGGCTGCCTGCTGCCAGGAACACCATATGTTGGAGCAAGAAGACCCATCCCCTGCCACTAGATTTGAAGCACAAGCCTTTCCTCAATGGCTTACAAATCCTCCTGTTCCAAGATTTAAGGCCAGCTTTAGACCACCAGCTCCATTTCCACTCCGCCAGCTGTTACTTTGCCTGAACAGGCTCCTGGTCTCACACGGGCATGCACAACATTCCCCCAGTCTGTGTGCATTATTTGGTCTATGAAAATCTGCTCTCGATTCCTAGAACTGTAACTTGCGATGGTAGAATATCCAACTGGTAAAGGTTTCTGGCTTACTTTCCCCTTCCATTAAAAGACCAGCACAAATATGAAAGTACAAGCTATTAAAAGGACATTGGGAAGGAAAGGTTGGTTGGCAGATGCACTTTTGCAATTTTACAAAAATCAATAAACTGTAAATAGTAAAAAAGAAAGGAAAAGGGATCTTAGTAAAAACTAATAATATTTTACCATTGATTTCGCTTCTTGCATCTCTTTACTAATGAGATCCCTCTCCGCTTGGAGAGAATTCAATTTGTCCTTCAGGTAATCTCGCTCCTGGATTAAGTCTGTCATTGCTTCTTCCTGCTCATGAAGTTTCTGAGTTATTGTCAGCATGTCCATTAACTCCGCTTCAATTCTAGACTTACTGGCTTTTAATTTCTCCCTCAGTTGTTCCATTTCATTCAACTTCTCTAGAGTTTTGCTGAGTTGTTCTTTCATACAAGGTCTATCCTCTTCTGTGTCTCCTATTTGCAGCTCTTGGATCTTGCTAGGTGGCTTCTTCAGAAAAGGAAAATGGGCAAGGTGTCAGTGATATGCTCTGGCCATGCAAGTGGCAATATTCTAACTTTATCCCAAAAATGTTATAAGAACCTTTAGCACACCATGTATATATCAGTTTTTCTCAAAGACTGACTCGAACTTGTGTCTGACCATCTGTGCACATCATCGTAAGTCATGACTTACTGTAGATGAGCAAATTACGTCTGTGCTCCTCGCGGCTAGTGCTGGAGTAAGGAAAAATAAACCATGATGATAAGTCAAGGTTTCTTCTTGGTGTACCAATCATGGTTTATTTCACTCCAATCTCCAGTTTGTGTACAGTAAACCTTGGGTTATGGCTTGACATGCCACTAAAATGTTCAGCTGTAATACACAACTGCCTTGCAGAATATCTTTGGGAGAAGAAAAGGCTTAAGGAGTAAACCCTACACTAATCTGGAGTGGAGTCCCTAAGATGGTTGGGTGGTGTCTTGCATGCCTCCTTCTGGCAACACCTGCTGCCATGTTGGTGCTAAACGTATTGCTCTGCTTCTCTTTGGACCACATCAGTGAGGTCAAGGCGGGGAAGGCGGTCTTGTCTTCTGGGTAGCCCCGGACCTCCATACACACTGCCCAGGCTTGCTCCCAGGGAGGTCACTTCAGTGCTGTTAACAGTGTGATTAACTTCACTCCTGGAGGCGTACTCCATTACCTCTCAGGACTGACTGATGCCGACAACAAGCAAGACACAACAATGACCAGGTGACTGCTTTACCTGCAAGTCACGCACCACAAAAGCAAGCAGGCCCTGCATTCAGCTCCCCTCCAAACCACAGTGGAGCCAAGTTCTTACTGTAGAACATATACCAGAAAATTCTGCAAGCATCCATTGCTTACAGTGGTGAGAAGCCCTGGGAAATAAAGTCTTAACGTCACATCACTAACAGAGGGCTTTTCAACCCTCCAAAAGGGCAGAACGCACTGCTAATATACACTGAAAAGTGTTTTTCAGAAGGTCCACTCTTTTTCTAGCATGCATTAGTTGGGGGCTAACTGATTTAAATAAATTCAAATCCAATCATGGCAATTCTTCCATGCCGCAACTCAGGAAAGTGGCTGTTTTCACATGTCACTGCAAACTATGCTTTACTATTAATGCAAGATGGTGCGTACTTCACTCCTCTCATAGCATAGCCTACATACCACAATATAAGTACAAAAACAAGTGCAGTTTTGCTTGCTTTTTTGCAGTTACAGGATTAAAGGTAAAGGTAAAGGACCCCTGACATTTAAGTCCAGTTGCAGACGACTCTGGGGTTGCGGTGCTCATCTTGCTTTACAGGCCGAGGGAGCCGGCATTTGTCTGCAGTTTCTCCGGGTCATGTGGCAAGCATGACTAAGCTGCTTCTGGTGCAACGGAACACCGAAACCAGAGCAGCACATGGAAACACCATTTACCTTCCCGCCGGAGCAGTACCTATTTATTTACTTGCACTTTTTGGCGTGCTTTTGAACTGCTAGGTTGGCAGGAGCTGGGACTGAGCAACAGGAACTCACCCCGTCATGGGGATTTGAACTTATGACCTTCCAATCAGCAAGCCCAAGAGGCTCAGTGGTTTAGACCACAGCACCACCCACGTCCCAGTTACAGGATTAGCATTTGTTTTAATCTCATGTTGCTAAATTATCTTGAAGGGTCTCAGACTGAAAAGGGTGGAGTAAAGGTAGTCTAACAAAATCTGAACAAGCCTGATGAAATAGGAGAGAAGCCTTGGTTGCACATTGAAAGGAGATGGGGTCAAGTGAAATTCTTTTGACACTACCATAGGGAAGACCATGTCCTTTGCGTTCATAGGCCATACTGCAAACAGTGGAAGAAAAAGAGCAGGGTCTCAAGACAATCGTCTTAGACCCAGTTTTGTTGCTGGGGATGTGAGATGCAGCGCTTTTCACCAGCTAAGGTGGGTCCATCAACTGTGCATCCCTGCCCCCCAATGGCCACCGTGATACATGCCATCACTACTTCCTGACTAGACTACTGCGGTGTGTCGTACCTGGGGCTGCTTTGGAAAACTGAAAAAATTAGGCACTTCATAAATACAGGGGAAGGGAACACACTTCATCTTTCCTGAAGGAAAGGTACTGGCTACCAGTCTGTTTGAACCCAATTTACAGTGTCAGCACTTACTTTTACAATCTTATGCGACTTTGAGCTCCGATATTACCGGAACCTGCCATTTTACTAGACGTTTTCTGCCATAAAACCTTAATACTGAATGCCCTTGCTTGTTCCTTCAGCAATATATTGGTAGCTCAAAAGTGTTGTTGCCAAAGCCATATTGAGAGCTAGACATCGTTTATATGTTAAGTTCCAGCTACATGCTGGCAACGCTGCCAAGTTTTGGAGGCTTGCAAAAAACCCTGAAAAGGAGAGGTGAGCTTTCCAAACCTCAGAATTTCTCTCCCCTAAACTCTGCTCCCTCAGTTCCACCCCATCCAACCAAGTGTAAAAGAAATCATGTCGATCCAATATAGTTAGGTAAAGGTAAAGGGACCCCTGACCATTAGGTCCAGTCGTGACCGACTCTGGGGTTGCGGCGCTCATCTCGCTTTACTGGCCGAGGGAGCCGGCATACAGCTTCCGGGTCATGTGGCCAGCATGACTAAGCCGCTTCTGGTGAACAAGAGCAGCGCACGGAAACGCTGTTTACCTTCCCGCCAGAGCGGTACCTATTTATCTACTTGCACTTTGATGGGCTTTCGAACTGCTAGGTTGGCAGGAGCAGGGACCGAGCAACGGGAGCTCACCCTGTCGCAGGGATTCAAAATGCCGACCTTCTGATCGGCAAGTCCTAGTCTCAGTGGTTTAACCCACAGCGCCACCCGCGTCCAATATAGTTAGTAGGGGGTAATTAAGAAATTGTTGTTGCAATAAAGAAAGGGGGAGGAAGCCTGCAGACGGCATAATCCCCACTCCCAGCTTTGTCCTTGAAAGAGGAGTGGGAACCTTTTCCATTCCAAGGGTGACATTCATTTCTCGGCAACCTTCTGGGGCCATATCCACGAGGGGTACGAGAAAAATTGAACGTAAATTTCACCTTTGGTGAAGCAAGCTAGTTTCCACACACACATATACTGCTTACCAAACCAACCTCAGACCCTGGGGTTCCTCTTCAGGAATTGTAACACTGGCTGTCATCCCTTGATCGTCACATTCCAAGGATACAGCTGAAAGACAACCCATTTTGCCAAAAATTTAACCAATAAAAGCGTGTATACTTAAGATGCAGATAAGGGAAGTAACAGTACCACTCTATTCTGCCTTGGTCAGTCCAACATTGGAACACTGGGTCCAGTTCAGGGCACCACAATTTAAGAAAGATATTGACACACTGGAACACATGCAGAGGAGGGCAGCTAAGAAGACCAAGGGTCTGGAAACCAAGACTTACGGGGAAAGGCTGAAGGAGCTGGGGATGTTTAGCCTGGAAAATAGGAGACTGAGAGGAGATATGATAGCCATCTTCAAATATCTCAAGGGCTGTCACATGGAAGATAGAGCAAGTTTGTTTTCTCCTGCTCTGGAAGTTGGACTTGTACCCATGGCTTCAAGTTACAAGAAAGGAGATTCTGACTAAACAATCAGGAAGAGCTTTCATGACAGGAGGTGTTCAACAGTGGAACGGACTCCCGTGGGAAGCTGTGGACTCTCCTTGGAGGTTTCTAAGCAGAGCTTGGATGACCATCTGTCATGGATGCCTTGGCTGAGATTCCGGCATTGCAGGGAGTTGGACAAGATGATGCTTGGGATCCCTTCCCATGCTGCAATTCTGTGACTCTATGTTCTTGAGACAAATGCAGAAAGGTGCGGTGAAAGGAACTGAGCTTTGATTACCTTGGGGCCCAGTGGGTTTAATTCTCCCCTGCCATGGGAGAAAGAACATACGAGCAGCCAAATGCAAGCAGCGAGAGAGTTGGCTACATTAGCCTTTGCTAGCATTTGCAAAGAAGCCAGTTCTCCCTAGCGCCTAAAGATCAATGTCAGAATCCGACCTCTGGAGCAACCAGGAGATAAATGGAGCAGGCTAAGTTATGCCAAGAGCCCTCTTGCCCTTCTCTGAAAACTTCAGATGTAGCAATAACATTCAGCATAATTAACATATGCAGCTTAAGCACAGCCCTCAAAATGGGTGCAAGAGTTTAACTATTTGCAGCTCACTGTGGATATTGGTTTAAACAATGTATTATCTAAGTTCTAACTTATCCCAACCTACCATGCTTCAGCCCATATTTTATATAGCACCTTTTAAAAATAGTTTCCATGCATAACAAACTTACATGCTTTCATCTCTGCTAGACAAGGCTTTTTAAACTGTTTGGCTTTTTGGAAAAAGCTTCCCAGGCGACATTCCCCTGCTTCCTGGGATGTTGTTCCTGCAGACCAGGTCGCTCTCCTCTTCCTTGTCCTTGGAAACTTAAAACATAAAATAAAAATAAAAATCAAGGCACGTAGGAGAATTAAAGGAAGTTAGATATTTTTAAAAGCACAATCCCATTTGCTGATGTCTTGGAATTTGTACATGGCCTAGTGATGACAAATTCAGTTGAAGCTAGTTGTAAGTTCTACCATAAGCATTTGCAAAAAAAGTTGCAAAGGGAGAGGGGAAACTTTCCTAAAACATGTTTGCAAGCACCATAAGCAACTTGAACTCGCTAGTCGGGTGGCAAGTAGTAGCTTCAGAATTCAACACAAAGCCTTATTTTGCGAGGCTGGGAGCCGGGGAGAGCGACATGAGAAGGACACAACTGCCACATGCCCTTCAATCCCAGCCCTCAGGGGTAAGGCTGGGACTGAAGGGCACATGGCAGCCTTCTCATGCCACCCTCCACGAGCTGCCAGGTTGTGGAGGGCCCTGGGTGATGGGGGCTGGACTGGAGAGCAGCAGGTTCCATTCGCCCTCCCGCTCCGCACTCCTGGGACCACTACAGCACAGTCGCTGGTGCCTGTTCTTATACCAGCTTCCCAATATGAACTTCCTGCTTCATGCATGCATTAACAGAGCTATGTTAAACTTCCACACATTGGAAGGTCCTTTTCTACAGTGACACCCTTCTAGTCCTTCTGGTACTGGAAGTCTTGACAAGAAGTTGCCTCAGTTCAAGAGACTTTTCTTCTATCAGTTGGACCTGAGTCAGGTTTTATATAAAAAGAAACACACAATAAGTAAGTTCTGCTTTCTTACTCAGTTTTACGAAGGGTTTACCTTAAACTTCCACGCATTCGAAGGTCCTTTACTGCAGTGACACCCTTTTAGTCATTTCCAGGCTTCCCTCGCCCCATTTGATTACTTAATAACAGCTGATTCAAGAAATGTGGAAGAGCCACCAGTTTTCCACCAAAGGTCCCACAACACTTCAATTTTTAAGTATTACCTTGAACTCTTGCGCTGATGCAAGAGAAGCTGATGTCACGAGCATCTCAGTGAGATTCTTTATTTTCTCCTGCAGCTCATTTTGAAGAGCATACTTCTCTTCAACAATCTCTGCCACCTGGGATTGTGATGACATCTACCAAGGGAAAGCATCAATACCAAAGGTCGAAAGGCACAAAATCTTGTTCATAGTAAGGTGTACATGATTTCCCAAGCAAGGAAAATCCATTATGGGGGGGGGGGATTTTGTATACGACCCACTGAAAACTTACACACATTTTTGGGAATACTTTACTAACCCAAGCCAAATTTTCAATCTATTTTGGGGTAGTAAAATCCCTTAAAACAAATCCATGTGTGTGGTGCCTGGAGAAGGTATTGAAGTTTACATTACAGAAAAAATTACCCTGACATGTTACATTGGCTAGGATACCCATGTGCTTTTGTGTAGACCCCTCCATGTTTGCGAGGATTATGGCTGTTAATCTGTATATTACTGTGATGATAATAACGTACTGTAAGTACTAACAGCTGTGAAGGTTAAACATCAGCAAGAAACAATGAAAGCATTTAAGTTTCTCAGTCATTTCTGTGAAATTGAGTCTGCACCCCCCAGTGTGGAAAGGGTTGCATACAAGCAATGACCAATACTTCGTATTCTTTGGTGATCACTCGAAGCCAAGTAAGATTGTCTTCCATAAACATGGTTTTAACAACGAGTCCGTAAGTGACTGTGGAGGCCAATTCTGGATCCACACATCCTTCCACAGTGCGGACATTGGTTTTCGGGTCGTAGTTGATCATGGTGTGGATTTGCCAAGCATGCCTTCCTCTTAGCACTTTCCTCCCTTGCATCCTGAGTTTGAGTGTCTTCAAAGCCCATGACACCTTTAGTAAAGGCTGTTCTCCAACTGGAGGGATCGCAGGCCAGCGTTTCCCAGTTGTCAGTGTCTATACTACATTTTTTTAGATTTGCCTTGAGACAGTCTTTAAACCTCTTGTTGACCACCAGCATTACGCTATTTTTAAGTTTGGAATAGAGTAGTTGCTTTGGAAGATGATGATCAGGCAACCGCACAACATGACCAGTCCAACGAAGTTGATGTTGAAGAATCATTGCTTCAACACTGGTGATCTTTGCTTCTTCCAGTACACTGATATTCGTTCGCCTATCTTCCCAAGTGATGTGTAAAATTTTTTGGAGACACCGTTGATTGAATATTTCGAGGAGTTGGAGATGGCATTTATAAGTGTCCCTGTTTCACAAGCATACAGTAAGGTTGGTAGTACAATAGCTTTGTAAACAAGCATTTTGGTTTCCATGCAAATGTCCCGGTCCTCAAACACTCTGCACTTCAATTGGGAAAAAGCTGCACTCGCAGAAATCAGGCGATGCTGGATTTCAGCATCAATGTTGGCCCTTGTGGAAAGATAACTGCCCAGGTAGGAGAAGTGATTGACATTTTTCAACGTTACACCATTGAGTTGGATTTGTGGCGCTGCAGAGGGGTGATTTTGAACTTGTTGGTGTAGCACTTTGGTTTTTTGGAGGTTGAGTGATAGGCCAAGCTTTTCGTAATCTTCTGCAAAGATATTTAGGATGGTTTGGAGGTCACCCTCTGAGTGTGCTGGATCTCTTGAGCTTATTTTAATCCACCAGTGTTTTTTTAGCTCTCTGGTTCTTCTTTGAACCTCAGCCTTAGCACTAGCACAGGTTTTTTTCTTAGTGGCACAGTTTCTATCTCTTTGCCAGATCTGAAAGGCCTTCCTTTTCTTGTCAAATGTGTGGTCAATCTCACTGTCATTCTCATCAAACCAATTTCTGGTGTTTCTTGGTTTGGTGTCCAGTAGTTTGTTCACAGGCTGCAATAATGCATGTTTTTAGTTTGGTCCAGTGTTCCTTGATGCTATCAGGAAATTCTGAAAACGGATGGTCCTTAATGGGATCTTGAAGGGCTTGAGTGTTCATTTTGTGCCTTGGTTTCCTTTCTTGAATCCTGCGTCAAGGTATAATCTCGATAGCCATCGTGGAGCGTATTAGTCGGTGATCTGTCCAGCAGTCGTCGGCACTCGTCATAGCTCTGGTAAAGAGCACATCACAGCAATCTTTAGCACGGATAATAACATAGTCTAAGAGGTGCCAGTGGTTTGACTGAGGATGCCTCCATGAAGTTTCAAATTTATTTTTCTGTTGAAAGAGTGTGTTGGCAATAACAAGGTTGTGCACTACACATATTGTCAAAAGTAAGATTCCATTCTGGTTGCTATTACCAATTCCTTTTTTCCCAATAATCCCAGGCCACAGATCAAAATCTCACCCAACTCTTGCATTAAAATCACCCAGGAGGATAATTTTATCTTCCTTAGGTGTCTCTGATAGGACGGTATCCAGCTGAGAGTAAAATCTTTAATGTCTTCATCGGCATCCAGTATTGGTGCATAAGCGCTTATAACAGTAGCATCTAAAAGACATGCGATTGCATATGGTGATGAACCTGGAAGTGACATAAAAACATGGCTCAGCATGTCACGAAAAGAGTGTAACAGGGCTGGGATACACTTATACGTGCTACTCCAGTGTATGTGGGGGCCGGGAAAGGAACCCCCGCATGAAATGGTTGTCAGCTTTATTAAGAGTTGCCATTAAAATTAGGCCAGACTCTAAAAATGGAGACTGCGTCTAAACAGAGATTACGGCCCCCTCACTTGGTATAGGCAGCTGGCCTATAATCCAAGTCACCAACTAAAAGAATGCTATTGCCACCAGCATTCGAGATTACCACGGATATTTGAACTTCTAAAAGATAAATGTGTTGTGCTTTTAAGGTATAATTGCTGGCAAAATAGAGCATGAATCCCATTTCAAAACAAAACAAAACAAGATATAGATGCGATTTGACCTGTTCCAGCCTAGAACACTCAGATTTCCAAGAAGACAACTTACATCTTCAATTTGCTGTTTCAGGCTGTCAATCTCTAAACGATACCTTTTTAGAAGGGCATCCTCATCCGTAACGTAATTTATTATAGGGCGGTTTTTCATTTCTTTGGCTGTATTCGCAAACTAGGAGAGACAGGCACATGGAGTCAGAACCGCTCTTTGAAGGAGTCAGAAAAAATGACATTTGTGTAAAATCTCTTCGAAAATTACAGAAGTATGGATCATAAAAATCAACATTTGCCATTACAGTAAATACAAATGGTACCCATTAAACGAAATGTTGCAGCGTACCTTCACCTCCCCACAGAAGGGATAAGCCTGGGTTAACCAACCTGGTGCCTTCCAGATGTTGTTGAACTACAACTTTCATCATCTGACCATGTTGACGACGGCTGATGGGAGCTGGAGTCCTCCAACATCTGGAGGGCAACAGAGAAGCTGTCAGGCGCTCAAGTAGGCCGTTCCCCCCACCTTTCCTTTTCCACCTGATATTCAAGACTCCATGACTACCATGTCTTCACAAGCTCCCTTTTTAAGAGTTTGAGGGTTTGCCGTCAGTATCCAACCCACCTATTAGAGGAAGTGCTACACTACTTCCCTTTGAAGTGGAAGTCTGATTTCTCATAGTTCTATAACTGCAGATACGTATACTAGAACAAAGCATGCCAGTTTAAAGAGAGGGGGAAATACCTTCTTGCCTACTTGTTACTTGGGGCAAAACTTTTGGGGGAAGGAAACGGACCTGTATAGTTTTACCTGGAGGGTTCGAAGCGTTTCTTCGAACGATGTCAGAATGACCGTGAAGATGATAACAGTCTTAGAATTGCCACCAAGTGATTTGTGCAGAACCCATGTTAACGTACTGTCTCTGCAGTTGACGTAGGCTCTGGTGAAGGAGGATGATCAAAAAGGAATAAGAAAGTTTTTACATATTAAGTAGAGGAAAAACTGGCCCAAGAGCCAATCTTTTACATCTAGGACAGAGACAGCCAATGTGGTGCCTTCCGAAGGTTGTTGGATGACAACTCCCATCAGGCCCAGACAGATGACCAATGGCCTGGCGGTGGAGGGAGTTGTAGCCAAACAACCTAGGAATGGGCACTACGTTGGCTGCCTGGCCTAAGATCAAGTGAGAACACTTTTCAATACAGCACAAACTAAAGAACCCTTCTTAACTGAATTGTCCTAGCCCACTCTGTTCTTCACAAAGGTTCTTGATCACTTGGCCCAAGATGGAGAGGCTCCGGTTTACATTGCAGCATTCTTGGAGATGGATCCCTAGGCATTAAACATCAGTTTTTTATTTTCAGACAGTTCCTTCTACAAAAGTTCTTTTGCTACCATATTGCTAGTTAACATAGTCAAGAGTTCCTGAATTTGATTGCTTTCTTCTTCATTCTCCATTCTCCCCCCCCCCCTTCTGTATTGTTTTTACCTGCCCTTTAGGCACTTAATACGTGTGAAATAACAATACTGGTCATTATCCAAGGTCTCCTGACAGAAGGCAATATCGGCAGAATGGGGGAGGAAATTTTAGGGATTCCCATTCTGTCCTTAAATCTGCTCTGGGTGATTCCCCAACCCTCTGCAGCAGATCAAAGAGGGGCACAGGGTCCTGCGTAGGGTGAGTCACCCAAAAAATATTATCTCCCCTGTTCTGCCAACAGATTCCTTCTGTCAATGAAATAACAGCATTGGAGACACCCAATAAGACTTCAACATTATTAGTGGTATGATGAATTATGCCTTTTAACTCAGAAACGTTGAATAACTTCAGCCAAAAGGAGGAAGATAACGCTAGAAGGCCTATAACCAAATATTACATTCATCAAATGTATATACTGTTGGAAAAACGCCCTGAGGATGCCAGCAAGCCCCCCAAAACTCTGAGCGTCCTCTGGTACACACAGCTCTGGAAAAGGCATCTCCCTTCTCTTACAGTGCGCTTCTAGCGACATATACCAGCTGGTATATGCACACTAATCTTCTGGCATAACACAGCAAGAGTGAGTGAGTCATCATAGAGCTAATCTACTATTTATTTACACACTATGTACAGACAAAAGCATAATGGCGTCCGTTCTCTCCAGCTCTGAGAGAACGAACAAAGAAATAAAAGCAAAGTACAGTGTAATAGCACCTGCAGCGGAAGAGGTAAGACTGTCTTCCTTTCCCAGACTCGTCCCAGACAGGTATGTGATTTACAACAATCTCATCTGCAGCATTGGAGGAGTGAAATTGCTAATATATACCACCCTTCGTTCAAGGATAATGGGGCGGTTTTACAATGGTCTCTGCAGAAGCAGGGATGAGGAACTTGTGGCCCTCCATGTGTTGTTGGAAGACAACTTCCAGCATTGCTGACCACTGGTCATACTGGCTAGGATTGCTAGGAGTTCATATGCAACTTCTACAGCACTACAGGTCCCTCATCCTTGCCATAGAGAAGTTAGATTTTTGTGCAAGAATCTACCAGTTGGGAATGTAACATCTGCATCAGTCTTGTGTTCCAAATGTGATGAATTTTACTGTTAAGCTGTAAATGGCTTACATAAATAAGAGCAAGCATGCCCAAGAACCCTGGGGGGGGGGGGGGAATTACTTGTGGGTTGTTGTTTTTTTACATGTTTTACAAGTTAGGATTTAGCAGATTACCAGAAAAGCTTGATCATCATCAGCTACATACCTTCAGCACCTGTTTGGGTAGCTCTTTCACTTCCTGCCAGATCTACCAAATTCTGAAAATTCAAGTAAGACTGTGTTAGACACCATTCTCACACAAGATCTATTCAAATCATCTATTGATTGAACAACAATTCCAAACAGTGGCAGATGAAAGCCTGAGAAAAATAAGTTCCTGAGACTGTACATGAGCAGAAAAAGGTCTTTGGCCAGGAGTTTAAATCAAAGAAACAACAAAAAAATTGTGCAGCACTGGTCACTACATCTGGGAGGAAATACATTCAAATGAACAACATTTAATATTTCATGAAAGCGAAAGAATAGAGGAAATGTGTGTTAAAGGGAGCCAGTCATTTGTAGATTGCATCTCAGATCCAGGATGGTCTGCAACAGAAGAAAAAGGTAGAAGGATGTGCATACTGTGCGATTTGATGTTTTGACCACTGAATTTCTACTATAGTCCAAGGACCCAATGTGGCATAGTGGTGAGTGTGTGGCTAGGACCTAGGAGGCCAGGGTTCAAATCACCACACAGCCACAAAGCTCCCTGGATCACCTTGGTCTCTCAACCTAACCTACCTTGTAAGGTTGATGTAAGTATAAAATGAAGGGGGACAAAATCAAGCAGGCCACCTTAGCTTCTTGGAGGAAAGGTGGGATATAAATGCAATAATAATATGGATGTTGTTTAGTCTGCACCTCTTCAGTATGTTCCAGCAATGTCAATGGAACTTGCTTTTGAATAAGCATTAGGAATGCTGTGCCAAACAGACTTGAAACCCAGAGCAACTGAATTTCTGCTGCTGCTATTTCCCAGGCAGAAACAGCCCTATTAAACACTTCAGAAGTTCATTAGCCTTCCACAATCCCAATATATATTTGACTCTGCCGGCCAGATCTCAAACAGAAAGCACACAAGGCTAGCCCAATATATTTTGCTGCCTGAGCCAAAGCAGAAGATGGCACCTCCCCTCTCCACCTCTTTCTGTATAGCAAAGTCAACCAGATTGGTGGCAAAATAATATCTTCTACTTCATCTCAGGGCAGCAGCCTAGCTTAGGGGGCAGAGTGGGTCATATGGCACACAAACCGCTTTCCTCCAAATGTCAAAGCATTTGGGGCTTTCAGAGGAAAGGCAAGTTTAAGGAGGGACCCGACAGAGGTGTATAGGATTATGCATGTAACAAGAAGGCAGACAGGGCTAAGTTTCTCTCAATTTCTCTCTCTGTCATATAATAATAGAACTCAGGGCCATCCAACATAGCTAAAATTCAGGACAGAAAAAGAGAAAGAACTTCTTCACACAGCACATAGTTAAACTATGGAGTTCACTCACCCACTACGTAGTAATGGCCGCCAACTTGGAAGCCTTTAAAAGAGGATCAGACAAATCTATGGAGTACAGGGACTATCAAGGGCTACTAGCTATGATGGCTAAGTTCAACTTCCACTACCAGCTGCTGTGAATCACAAGTAGAGAAACTGCTTGGGTCTCAGGCACCTGGTTCACCACTGTGAGAACAGGATGCTAGAATAAACAGGCCATTGGTCTGATCCAGCAGGGCTCCTCTCATGTTCCCGTAACGCACACAAGCTGCAGCATCCTTCAATGGTAGTTTTTTCTAACAAAACCCCCATTTACAAACCTCAGTTCTCTCTTTCAAAGAACTCACCAAGTGAGATACCATCACAGGGCTATCGCAGCTTGAGATATCCGTCATCTCTTTGCTTTCAATGATCTTAAAAAAAAAAAAAAAGTAAGCAAAGTTGTGAACTTGTTTTACCAAACCACCACAGATTACAGACCAACCAATACCAGTTTGTCATGTGTGGGTCTGTATACTGTAGCACACCTACCCTCAACCAACGGAACCTAAAACTGGCATATCTTGTAGAATGCTTAAGGAGGCTTGCCTGGTGATTTTGTTACATATTTTAGGTGCCAGGCAAAAATATTCCTCTTTGGCTAATTAAACGATCTATGGCCTTTTAAAACTGTGTGTGTGCTTTTTTGTTTTTGTTTATTATTATGGCACATATTTTTGTGTTTTTATATTGTAAATCACCCAGTGGTAGAAATGTATAATATAACAACAACAAATCTCTCCCTCTCATATCCTGCCAGATATCATAGCCAGGTACTAACCAGGAATAGGGAACCTGGTGCCCCCCTCTGGATGTTGTTGGACTCCATCTCCCATCAGTATGGCCAACAGTCAGGACTGATGGGACTTTGGAGTCCGGGAACATCAAAGAGGGCCAGAGGTTTCCGATCTCTGAACTAAAATAAATCAGTAAAATAAAATTCATGATCACTTACCATTCGGAAGATTGCATGTGACTGGTTACTTCTTTCATTCACTTCTGTCGCACTATAGTGCCTGTTTTCTATTCAGAACAAAACACAGAGAAAGTTGATGGATTTAAAGTATCAGAGCTGCACAGGAAGCTCTATATGTGTTTAAGTCATACCAAATATTAAGTCTTACTTTCACCTTTCTGGAGCCAGCTCAAAACTTCCTCTGGAGAAACCACCACCTCTTCAGTCAGACCTCCAACAAAGACATACCCCTACAAGAGATTTTTTTAAAAAAAATCACATAACACCACACAGCTCCCTGTATTGATTCTAGGTGTTACCTCTTTTTATATGTGCAATGCAAAGCTATTAGGAAGTTAGCTAACTTTAGGTCAACTTTAATAAAACGATTTTAATCAATTCAGAAGCAAAATGGGCAAAGTCCAAGGAAGACATGCTGACTTCCAGAATTTTACTTTTCCTGTTACAAGGCCGCGTGGGAGCTTTGGCACTGACTTGGAAAGGTAACAATGGTTACTTACACTGATGTCTTCACGAACAACCAAGGGTTTCTTTCGCCACATGCTGCTGCACAGTAGGTCCTCAAATGTATTACTGTGGATTTCCATGTATAATACATGGAGTAGGAACTCCCTGTCAGGAATCTGAAAAAGTAGCATGCAACAACAGCAGCAAGAATACTCATCGCAAAGTATTGGAAGACACAAGATCTACCCACTCTGGAAGAATGGCAGATGAAGGTGATTGACTACATGGAACTGGCGGAAATGACTGGCAGAATCCGAGACCAGAGAGAAGAGACGGTGAAAGAAGACTGGAAGAAAGTTAAAGACTATTTACAGAAATATTGTAAAATTAAGGAATCTTAGAAGGATGTTGGACAGAAACTAAGGGGTTTTTTTTAGCTGTAATGCTTTAAGAGATATGAAAAAAGGTTTGCAACTGGGTAATTTCAATGGTAAGGATTTGCTGAATTAACAAATTGAACTGGAATACAAAAAAGGGAGGTATGAGGAGATCCGGGGAAATAAGTATAAGGAAGATAGGTTATGGAAATTTAATGTCCTTTTAATTGTTTTATTTGGTATGTTTTCTTTTATTTTTTACTTCTTTGGTTATATTTAAAAAAAACTTTATTCTTTTTCTTTCTGTATTCTGTATTTTTTGTATTTTTTTTTGAAACTTTAATAAATATCATTTAAAAAAAAAAAGGAATCTGAAAAAGTAAAGAGCATGCATGCATCAGCATCCCTAATTATGGAGAACTAATGTAACATGGCTCCCTGCCCACCCCCATCCAATGCCATCACTAAAACATTCCCACTGCCTTATGAACTATACTATAGATGGGGAACTATGGACCTCCAAATGATGCTGCGCTGCAGCTCCTATCAGCCCCAGCTAGCATAGCTGATGGATGTGATGGGATCAGACTCCAACAACATCTGAAGAGCAACAGAGTTTCCCATCCCTGATCTCTAGATTGGTTCCACTCACAATACTTATTGGCCAACAAGATTATTATGTGGGAAATAGAAACTGCTATATAGTGGCTGCACAGCCTTTTCTCCTAAGTGGAGCTAGGAAATCATCAAAGCAGGTTCAATATGCAGCTTTGCAGCACTAATGTGGTATCTGAAACAAAGTTCAGTTAGTAGAAAAACTTACTCCACAGATGCTATTGAAAACATCATTGATGGCCATTGGTAAGATTCCTGGGCAATCTTTAGTGCCCAACATTGTGGAAGTTTTCCCCAAAGCAGTTTGGCCATAGGCAAAAATAGTTCCTAAAAGGAAAAGCAATGGTTAGCTCAGACTACTACCCACATACAGTGCAAGCATTGAAATGTGTTGATGTTTAATGTACCATTATATCCCTGAACAGCCGACTTGATAACTGAAGCAGCCACCCCTTCTTCGGTATTATCTGAAGAATGAAACACCCGATCTTAAAAAAAAGAAAAATGGTTCAGTTCACAGAAATCAAACTCCATCTTCAGGATTTGTCAAATTGCCAACTTGTAAGCTAGACTGAAAGAAGCATACCTGGCTGCTTTCAAAAAGTTGTTTGCATGTTTTTATGGTATACCAATATTTATGTACTGTATTTTTCGCTCCATAAGACGCACCTGACCATAAGGCGCATCTAGTTTTTAGAGGGGGAATCCAAGAAATTTTTTTTTTTAAAAGGGAGCACTGAGCAGAGCCTGTATGCTCTGCTCAGCTCTCCCTTTCACGAGCCGCATGGAGCACGTGTGCGGCGCTTGCAGACTTTTTCCCAAGGAGGGAGAAAAGCCCCCAAGAGCCACACACACACTCCGCACGGCTCTATGGCTCTTGGGGGCTTTAGCGGGTGGTGGGGGAAGGGACAGAGCTGCGCGCTCTGTCCCTTCCCCCACCTCCCGCAAAAGCCAGGGATAGCCGCACAAAGCCTCTGCAGGGCAGCGGGATGAAGGCTGCGATCCTGCTGGCTATCCTGGCTTCTTGCCTGGCCATGCGCAGCCTCTCCCAGACAAGGGGAGCCTTCATCCCCTGCCTGGGAGAGGCTGCGTGCGGCTATGGCATAAGCAAGGCAGCCCTTCTCCCTCCTCGGGGAAAAGCCCCCAAGAGCCACACACACGCTCCACACGGCACTTTAAAAGGGAGCGCTGAGCAGAGTCTCCCACCTGCATTCGCTCCATAAGATGCACACACATTTCCCCTTACTTTTTAAGAGGGGAAAAGTATGTCTTATAGAGCGAAAAATACAGTACTTAATAAAATTTATACATTGCTTGATTGTAAACAAACAAACCAACAAACCCTCAGAGGGTTTACAAAGTACTTCAGTGTTTATCAAGTGCTTACCAAAGGTAAAAGATTTGGTCCCATCAAGCTGAGATATGGTGCATTCTTCAGTTTTCCAGACAATACTCTCTTCTTCCGCAAGGTCTGCATTCTCGCTTAAGGAACAAAACACTGTTAGAGATTCCAGAGTATAGAGAAATTGATGGTGTTAAAGAAATACTTATACCCACACTAATCTAATTGTCTGGTCCTGAGCGTATATCTAAAGATGTTTGCAGCTGGACTTAACATTATGACAATGTGCAAGTTATATTGAATAACTTGCTGTGCAGAGCATGTGCAAAGCGCATTGTAAGCACATATTTGTATCCAAATTTAAGGGTTGTGGAACCAGTCCTAGGAATGAAGCACCTGTGAGTATGTATTTGCTTTGTCCCTCTGAGAACAACTTTTTAAATCCAGCTCCTATTTGATTAAATGCCCTTTTAGAAGTATGGCTGCTCTTCTGGAGCATTTTAGAAATAATCTTCACATTCTGAAGATTATAAAACAAGTGCATCTCACATTTACAGCAAAACCCTATGCATGCCTACCTAAAAGGCATATAGCATTTTTAGGTTATATGGTTTTATTGACACTTACTGTATACAGTCATACCTCAGGATGAATACGCTTCAGGTTGAGTGTTTTTGGGTTGCGCTCTGCGGTGACCCGGAAGTAACGGAATGTATTACTTTCGGGTTTCGCCGCTCGGACATGTGAGGGCGCTCAAAATGACATCATGTGCATGCACGGAAGCGGCAAAACGCAACCTGCACAGACGTGTGTTACGTTCGCTTCAGGATGCGAACGGGGCTCTGGAACGGATCCCGTTCACATCCAGAGGTACCACTGTATACGACCTGAGCATAGGATGGGCTCGCAGCATTAACACTCTAGCAGATCTTGCTTCCCCCATAAATCTCTAGGGCTGCTCCTTCCATCTGCTGCCAGAGCTTTGGGATTTAGCCCATGGAGCATGTCAAGCCATCCAGCCCACCCCAAAACTCACACACCAACTCTAGCTACAGTTTGCCTACTGTTCTTCTGGCTATTGTTCTTCTGCTTACAAGTTGATGTTACCTCCAACAAAGGGAAGGTGGTGGGCAAATGCCTACCATTTCCTGGAGAGCAGGATCACCCTAGTGGTTGCTATGGAAACACAGCTCACTCTTTAAGATGCTGCGGATGCCATTAGCCTCACAGATAAAGCCATAGCCTCCCCAAGAAGTGAAGTTACAGTGAATCAGGCATTCTCCATAGTGGCTGAAAAAGGTTCCTGGCCTTAGGTGGAGAACAACGGAAGCTTTCTGTCCATCTCATGTCAGCCACCCAAAGGTAACTGGGAGCTAGAATGAGAATGGCTGCAAGCAGCTGAGTTTTATTTTCTTATTTAATTTATATGCCACCCTCTGCAACCCTCTGCAAGCAGCTAAAGTGGCCTTGCACATCTCCCCCCTGCCTCACTTCATCCTCACAAGGACCCCACAAGGTAAGTTAGGCTGTCAGTCACATGACTAGCCCAAGCAAGCAACATGGCTGAGCAGGGATTTGCACCCTGGTCTCCCAAGCTCCTAGTCCAATGCTCTAACCCCGTGGTTCCCAATGTGGGGGCACACGCCCCACAGGGGGGCAATTTGAGAACGAGTTATCCACAGTCAACGGCCTTTTAGGCTTCCTCCACGTGAATTGAGGGGGGTGTCACTGAATAAGAATTATATGTCACGGGGTGGGGTGGGGGTGGGCATTAGGATTTTAGAGGTGGGGCATGGTTAAAAAAAAAAAGGTTGGGAACCACTGCTCTAACCACTTTAAGGAGAGTGGGTATGGAGGGCTGGAAAGACTTTCATGATTACGTATTTTCAACATCAAATCTATTAACCCGCCCTTCACCATCAAGCCGGGCTTACAGAAATTTAAAATTTCCCTTTTAACCCACGCGCATTTAAAACAGCTCGCAGTCGAGGCGGGCGGGGAGCAGAGGGGGAGTGAAGCAGTTAAAAGCAAATAGAAATAGACGGAGTCGCAGGAAAAAGGTGTGTAACCTGGTCCCGAGTCAGGCTTCCTTCTCGGGGCTTCGCGTGCACGTCTGGCCAGCCTGTTAAGGTCCAGCGCTTACTTCGGAGTAGACGACTTAGAAACAGCGGAGGGGCGGCTACTGCGGAGCAACATGCGGGGGGATTCGCCTGCGCCTCTGGCGAACAACTCCCCTTTCGCAGCCCCAGCAGCTCACCTGGCGGGGAGCGGGCGAACCCGAACGCAGACAGTCACAGCACCTTCCTCGCACATCTCGCCGAAGCACAAAAGAAGCCGCTGCTTCCCCCGCCCCCCGGGCCGTTTTCTATTGGTCCGCGGGTGACGTAGGCGCGCAGTCCCCGCCCACAAGTTGGACCGTAGTAATGCCTAAGGGGGCGGGGGGGGCGGGCGAATCGATCTCAGGCGCCTGGGCGGGGGGAGGCGATGAGACAAAGAGCGCCCGATCCTGTATAAAGGACCAGAGGGAGTTTCGAGGGATTCGAGCCTCCTTCTTATCTCTCGGGAAATGAGTGAAAAGGAAGGGGGAATACTCCCCTGGCTTCCCCCTTCGCCTTGTTTCCCAAGGGCCGTGGTGGTGCTAGGGTTAAAAAGGTCCCTTCGTTCTTTCCCCCCCCTCCCCTCCGTCGTCTCTCTTCGGTGGAGTCGGCCCGGCAGGGAAGCCGCTTGCTGATTGGCTGGAGCGGATTCTCAGCCTTGCGAGCGCGTTGATTAAATGCGTGCCCTTTAAAGCGCTGGTGTTCTTCGCGGAAGAAGCTGCGAAGCCTCCTTCCTTTACCCCTTTTTGATTGAGAGCAGGGCCGGATTTACGTATAAGCTAGACAAGCTATAGCTTAGCGCCCCACTCTCTTGGGGCCCCCAAAAAAATTTAAAGGGAAAAACACCTGGATGTACATTTCCAAAATATAAAATAAAACAATAAAACCCAGCCCATCTAATCTTTGTATTCTCTGTATTTTTCACAGGGTTAGTCTAAGCACAACCAAACTTTTGTGTTTGATCCCTGTTTGTGTAAATATTCATTTAAACATTCCCATTGTTTCTGAACCATAGTTTTAGATTTATGCCTTATTATATCCGCCAGTTTTGCTAACTCCAGATACTCACATAGTTTACTTAACCATTCCCTTTTTGTTGGGATGTTATTTCCTTTCCAGTAACTGGCCACCAACGTTCTCGCTGCTGTTGTTGCGTATAGGAATATGTTAATTTTATCTTTGGGGATATCCTTACTCAAAATTCATAATAAGTATGCTTCTGCCCTTTTGTTATATGAAACCTTTATTAATTTTGTAATTTCTTCATGGATCATTTCCCAGAATTTTTTGAGCTCTGAACATGTCCACCACATATGGTATAGAGTGCCCTTCATCTTACTGCATCTCCAACATTTATTACTAATCGATCTATTCATTTTTGCTAGTCTGTCTGGTGCCATATACCATCTGTGGTGCATCTTCATATAATTCTCTCTTATTGAATTGCAGGCCGTAAAATTTATGATTTCCCCCCAAAACTTTTCCAATCTTCCATATCAATTGTATATCCTAGATCCCATTCCCACTTTAGCATATTCTCTCCTTTTACTTCTTGGTCTATTAAACTATACAGTTTCAAAAGTGTTTTTTGATTATTTTGTAATACCTCTCTTTCTAATTTTGATGTTTTATTCCCAAATCCCCTAATTTAATATCTTTCTCATATGTAGCCTTAAGTTGGAAATATTCTAGCCAATTTAAATTATCATTCTTGATCTTATTTCTTCCTTTTCTTTATCTTCTTCTTGTTGCTGTTCTTTTCTTTTATATTTTACCTTTCATTTCTTTTCTTTATTGTGAATATTGTTTTGTAGAGGTGCAAATAATTGTAAATATGAGAAGAGGTAAAATGTTTTCTAATTTTCTATTGGTTACATGTATTTTCCTTTTTTTGTATATTTGTATTTTTTTTTATTTGTACTCAATAAAATTAGTAATAAATAAATAAATAAATAAAGCTCATCACATGTCCATCTCCTCGTCCCACTTGGCGGCGTCAGGCAACTTCATGTTTTGTCACATGAAATCAAGGAACATGGAGGCCTGCAGTAACCGGCCCAGCCTCTGGAAGTGCCGTGTATGGTAGGAGAGACTCCACAGCTGCTTTGATCCCTTCGTATTGCAAGAGGCTCTCTGGCGTCTCATGCTTGAGGAGGGTTTCCACCACTGCCTGAGCCTTGAGGTAGTTCCGCGAGTTTGTGTTCCACGTGATGGAAAACTTCAACACAGCCTCTGGAAGAAGGGGTTTGGGGAAGACACGTCAGGAAGGAGTGCAAGTTGCAGGCAGCGTGGCCACCTTGAACCAACACATCTCTCTTGCGAAGCGTGGCCAGGTCTGGGCACACATCTGACCTGCGCCTTTCTTCAAGGCAGGGAAGCAGATCCAACACCCCTCCCCACCTAGTAGAAACCATTAATGATGGGAGGGGTGACTGGGTTTATTCCAGACTACATGGCTTGCAGGAATGGGTTTTATAATATTTATAAAAGTACAACAACAAGAACAATATGTATTATAATGTTTGCTCTAGTATTACAGAGCTGGTGGAGCTAATTTGAGGCTGTGTATACACCATACAAAGGGACACAGGTAGCGCTGTGGGTTAAACCACAGAGCCTATGACTTGCCAATCAGAAGGTCGGCGGTTCGAATCCCCGCGACGGGGTGAGCTCCCGTTGCTCGGTCCCTAGTCGTGCCTACCCAGCAGTTCGAAAGCATGCCAAGTGCAAGTAGATAAATAGGTACCGCTCCGTGCACTGCTCTGGTTTGCCAGAAGCGGCTGGCCACATGACCCGGAAGCTGTACGCCAGCTCCCTCGGCCAATAAAGCGAGATGAGCGCCGCAACCCCAGAATCTTTCATGACTGGACCTAATGGTCAGGGGTCCCTTTACCTTTTTTTACACACCATACATTAAAAGCATTATCGCTTCTCCCCTGTAAGAATCCTGGGAACTATAGATTACCCTTCTACCGCATAGCTACAATTTGTAGCACCCTTTACAAACTGCAGTTCCCAGGATTCTTTGGGAGAAATGTGCTTTTAATGCCTGTTTTTCCTGCAGCAGGCATGCTCAGCTACCCCTCTGGAAGCTCAATCCCACAGAAGGCTGTGACGGCCACCAACTTGGATGGTTTTATGCAGGAAAGGCTATCAATGGCCACTAGGCACGATGGCTATGCTCTACCTCCACAGTCAGCGGCAGTAACGTTTGTGAATAGTAGTTGCTGGAAGATGCAGGAAGGGAATACAGAATGCTCTTGTTTCCATAGGCCTCTGGTTGGCCACTGTGAGAACAGGATGCTGGACTAGACAGGCCAATGTGGCCTCATCCAGCAGGCACTTCTTATGTCCTTACGTGGTTCAAGGGTAGAGATTGTGAGAAGGCATCTTCCAAAGCAATCCCACCTCAGCATCTCCTGGTGGGGCTGGGAGCGCTCCCTCTGCGCTTCGGAGGCTTCGCATTGCTATCGCTGAAGCCAAGGAGCCTGCATTCGATCCATAGGACGCACACACATTTCCCCTTAATTTTTGGAGGGGGAAAAGTGCATCCTATAGAGCGAAAAATACGGTATATCCAAAACCAATGTAAGGGTGAGAAAAACATAAATTTTACAGCGTGTGACCTATTAAGGGAGAACTACAGAAAAATTCATCATAGATGGTACTTAACTCCTGACAGATTGTCAAAAATGAATAAAATGAACAACAATAAATGCTGGAAATGTAATAGGACAAAAGGCACGTTATACCACATGTGGTGGACTTGCTCAAAGATTAAAACCTTTTGGGACATGATCCATGACGAGATAAAAAAATTGATAAGGGCATCACACAATAAAAAGGCAGAGGCATATCTATTAGGAATTCTTGATAAAGATATCCCAAAGGATAAAACTAACATATTCTTATACAGTGGTACCTCAGGTTAAGTACTTAATTCGTTCTGGAGGTCTGTACTTAACCTGAAACTGTTCTTAACCTGAAGCACCACTTTAGCTAAAAGGGGCCTCCTGCTGCTGCCGCGCCGCCGGAGCACGATTTCTGTTCTCATCCTGAAGCAAAGTTCTTAACCTGAAGCACTATTTCTGGGTTAGCAGAGTCTGTAACCTGAAGTGTATGTAACCTGAGGCACCACAGTACATGACAACAGCGGCAAGAGTTTTGATTGCTAGCTATTGGAAAAAGGATAGCATTCCAACAAAAAGAGAATGGCTGGGGAAACGGACCTCCGGAACGAATTAAGTACTGAACCCGAGGTACCACTGTACATGAAAAGAATGTGTGCTTTTATTTAAAATGCATCTCTGGGATATTTGTGGGGCATAGGAATTCGTTCATCCGCCCCCCAAAAAATATAGTCCAGCCCCCCACAGGGTCTGAGGGACAGTGGACCAGCCCCCCTGCTGAAAAAGTTTGCTGACCCCTGGCTTTGGGCCTCATCAAACCTAAATCCGGCCCTGCTCACAGGGTTGTTGTGGGGATACTAAATGAGGAAGGGCGGACCATGCACGCCACATTGAGCTCCTTGGAGGAAAAGGCGGGGGGTTGATGCAGTGCATTTAAATAAATAAAACAAGCCTTCGGGAAAAAGAAGCTCAGAGCGAGGCGGACCCGAAGCACGGGTGCCCAAAGCAGCTGCCGGGCAGAAACTCATCCAGGCGCTCCGCCCAGCCCGTGCGCCCTCCTCTCCAGGGCGCGAAGGTCCTTGCGCCTCGCCGTCGTGGAGAGACTTCGCGGGCCGCCGAGGCAAGAGAGCGCCGAGCTGGGGCGCTGCGCTCTTCCTGTCTCCCGATCGCCGGGAAGGGAAGGAGGGCGCTGGAGCCGGGAGCGCCCCGGGAAGAACTCCTCGGCGGAGGCGGGCTATGGAGGGCGCAGCCTCCGTCTCCTCCGGCCGGGAGTAGCCGCGGAGCCGGCATGGCCCTGTCCGGCTCTTCGCCGGAGCTGCGCCTGCCGCTGACTCGGATCTCCGAGGCGGAGATGGAGCTCTACTACCGGCTCCTGCGAGCCGCAGTCAGGGCCGAGTCCTTGGCCGCCGCCGGTAAGTCGCCGCCTCTGGCCGGGCAGCAACAGCAGCTGCAATGCAGCGAGGGTCGGGGGCGGGTGTCCTCCCTCTGCCCGCCCCGCTTCCATTTCTACCGGCGATCTCCCTCTCTCCCTCTCTCCCCCCCGCCCTCGTCAAGGCACAGAAGTTACCCCGCGACGGGGAGGTGGGGGAGTTACAGAGGGGCTTCTCACGGACTCCCTCTTCCCTCCTAAAGATGGGCTGCATCGCTACAGCATTCAATCTGCTAATAATAACATTTTGGGGGATGGACGCATGAGGGTTGCCAACTGACCTGTCTTGCGTCTTAAAGAAGGGTCGAGTTGCAAAAATCAGCAGGTGCACCGGTGCCCTTCCCCACTCAGGCCCCTTCGCTCCATCGAGATAACCGTGGTTTCCTCCTGCTGTTGCATGCAGAGCAGGTGAGGGCAACTGAGAAGTTGGCAATGCTATGTATTCACTGGTGGGGCTTCTTTCTGTGCAAATCTACAGGTGTTGGAGCCTTGGAGGGAGGAGCAGCTTCCATTCTGATGGATGCAGAGTGCTGTGAACAGAAAGGGATGTGGGACTTTAGGCCTAGCAGCCAAATGTGGCCCCCAAGCCACTCAGACTGGCCCTGGACCACCCTTTTTAATAGCCATGCTCTGTGCACCTTCTTTGAGTTTTCTCTAGCTAGAATGTGACCTTGAACTGGAACCTAGGAACACAAACTCCTCATACTGAGTCAGAAGCATTGGGCCATCTAGCTCAGTATTGCCTACACTGACGGGCAGCAGGATTTCAGACAGGTTTTTCTCCCAGCTCTACCTGGACATGCTGGGAAGATGCTGCTGTTGCTGGTAGTGGTGGTGGGTAGGTGGGTGTGTAAACTAGCCTAATCTACTAAGCATAATAGTAGTAGTAGTAGTAATACAGTGGTACCTCAAGTTACATACACTTCAGGTTACAGACACTTCAGGTTACAGACTCCACTAACCCAGAAATAGTACCTCGGGTTAAGAACTTTGCTTCAGGATGAGAACAGAAATCGTGCTCCAGCGGCGCAGCAGCAGCAGGAGGCCCCATTAGCTAAAGTGGTGCTTCAGGTTAAGAACAGTTTCAGGTTAAGAACGGACCTCCGGAACGAATTAAGTACATAACCAGAGGTACCACTGTAATAATAATAATAATAATAAGGTGTACAAATGTAAAACTTACATTTGTTGTCCTTCCCACTTTTTTTCTGGTTCCACCCAGCGCTGGCAATTGGCCCTTTGAAAGTTGCCAAAAAGGGAATGTGATTGTTAATGTTCTTCTCCCACCATGACATCTTAGCATTTTAGGAATTTGAAAGTCCTGAAGCAAGTAGTGTATCCTGCTCATTCAGTGACTACCTTTGCTGATAGATCATTCTGGGAACTGGGTAGGGATGGGTGGTCTAGGGATGTCTTGCATCCAAAGTGGCCCACAGCTCCCAACTCCTTCAGTATCCCTCTTTCACTACCAGCAGATGCATGGATTTGGCCCAGAGGCTGATAGTTCCCAACTCCCTTGTCATTCCAACGTTTGCTCTGCGGTGGCAGGGGGGGGGGGGGGCTTGCAAAATCTCCAGCAGTCATCACTGACTTTGGGAATTAAGGATGTGTGTGTTCCTGTGCAAGTGAGAAGTTTGGGGGACCCTGGGCCTTGACTATGTGTGCAACCATTGGTGTGCAACCTTGCTGGGGGTTCAGTCTTCAATGCCATCTACATGTTCAGTTGGGAATGACCCCCCCACCACCACCTGAAACCCTAGAGAGCCACTGACAGTGTAGATCTGGGGTGGGCTGCTGGTCCATAGGTCACTCTTGACCTGTCTGGGGTCCTGTTTGGCCCATGAGGCCATTAACTTCCCACCCACACCCATTTGTCAATCAGCTGACATCATTGGGTCACATCATTTGATGGATGGGAGGCAGGGGTTTAATGCAGCTTGGTGCATCTTCTCCAGTGTACAGTATTACCTGCAGTGAGCACACTGGGGAAGCAGACCACCCACCCCATGAATTAACTCTGACAGGTAGGAGGGACCATTCGCTTATGGTGTCACCATGATCTCAGGTGGCTGGTCCCATCCAGCTGCCAAAGTGGACCCACTGATCCGCTGGGCCAGAAAGGCTCCTCATCCCTGGTGTAGTTGTTTGGTGTACTAATGGTCTGAGTTGGATTGAATGAAGCAGCTACCTGTGTACTGTACTGGGGCTGCAGCTAGGTGGTTGAGAGGGCCCAGGTTCAATTCTCAACATCTCCAAGTAGGGCTGGTACATATCCCCTTCCTGAAACTCTCTGCCAGTCACTGTTGACTGAGCTGCTAACTCCCTCCGCAGTCTACGGCTGTGAACTGATTCATACACGCATGTGAGTGCGTCATGTGAATGTGTGAACAGACTCGTGCTGGTTACTGGGAGTTGGGGTCCCCTAACATCTTGAGGGTCACAGGCTCCCCACCCGTCCTCTAAAGAGAGATCTGCTTGCAGCCATCAAAACAGTACTCTGATCATGGGTGGCTTTGGGGAATCTCCCTGGGAGTCTGTAGCAATTAACCTGAAGCAGCAACATTGACCTTAAAAGCAGGTGAATCAAGCTGTTGGAAATGCTGGGGCTTGTCCTGGAGCAGGTGTGGCAGTGAGACATGTAAACTGCTAGAGCAGGTGACTTGTCAGGCTGCATCCTTCTCGGTGGGAGAAAGGATGCTATGCTGGAACTTGGGCAATTGCGAAAGGATGTAATGCAAGCAGCTATCAACAAGAACTGGGTTTTTACTCTAGCAAACAGCAGCTGAGTGAGGTTTGTCCAGAGGCTGTACAGTTCTGCTGCAGGTGCTGGCTTGCATCGTGAAATGCTCATCCGCCACACAACGTTTTCCTGCATGGAGGAGAAAAGCAACAACAGTTCACCACAGGCTTCCTTGCTTTCTATCATGCAATTGTATGAGCTCTCGAGTCTGGTGTGATGCTGTCTGCCAGACACAGGTCTGCCACTTCAGCTGCTGTTTGTAAGAAGGAGGCTTTCGTGCAGGGAGGGGGAATCGCCACTCCTCTGGCCCTGGGAGGATTCCCACCATGACCCTATTCCTCCTCAGCTTCCTGGTGGCAGGCATGAGGGCTTGACCTGGCTCACTGTACTATTCAGGAGCAAATTTAGTTGGGGTTTCCTAACCATGAAAGTCGAGAAATGATGTTATCTCTGTGTGTGTTTTGAACATTCTGAACTATTGTATAAATATTATTCTGTTTATGGTAAAACTGACCTAATTTTAGATGTAGACATAGTAATAATAACAATTTTTCTTATTGTGTTTTTTGCACTATCAGGAATGGGGAACCTTAGATCTAGAGGACAAGTACAGTCCTCCGAGTCTCACTCTCTGGCCCTTAGAAGCCTCCTGGGGCCACACCCCTCATCCTTCTTGCTTCAAACCCTCCCTGAGTGTTTTTGCCTGGGTGGAATGTGTCTTTGAACTCTCATAATGATAAGGCTTGCCTTTAAGAAGAATACAGAAATAGGTGTGCTGAGTGTTGTCAGGAGCCAAGTGGGCAGTAAATCACACTGTGCAAGTTGGAATTAACTCTTCATTAGCAAAAACATGATCTTCACAGATTTATCAGAGTGCCAGGCCTAATGAGCACAGCAGCTCAACCCTGGTTGGTTTTGTCCCATGTATCAGTTGCTGAGACTGAAATCTCCCCCCTCCCCAGCTGCCTAAGTCCTCTCCTCTGCCTGGCACCACCATTGCTGCCTTTTAGGTGTCTGCTGAAACCAATTTTGCTTTTCTGGGCGTTTCAATGACTAATGCTGTCTTTGAGAGCCAGTGTGGTGTAGTGGTTAAGAGCGGTAGTCACGTAATCTGGGGAACCGGGTTCGCGTCTCCGCTCCTCCACCTGCAGCTGCTGGGTGACCTTGGGCCAGTCACACTTCTCTGAAGTCTCTCAGCCCCACTCACCTCACAGAGTGTTTGTTGTGGGGGAGGAAGGGAAAGGAGAATGTGAGCCGCTTTGAGACTCCTTCGGGTAGTGATAAAGCAGGATATCAAATCCAAACTCTTCTTCTTCTTTTATTACTGCCAATTGTGTTTTTATAGCTGCGGAGGACTGCATGATTGGTCTTTTAAAATGCCGCTTCTTGAATATTTTATTTAGTTACATTTATCACTACATCTGTATTCCACCCAATAAACAAGGCAAAGTTTTGCTTTTCGTTTGTTGTTTTTGTGTTCAAATTACACTTTGCTGCTTTGGAAGCCTGTCTCTATCCTAAAAAATGTTTTTGAAAATAATTGTAAACACATTTGATTTAATACCCTAGTATGCATACACTCTGTCCAGATTTAGACTGCTCCATATGGAAATATGTGATTTCTTGTAGTCCTACCTTTTTAAATCCCCCCCATCTTCCAGATTGCCCTTCTAGATTATTTTGTCTCTCCACACACCCTGCCCCACTGCAAAAAAATATTTTATCCAAAGCTCATAGCTGTGCATCCTATTAAAAATAGATGCTTCAGATGCCGTTACAGAGCTTTCAGAATATAGGGCAACAACGTCCCAAAAGGCTTTGGATGCTTTCGTAAGCTGAAGAGAGTATCTCCAGGAGAGAGATGCAGATTGAAAGAGCAATACAGGACGTTTAAAACCCTACACATGTCACACCAGCATTAACTGGTGTGGTGGGTCCCAGCGTCCTAATTGTTTACTGTAATAATTATAAAAAGTGACAGCAGGTGTGTGTTGGGTAGAAAGATTTGTTTTGGATTGTAAATGGGGAAGTAGGGAATGCCATTTAATTCCATGGTCCCTGTATATCTGCTTTTATTGCGAGTGTGTTTTAGGATCATTTCTTCATTTCAAATGTTTGGATCCTTTGGCTTCCAGGAATAGGATTTTATGGTTCTCTGAAGAGTCCCCGCTGTCACCCTTAACAGCCCAAAAGGCACAAAAGGAAACAGGACTAATAATAATAATAATAATTTTTATTTATACCCCGCCCTCCCTGGCCAAAACCGGGCTCAGAGCAGCTAACATGAAACGTATAACACATTAACATAAAATCAGGCAATCAATTAAAATACATCCTAAAATCAGATCAGAATAAAATCCAATCAGATGGCAACCTGCAGATTAGGGTTGGGAACCTTAAATGCTCACCAGGCCCAACTGTTTGTGCTGAACTTCTATTAGCCTGTGAGAAAAATTGGAAGGCCACTTTCATGCAAGTTCTTATGAAAGGGGAGAGGGAGTCAGACTGAACCCCAACCAAAGGCCTGGCGGAACAGCTCCGTAGGGCTGGGCTCTGCTGTTAAATTATGAGATTCTACTTTGGCAGAAATTACACACCCTTTCACAAAATGGCTATTTAAGCACCAAAGGTTGGAAGCTTTTCCAAGATTCTTTTTTGTGCTTGTAGGAACCTACTGTGCCTTTGTCCCAATGTTATTATTTTCATGCACTGGGGAATTTAGTGCCACTTTTACGCAGACACACACCCTTTGTGTTGCAGAAATCCCTTCTGGGACGTTGTGTACCTTCACCCCGAAATGAGATCCTCTTCCTCCAAAGAACGTTTGGTCTGTGATCAAATCTTGCATGAATGACCAGGGATTGCTTTGCAACAGCCAGCCACAATCATCACCATCTTGCAAAGGAGAAAATGACCATCTTAGAATCATAGAATTGTGGAGTTAGAAAGGGCCACAAGGGTCATCTAGACCAACCCCCTGCAATGCAGCAATCTTTTCCCCAACCCGGGACTTGAACCCACGACTTTTATAATTAAGAGGCTTGAGCAACTGAGACATCATCTTGGATGGCCTTCTGTCAGGAGTTCTTTTGCTCCCTCCATTGCAGGGGGTTGGACGAAATGATCCTCAGGGTCTCTTCCAACTCCACAGTTTTATGATTCGTCACTTCAGGGCTCTCTTGCCAGGATTTGAAAGGAGGACTTTCCTGGCTCGTGTTTAGTTTATTTCCTACACCACTTTGCTCCAGCTAGAAAAGGCCCTTGTTAGAGGGAACAGTCTCCTCTGCTTGTGCCTGGATGTGGCTCAGCTGCCCTCAGCTGAGTCTTGGTGTCACTTTACTCCCTGGCTCTTATCCTTTCCATCTTTTTGTGCTTCTGCTTTTTCCGTTTGTGCTTCTGCATTGTTAGGAGTGTGCTCACATTTCTGCTTCATATTTACCGTGCCTTGGCATGACGAAATGGAAACATCCCCATGAACAGAGGAGAAAACCCATTGGAAAGGTAGATAAGATAAGGGATGACTACTCTGTGTTAACGGCACCATGACTATCCAGATGTGCAAACAAGGGAGCGAGATGGATTTCCCCCTTAACAGTGAAGTGCTGCTTCTAATCCACTGTAATTTAGGCTGCATTCACAAAGCAGTTTATTCAATTTCCCTGACATTTCCCTGATTGTTAACTTCTGCATTATGTTTGAGCTTTCACATGATGTAGAAGACAGAAAACTATTGGAACATAGTGCATGTTTAGTGATCATTTCCATGTAAGTGACAAATTTGGGGTGGTATACTGGCATACAATACTTTCCTGTTGTTTTCGTGGGGAATCACGGGGGCTTTGCCTTTAAATGAGAACTGAATCGAATTTCTCATATCCCTGGTTGTGAGAAAACATGATTTGTGACATTGCACAATGCATTTAATGATCAACGGGGTACCTCTGTTGAGGCATCAGCTTCATCCTCCAATTCCCTGGCTTTGTGGAGCCTCTCCCCCTCCCTGTCACATAGGGATGTCTTGTAACCCCTCCAGTTCTTCCATGGCTTCTTTCCTCCCATTCCACAAGTGGCATCAATTTTATTCTTTCCAACCAAAGAGGTAGCTAATCTCGGCCAATAATGGAAATCCAGTTTGACTTGCTTTAATTAAGAGCCTTCCTCCTTCAGGCTGGAAAGCCATTAGAGGATTAGAGGAAATTTGGGACATATAATTACAGATCTTATTTTGCAGCCCAAAGCCACTACTGCAAGGGAGCTTTAGTGGTAGATACACCCAACTGTTTTCGGATTGGCCGTGCTATTTTAAAACAGAAAATGCGTTAATGCACGTAAAGATTCTGGTCTGTTGCAACATATACAGAGTTGGACCATTGGTCCACCTATCTCAGTATTGTCCTTACAGACCGGCAGCAGCTCGCCAGGGCTTCAGAGCAGGGACAGTTGTAGGGCAACCTGGAGATGTTGGAGATTGAACCTGGGAACTTCTGCTTGAAAGGCATTTGCTCTGGTCTGCAGGCTTTCCCCTAAAATAGGAGCAGGAAGCTGTGATACTGCCCATCTTGCTCTATCACTCACTGGTGGCAGCCCCCCAATACCTCTCAAAAAAGATGTTGCAGAGCTGGAAAAGGTTCACAAAAGAACAGCCCCAACCAGCATGGTCAGTAGTTGGGTATGCTGAGAATTGCAGAAAGATTCAGATGCCAGTGTAGTCGACTTCCATACATATATTTGGGGTGTGGCTGGGGAAAGACCATCTTGCCTTCCGCTGGCCCTGGCAATGAAGCCTGGGGAAGACGTTAAAGTACGGCATGCTCAGTTTCCTTCCCACGCACGGTAAATCTTCACAAGAACCTTGAAAGGTACGTTGGCCAGAGGCAACTGATCTGAGGTTATCCAGTGAGATTTCTAGGGATTTGGGCTGCCTGGGTCTAAGCTCAAATTTCTAGTCATTGGGCTGTGTTCACAAAACATTCGCAAGGGCCATGTGGAAATGAAGCCACTGCAGACAGCAGTCCCAAGCTCCTTTCTTGTTAACATGGGTGGAAACATACTTTCCTGGGCACATGAAAGAATCCGCAAACCAGCTCTTTCTCCCATTTCTGGGTTTCCTTGGTAGCTCTCTGGCCCTTTGACAATGCCCTCGCCTGTTCCTTTTTTATAAATCACAATTGGGATTGTGTTCCACAAAGAGCAGTTGATTGGTATCGAGAAGAGTAATGAGTTTTTTAGGCGGCTAGACAGGTGTGTAGTATACCTGCTGTTTGCAAATGGTGTGGGCAGTTCTGGTGAGGGGCAGGGAAGATAAATAACAGGCCTCACTGAATCAGCCCTCCTTAAAAGGGCATTAATTACTGCACATGCTGTATCTGTGACTCAAGAACATCACCTACTCTGTAACCTTTTGCTGACCCTGTTCTTTCCCCGGTCTTGTTGTTTATAAAACCCAGGCTCAAAGTTTTAGCCCTCTGAAAGGATTTGTTGTGGGCTGCTTGCCTGCCTGCCTGCAGGTAGCTGTTTGCAGAACACTGACGGTCCGAAAGGAAGGAGGGCAAAAATCGTACCTCCTGGCCCTGCCTTGACTCATCTAGATGTTTTTCAAGCTGTGAACACATCTAGATGTGTACAGTACATAAGTTATGTGAACGATCTGGGATCCTGCAAAATGCAGGGTTGTTGATGGTGCAGAGTTGCCTCAGCTCTGTTCACAGGTTGAATGAACTCGAGGTTGTGTAGATGGACCTACTCTGGAGTGACTTACAGATGTCAGCGATGAGACAGTTCCTTCCTTCAGGCTGACAATCCAAAACAATACACAACACAAAAGGAAAATGGATTGGGAGGGAGAAATGCAAACTCAGACACGCTTCCTTAATTACAGAGTTCTTGGAATGGCCAGCTGGAATGGGGGAGATATCACAGAGAGGATGATATCCTTTTCCATCAGGAGTCCTTTTCTATCAGGAGATGCTAGTGTTTGAGCCTTGGACCGTCTGCATCCAAAGCAGGTACTCTGCCAATGAGCTATGACTCTCCCACACGGAGGATATAGGAAGGGAAGAGCAGGCATTCGAGTCGATGGGTGATGGAGATGCAGGAAGGAGAAGCCTGGAGAAAGTGGGATATAGATGTGACAGGTTCAAGCTACGCAATGATTAAGCCATGCATTTCATGTTCCTTTTTTCGCCAGAGTCATCTCTTCCAACACGTGCAAAGGACATTGCTGAGGACTTGAAGAAAGAATTTGCATTTCTTTCCGGTGAGTATGGCAAACTCTTCTTTGTGTCCCAAACATTTTTTTAAAGTGTGATATAAATAGACAAAATTAAAGTAAACCCCACCCCACATTGTTGGGACCAGTTTGAGACTGAACAAGGGCTCTGCTGGGACCAGGGCTGGACAGTGCAGTTTGAGACGGAAGTGAAATGCAAGTCCACAGCAGTTAGCATAATAAATAAGGGCTCCATTTAGGTTAGTTTCATGGTCACATAGTAGTGTAGTTGGACCCCTTCATGATAGTCACAGCCATGCCCCCTTCAAAAAGTATTCAATAATCTTATCAATATATGGTAATAATAATTAGAGATGCAATTCAACAACCAGTGCGGATCTGCATTTGTTGCCCTTCAGCTAGAGCTGTGCACGTACACGGGCAAATGATTAGGAGTGCTCCAGTGTCTTATTTCAAAGTGACTTGAGTTCTGTTTTCCTTGAAGTCCCATTGCACATAAGCCCCTTGCATTCTCAGTGTTCCTAAACACTTAGCTTTGGAGCATGCAGAACAACTCCTCCTGGTCGTTCTCCCCATGTTCTTTCTCCAGAAGGGCCCTTGGAGACAGTTCTCAGGGGCTGACTCATCTCTTTCATTCCAGATGAGCTCCAAGTAGCACCCAGGGTGAGAAGACTCCTTCTTTGTGGTGAAAAGGTCTTCTTGCATGCTGATTGGGCAGCTTTAAGTTGCTGGAGACAGTGAACCTGCTGCAGAAATAGTAATGGTTCTTTGACTGTGACCCTGCCTCCCCCAGCAGGCACATGTGTTGAATGGCTTAGCAGCTGGTTTAGGATGTCTGCTTATTCCCACCCACCCCTCTCTTCCAAACTAGGTGGAAGAGGGAAAGACAACGGCTGGATCATAACATTTCCTGAAAATTCCAATTTCAACCAAATGCCTGAAGAGGTTGTGACAAAAGTTTTGAGCTACTTAACTCGGATTCCAAGGTACCCATATTTCACTCTAGTGGGTGCTGCGCTGTCACATCAGCTTGATATTGTTATAGATTTAAGGGTGGGGGGACTCCCCTAAACCCTATAAATTACCAAATGCTAGTATTTTGATTATTTGGGACATGAAGTGAGAATGCAAGCTGCAGAAGAATTCCTGTGGCTGAGCTATGTTCCTCAAGGAACAATACAGATCAATTGAGGAACATTAACAATGGGACCGGGGTGGTACTGTGGTCTAAACCACTGACCCTTGGGCTTGCCGATCAGAAGGTCGGCGGTTCGAATCCCCACGACGGGGTGAGCTCCTGTTGCTCGGTCCCAGCTCCTGCCAACCTAGCAGTTCGAAAGCATGCCAAAAAGTGCAAGTAGATTAATAGGTAAACGGCATTTCCATGTGCTGCTCTGGTGTCGCTGTTCTGTTACGCCAGAAGCGGCTTAGTCATGCTGGCCACATGACCCGGAAAAACTGTCTGCGGAGTGGACAAACGTCTGCTCCCTCGGCCAGTAAAGCAAGATGAGCGCCACAACCCCAGAGTTGTTTGTGACTGGACTTAACTGTCAGGGGTCCCTTTACCTTTTAACAATACAAGAGAGGGCCTTCCCCCTTGCCCTGAGGTGTGAACAGAGACTGGGGATTTGGAAGGTTGCCAGGGTGACTGTTCTGGGAGCAAGGAGGAGGAAGAGGAGCTGAGATCAATCCTGGGCAGGTTGCATTCACTGCTGTGGGGGTACCAGCCCCTCTTGAAAGGGCCAGGCTGTAAGATCTGGACTCCCTCCATGCAGACTGAAGGTGCAAATAGGTGAATAAACAAACCATATTTCTTAAAGCCACGGCATTTCTCCACCATGTCTTCCTTAGGCTGAGAGACAGAGGCTGGCTTAGCCTACCTCACAAGGTTGTTGCAAGGATGAAAGGTATATATTCGTGGAGGGGGCATGCAGACTACTGTGGCGCACTGGAGAATCAGCATAATAAAAAAGCAGATAGTTGCCTGTTGCTTACTTTGACAAACTATGTCAGCACCAGAATCATAAACAGCAGTGTTGCTGCATCAGTAATCAAGATAGAAAACTTGCAGCTTTTTTTCTGGGGGGGGGGGCACGGCATAGCTATGTATTAGGAGCATGTTTTGCAAATACAATTCCCAGCATCTCCAGTTGGAAAAAAAAAATCTGGTGGAAAGTAATAACTGAGCTATGTTCCCTGAGGTTTAGAAACTTGGCAAAGGGCAGGCGCCTGTTTAAAAATGAAACAGAGATTCTGTGCATCCTTCCCTTAAATGTGTGCTAGATTTAAAAACAGCAATGCATATGCACAATCCTGGAGGTCCAAAAAACAGCATATATATCATGTTCACTAGTTTCATTTGCAAATGAATTTGTTGTTTGTTGCAAATGTTTGTTCTGGAACCTAATAATTAAACACTTGTTGGTTTAATTCACCTGTGTCAACCTTCAACACTGTGCTGCCAGGAAGTAAGGAGAACTGGGGAAAGGAAAAGAAAAAACGTTAACTGTGATCAAGTTACTAATAAAACAAATCAGTCTACCTTGATACCTGCCCAGCAGGTTGGGTTGTATATTCAGTGCAGTAGTGAGGTGCTCAGAACTTTGTTTTACGGGCAGGAGGCTCACTTTTGGACTTAATGGTTTTATGTCTCTCTAGAGGGCAATGTGTATTTCTTCCCTTACTTGACCTGAGTCTCCTGTTTCAATGGGATTGTTTTAGCACATATTTTAATTGCAGATGTTTTCTATTTCTTTTTTTTTAATTAATGGGATTCCCCCACCCACCCCTTTTGTATCTTAGTGGTTGACGTTTATATTTGAATGTTTGTGTAATTGGTTATTTATCCTTAGGTTGCCTACCCATGCTTAGAAGCTTATTGCAGCATTAAGTGGTATATAAATTAATAGACAGTAATACTTGCGGTCAGTCTGGCATTTTACCACACTTGGGGATCCTCCTGCTCAGTGGTGCCCTGGATGTTTGCCCAAAAAATCCTAACTTGATGGCACCACTCTTTGTTGGAGAGTTTAAGTGCCATTTGCCTCTATGTGGTCAGTAAATGAATCCAGCATTAACTGCTCTGAGTTTGATGGTATCTGCAAGTTCATTGCTGAAGTCAGAGAATGAATATTGGGCCTTGGCCAAGGGATCAAGAACATGCATGGCACCTGCTAAGTCTCTGAATGCCCCTCCGCTCATTGCTCCTGTGGTCATGAGGTGGCAAGGGTGGTTAACTTCCCCCTACTCTCCCTTTAAAGGGTCATAGAGTTGAAGGAGGAAGTGGGGAAGAGTGGCACTCTTTGCCACTTCCTCTTTCAACTCTTGGTGCTTTTCAAGGCTCAGATGAATTCTTTTGGATCTGAATCTAGGTCCCTTGAGAAATTGAAGTCTATGTGTGCATGTGCCCAACCCTTCTCTCTTTCAGTTTCTCAGAGGGTAGGCTGATCCAGGGCAAGGGGCTGGTGCCCACTGTTAAAAAATCTTAATGTACCCCTTGACTTGAAAAAGCTGGCAACTCCTGGTCTAGATGTGCCATTTATTAACTCAATCACTATACATTTTGGTAAACTGATGTGGAATTTAGTAAAATGGCAGTCAAAAAGGACTCCCACAAGTCGACGGTGATGGTAACTATGCCTAGATGCGCCGAAAAAAGGATAGTAGACAAACTCATGGTTGCCACAATAGTTAAATGGACCTTATGTTCAGAAGCACTGCACCCCCAAGTATTGTGCACTGGGAGCAACAAACAGAGGAAGGGATCTTGCTTTAATGAGACAAACATCCGTTTTTGAGAAGCAAAACAGTATTAGCAAAGTCATGTAAATAACGCAGGTGGAGACAGAAGATATCCTTGTAACCCTTTACCAAGGAAAATGAGCAAAACAGTGTGCAATTTGAGGATAAATAAATGAGAAAAATGTGCATAATTTGAAGAGAGGTTTTTATCTATTTTACTTCAAGGCCTTGTATATAGCAGGGAGACATTCAGCAAAATTAGCTGGTGTGGGGAAGCGAGGAAGACTCTCAGAACTGCACAGCCAATCAGAGCATGTGGCATCTTAGCAAACATCATGCCACTCTGCCCAGTTGCTAAGCAGCATCTCTGCCTGCCCCCACCCTTGGCTAGCAGAATTATCCTTTAAGCAGGGAGTTCTGAAGAGCGAGTACTTCCACACTATAGGATCAATTTCATATGAAGGTGGAGCAAGTATCATGTGGCACCAGTTCCACAGATCAAAGCAGCCAAGGGGGCATATACAATGGTACCTCGGGTTACATACACTTCAGGTTACAGACTCCGCTAACCCAGAAATAGTACCTTGGGTTAAGAACTCTGCTTCAGGATGAGAACAGAAATCACGTGGTGGCAGCGCGGCGGCAGCGGGAGGCCCCATTAGCTAAAATGGTGCTTCAGGTTAAGCACAGTTTCAGGTTAAGAACGGACCTCCAGAACAAACTGAGTTCTTAACCTGAGGTACCACTGTATGGGGGGAAAGGTGATCTTGCAAATAAACTAGCCCTAAGCTGTTAAGGGCTTTATAGACTAATCTTATTTTTGTTATTTAGGTATTTAGTTATTGCATTTATAGCCCACTTTTCCTTCAAGGAGCTGAAGGAGGCATGCATGCTTCTCCCCCCTCCTCATTTAATCCCCACAACAACCCTGTGAGGTAGGTTTGGCTGAGAAGCAGTGACTGGCCCAAGGTCACCCAGTGAGCTTCATGGCTGAGCAGGGATTTGAACCCTGTTCTGGCAGGTGCTAGTATGACACTGTAAGCCAGGGGTCAGCAAACTTTTTCAGCAGGGGGCCGGTCCACTGTCCCTCAGACCTTGTGGGGGGCCGGACTATATTTTTTGGGGGGGAATGAATGAATTCTTATGCCCCACAAATAACCCAGAGATGCATTTTAAATAAAAGGACACATTCTATTCATGTAAAAACACGCTGATTCCTAGACCGTCCGCGGGCCGGATTTAGAAGTTGATTGGGCCGGATCCGGCCCCCGGGCCTTAGGTTGCCTACCCATGCTCTAAGTGATGCACCACAGTGAGGTTGGCCTGGGAGCACACAGGCAATATTTAAGGTGCTGCCCAGCAGAGGTGCCACATCCTGGCAGGGTCTCATTCCTGCCAGCAATCATTTCCTCAGAATTCTGCGCTAGCTGCAGCTTCCAGGTCAAGCGCAAAGGGAAGCACCACCTAATAATACAAAGTAATAATGTTAATGCAGCAGCAGCACATCTTGGCCATTTTCAGAAGGGAAGTTGAGCAGAGCATACTCTTGGTTACAGTGGTTGAACTGCCAGTGGAACAGCTGAGCTCGATTTGAACTCTGTGCCCACTTCGTCTCTTTTCCTGCAGCTTCAGATATATAATTCTTCCCACCCACTGAGCCCAGCCACTTCCTGGAATTCCTGCAAGATACAAAAATTGCAGTCTATTCCCACCTGTCCAAAAACCATGAGGGTTTTTTTTGGGGGGGGGGGGGGAGTTTCATCCAGAGGTGTGTTGCCACCAATCTCGTGTGTGAACTGAAGGTTGCCGTTTCCAAAGATGAAAGTGCAACCCAGCTTCTTGTACTGGCGAACGAGTCATTGCAGAGTTGCTCCACCTTATTAAGCTCCACTTTAGGGGTGTTCCCAGTATTGCTTAGAGAGGGAACGCCCTAGCAGATAGCAGTCCACCACCCACCACACCCTAGACAGCAAGGGTGGCAGCACCATGAAATCCATGGGAGCAACCAGTGAGAGATTTGCAGAGCAGAAATTTGCCTAACCAGGATCACAGTGGCCTGTTTCTCTGGGTGTGTGTGTTTTTACTTCCTTTCAGCTGGCTGGGTGCTGATTGATACAGGAATAATCTATAGAGGCTAGGGATGGGGAAAGAATTCCTTTGACTTGTTTTGCGCAATGGACCAACCTGCTCTGACATTCCCAGACTCGCTAGCTGATCGGAATGCAACTCCCACTTGGATTGCACCCTTTTCCGGATTTTGCAGTGTATCTGAGATGCCTAAAAGTGTGCACAAAATCTACTGTTTTATCTACTGTTTCATAAAATTTATATACCACTGGAAAGGAAGGGATTTACTCTTAAGCTTATCCTCAATATCCAACTTTCCTCTCCCTCTTAATAACATTTTTGTATGTGGTTTCTTTTTCCATTTATGCACGCATTGTTCTAATATTTGCATTCTTGTCCACATTATTTTTGTGTGTGTTGTTGTTTAGAGAAGCATGTGTTTCAATTCAGTACAGGTTTAGTATGAATTTGGTAGGTTCTCTTTAAAATGCAAACTGTACTGAATCTCACCCTGCTGCAAGTCTTGCAGCATCAGATTCTGGTAAGCCATTGCTAGGGTGTGTGCCCTCCTTTGTTTGTCCGCCCTTTCCCCCCCCCCACCCCGCCCTGCCCCACCCTACTCTTTCAGTGGCTTTGATCCTAGAAAACAAAATAATTATGGAATGAATTGACCAAAATCTTGCAACGTGCCTTGGAGTTTGCAGCCTGATCTCCAGGCAATGTTATTTGCCAAGTGTATTCTGCCATGCAAACCTCTCATTAACAGTGTGATGAGTAGATTCAGAGCGGGTTCCCCTAAATTATAGTCTTGAAGAGCATGAATTAGTAATTGAGTCAGGCAAGGTTAGGGCACGTGCAATTAGGTTTTTGCATGCGGTTCTGTGGTTTTGCCGGGAGAACAAAGGCTTGTGCAACAGAGAAAGAAGAATCCACCTTATTCCAGATAAATAGCACGTGCTCCAAGTATCCCCATCTACCATCAGTTTCAGTTCTCTGGTCCCTGTCTCTGGTAAACCAGTTTATCCTTTGTGCCCTTAGTTTTTGTTTTTGTTTTGCTTTTGCTGCTTCTTTAAATATTGTCAGCTGCAATATTTTTCTTGCATTTATATGCCACCTTTCCCCCCCACAAGGAGCTCAATACATGGTTCTCCTTCTACTTTCATCCCCACAACGACCCTGTGAGGTAGGTTAGGCTAAGTGATGGTGACTGGCCCAAGGTCACCCAGTGAGCCTCATGGCCGAGAGAGGATTTGAACCCGGGTCTCCCAGGTCATAATCCAGCACTCTAACCATTACACCACACTGAGGCTCATGCCAGTCCCCTCTCTTGGGCTTAGGGGTGGGGAGGAAATTCAGTTCAGTTTGTATTTAAAGGCAAATGTGCCTAATTTGCACTTTCTGAAACAATATGTGAACCAAGGCACAGCCACCCCCCCCTTTTAAAATAAAATCAAAATGTGCTGAATTTTGTAATTATTTGTTGAATTTTTTTTTTTTTACTAAACTTATATCCTGCCCTTTCTGTCAAAAGAGCCTTGGGCAGCAGACAGATGTAAAAACAAAAGCATTATAATGTAATTAAAGCAATCTAAGAACAATTACAGTTAAAAGCATCTAAAAGCTGTTTCATTTTAAACCACATTAGCAGTTAAAAACACTGTTCCATCCAATGATGTTTGGGTTGCAAGGGACAGGATTCTTCAGCCACTTAGGTGAACAGGAATGCTTTCAAATTCCTCCTGAAAGTTAATCATGATGGTGACAGGTGCACTTCACTAGTGAAGGCATTCCACAACCAGGGAGCCACTCCTGTAAAGGCTGTGTTACGGTTCTGCACCAGTGGGGCAGCCCTCAGTGGCAGCACTGCAAAAAGGCCTCCCTAGCCAATTGTAGGGTCCAGGATAGTTGGAACTGGGGAAGGTGCTGCTTTAGGTACAGTACCTGGCTCCCAGTCAAGTAACGTGTACATAAAATGCATATATTATGGGGAGTTTCTGATTTGCAAAAATATGTGTTTCGGGTGCAAAGCTGAATACAAAAATGTGTATATTATGGGAAGTTCAAACTGCAATGCCAGTGACTTTTCATGAGGATTTTAAAAACAACATTTGCAACCTGAATTGGATATGTGGAGAACTGAATTTAAGAACTGGAAAAATGAGACACTTGGTTTGTCATATTTGCCCATCCATATTCCTGGTGGACCTGGGTGGTGTGTGACTGTAGAAACCTTCAGCTGACATGCCCTGCCAGTGTGACTTTTCGAGGGTGAGCTTTTAACCCACAATAGGAATGGATGTTTGTGTATTGAAAGCTATTTTTTAAAAAAAAGAATGTAGAAAGGTCCTGGATTTAGATCCAGGAAGTCCAGTTGTGAACTTTTGGTGTGGATGTGAATGGCACAGCTCTGTTCCCTGCTTCTTCTTTATTTAATTTTTTTATGTTCCAGCCAACGTGAATTGGACGCCAAATTTATCCTAATCCTGGACAGAAGGTTGGATACATGGACGTCGGTCAAAATGACTCTGCAAAGAATAGCAGTAAGTTCTTCTGTGGTGGGCTGGGCACAAGGGGAGTGTCATTATCTGCCCAAGGACCATAATTCCTTTGTGGGTAACCTTCCAGGGGACAAATGCCAGTGGTGGGAGGAGCCAGAAATGGGCAGGGCTAGAGGCAGAATTGGGTGGAGCAATGGCTGTGACTCTTACCAGGAGAGCAGGCTGCATTTCGGCCAGGCAGAAGCCAGAGGTTTCTGCACACACAAACACACACGCTGTGTCTCTCTCTCACACACACACTTCCCAAGACACCCTCCGTTCAGGTAAAGATGTAGCGTTACCACATTTCTATTGCACATTCCAGCTAGGCAAAATCATTGGAGGATGATGCTAAAGAGGGTATGACCTGGGGACAGTTCTGAGGACTGGTTCCCCAATTCCAGAGGTGTTGGGCAGGGGAAGGGGAGTTGGGGGGCTGACCACCATTGGGGGAAAAGGCCTAGGTGTTTGGTCTTGTTCTAGCCCTAGTGAGCTCTACCAGAAGGTGACATATCCACTGAGTTCTTTGGTCTGGTGGTGATAGTGCTGAATGCCAGATCAGTCCATAATAAAAACATGCTCATTCATAATTTGAGTGGGCTGATCTGGCTTGGGTGAGTGAGCTGGGTGGGTATTTTCAGTGCTGCAGCAATCTAGACTAGGGAGTCAAGGCAAGGGGGTTGGTTGTTGCCCATACAGACATGATTTCCTTAACCAGGGAGGTTCTTGACCTTGGGATGGGATTAGAAGGTCAGCACTTGAGGCTGGGCCAGAGAGTTGGGGATGCCCCTCAACCCCTTCTCTTCCTGCCTTACCAGATTTAGCAGAAGGTGGTTGACCATTTGGGCCCAGAGTGTGGTTAATGCTTTGCTGCATGAAGGGGTGGTCTTTGCTGCACCGAAAGAGGCCGTGATGTGACTGTTCCTTAAGAAACCAGCTCTCAACCCTTTGTATTTGAACAGCTAGTTGCCAATACCCCTTTTGGGGGAAGGTGGTGGAAAGGGCCATGGTGGGGCAGCTGCAGGAATTCTTGGAGGACACGATTTATATAGATCTATTCTAGGTTCAGGCCTGGCCATGAAACTGTGTCTCCCTTGGTTGTCCTGCTGGGTGACCTGTTGGGAAACTACGTGCAGCTACTCACACAAAATCAATTAAGGTTTGGCAGACAGCCAAAAGATCATCTGAAGGAGTAAGTCTGCCTGGTGATACAGAAGGCATGGAGACAACTCCATGACTGGTCAAGCTCTCTCAATGGAGTGATAATTAATGGCCTACTAACTGGAATGTGTTAGTTCAGAGTTCAGTGTGTCAGAGTAGGAGTTGTGAGTCTTGTATGAGAGAGCTAGCTAAAGATCCGTGTTCTGGTCCTGTAAATAGTCCACTGTATATAATAAACACCTAACTACAAGTTCCTGGTTCCTGCTTCGTCCATCCTGTCTGCAGTCAAGTTGCCAATTGCTTCCGTGGACTGCGTATACTCTGCTAGGTCTGGCTAAGGTCCTGCAACTAGTCAGAAAATTGTGAAACACCAATAGGTTTTGCCAATATGACCTTTGCAGAAAATAGGGCAGGGGGAGTGTGACCTTGATCTCTCTTCAGCACTTGATACCATTGGCCATGGTATCCTCCTGGACCATTTCTGGGAAATGAGAACTGGGCGGTGTGTTTGGGGGGTCCTGGGCTGCCCAGATGACAAGACTCACCTTTTTAGAAAGGCTTTGGAAGTAAACCTCAAGGAAAATTCCATACCCGCTGCCTGTCAGGGCGGGTGTCACGAGTAAGTCAGCAATAACTCACACAGTAGCGAGTGAAGTTAACTCTTTATTCAAATAAGAGAAGTTCGGGGAAATTAAAAACAACACCAGCAATTTATAAGTTGTATGAGCTTGTTTCTCAGTTTGATTCTTTTACGTGCTTTTGCATGTTTTGTAGTATTTTATGCATTGTGATTTGCTGTGGTTTTTATTTATTATCGTCTAGTAATTCTTTATTGTAACTGATAAGTGTTATTATTTGTGGATATTTAATTTTATTGTTTACTATTATATTCTAATGGATTATTGAAAATTGCTTTATTTGATATAAGTTGTTTGTTTTAAAGTTATTGTGGCTTTCTTTTATTGGATCAGATTGTTATTATGTATGTGATCTTTGCGGTCTATTTTGTTGTTTCTTCAGCTTGTAAACCGCCCCGTGCATAGTAATATAGAAAGGCAGTATTACAAACTAAAAGTGAAATGAAAAATGAAAATAAGCAAAAGAGCCCAGGAGGCCAGACCTAGTGAGCAAAGCAACTCATCCTGGTAGTTCTTACCCCAATGAGACTGAAGCTCCCTGCTTTCCCACAGTTCTCTCAGTCTCCTCCCCTGTTTCCTTCCCAAGCAATCTGGGACTCCTTCGTCTTACCTTTCTTTGATCCACCCTCTTCACACCTCTTTGGATTCTGAAAGACCAGAAGAGAGGGGAGCTGGTCACCGCAGGATGGGGAGACACCCAGGCTTCCTCACCAGCCTGCCTCATCTCTGCCACTTGGCCCTTGCCTCTGCTTCTCTGATTATGGACTGCTGTCTGCCACAGACTCTTCCTGCTCACTAAACCCTGTTATCTCTTCAGCTTGTGACACCTCTTCACAATCTGCTCCTCCTTTTCCTTCTGACTACGCATCACCATCCCACCGCCAATCCCTCTGAGCCTTCTTCCCTTAGGGGTTCCCCAGCTGGTGCCTCCCACTACCCCTCTGCAACCAGCCAGTCCATGACGCTGCCTTGCAGGATATCTTTGGGGGAAGAAAAGGTTCAGGAGTAAACCCTATGCAAATCCATAGTGCAGTCCCCCTCTTTCTGGCAACTCCTGCAGCCAAGCTGGTGCCAAATGTATTGCTCTGCTTTCCTTTGGACCACATCAGCAAGGCTGAGAGGGGAGTCTTGTTGTCTGGGCAGCCCAGGACCTCCATACTCACTGCCCAGTCTAGTGCCCTGGAGAGGTCACCCATCTCTGCAGCCGCAACCATCTCAAGACGGATGGACGCCAACAACAGCAGCATCTGACAATGGATTGTGTAACATAGCCATTGTGGCCATTGATAGCCTTTTTCTCCATTATTTTGACTGCCCCCCCCTTTAAAGGTGTCTAGGTTGCTGCCCTTCTCTGCATCTTGTGGCAGCAAGTTCCATAGTTTAAACTAACACACTATAGCTATTGATAGAACATAGGTAAAGGTAAAGGGGCCCCTGACCATTAGGTCCAGTCGTGGCCGACTCTGGGGTTGCGGCGCTCATCTTGCTTTACTGGCCAAGGGAGCCGGTGTACAGCTTCCGGGTCATGTGGCCAGCATGAATAAGCCGCTTCCGGCGAACCAGAGCAGCGCACGGAAACGCCGTTTACCTTCCCTCCAGAGCAGTACCTATTTATCTACTTGCACTTTGACGTGCTTTTGAACTGCTAGGTTGGCAGGAGCAGGGACCGAGAAACGGGAGCTCAGCCCGTCACGTGGATTCGAACCGCCGACCTTCCAATCGGCAAGGCCTAGGCTCTGTGGTTTAACCCACAGTGCCACCCGCTTCCCCTTGATAGAACATAAGTTGTAGTTATTGACAGAACTTTTGAAGAGTTCTGCTGCATCAGGCCAAAGGAGAATCTTGTCTAGCATCCTGTTCTCACAGTGGCCACGCGGATACTCCTTATAGGAAGCCTGCAAGCAGAATGTGAGCACAGTAGCGCTCCTCCCCTACTTGTAATTCCCAGAACCTGGGATCCAGAGGCATGGCACATCTGGCAGTAGAGGGATAGCATAGCCATCCTGGCTACTAGCCTAAAACACCTCGGGGGCATGTGATCTGCTCTCTTCACCAGGGCACATCCGTGGCAGCCAGCAGCAAAAATGGAGACCATATCAAAGTTACCAAATGGTCCCTTTATCCCTATTCCTTTCCCTCTCTGTCTCTGTATTAGTTGTCCAGGAGCTATCAGCCATCAAAGCATTATTTGTTTCTCATCTGCGGGAAATCTTTGAGGGAGGGGGGAAAACACAAGAAAGGATGCTCATTAGAGTCTTAACATTGCTCCGGAGTGTGTTGCTGCTGTGAGCTATAAATGGCAATATATACGTCTTCAAACTCCTGCATTCCACCTTAAAAATCTATAGCTGTTCTTGGCCACTGAGTCTCTCCTCGCACTCCCTCCCCACCTTTCTTGCCGGCTAGCACAGCCAACAGCCATTCATAGTTTTGGCACCCTTGCCTGCTCTGCTTTAGCCAGAGGAGAGGACCAGGTCATCTGCCAGTCAGTTTTGCGTTTGGGAATGAATAGATTATGGGAACATGTATCAACGCCGCCCGTGCAACTGACATGAGTGAGGAGGCTGCTCTGTGTGTTCTGTGCAGCGATGCCTTGGCACGAAGAGAAGCAGCAGTGCAGGCGGCCGGCTACCCCCGGCGATTTTTAAACACCTCACGAGATCCACGGGTCTTATTTCACTGATGCCGCATTGACATTTGGGCAAGGTAGCCAGTTCCTGTCTTGCAAGGGAGATGGCCGAGGCGAATCCCCCAGGAGGCAAGATGAGGGGAAGAAGGAATGCGGTAAGGACTCTGTCTGCCTGCAGTCTTTCTCCTTTTTTTTTTGCAAAGCAGATTTCTAAGTTCAAATGCAGCCTTGATGCAGCACTAGCATCCAGCCTAGCTAGCAGTGCAGCATTCTAGGACAAACTGCTGAACACAGCGCTTGGAAAATGAAGGTGGGGGGGCAAGGGAAAGGATGATGTTTGGGCAGTATTTACTGCGTTTTCCGTAACTGTCCAAAACACCTGTCCACACTGACGAAGCAAGGTTGGCACCAGTTTTAAACAGAGCTCCTAAGTCTGGGTGTCTCTGTCTGAGAGATGTGGGGGACTTCAGAATCCCTTTATTGCATCATACATATGCATCATGCATATATATATTCCTCGGTGTTTGAAGGCAGAAAGAGGAAATCAGGAAGAAATATTTCATTCTTTGTGGAGCCTCCTGTAGGGCCTGTAAAGAAATAGGCCATGCTTTTTGAAATTAGCTACTCCTAGAATGCCAGCCTTGAACACTTTCCCTTCTGTCAGGGACAGCCCTGATCTTTTACCTGCACTTAATAAAACCATTGTTTCTAATTTTTTGGCATTTTTGCAGAGGGAGGGGGAAACTCCTTTGAACTCTTCTGTTAGCCAGTACAGATGCATGTTCTTCTGGCTCTCTAAAACTTATGCTGGCCAGTTCTACCACACATGCATGAAATGCGTTTGTGCATGGATGCAAAGTGCTAGCATAGTGTACTCTTTCATCCCCCCTCCACCTCCAAAAATGAAACAATACTGCCTATCTGTAGGGCAAATGTTGCTCAGCTATTCTGCAAATTCAGTCAATTCCATCATATAAGTGAAAAACTTCTACAATATGTTTTGGGGCTTGTTTGTACTTTAAAGAAAGAGAGAGAGAGAACTATGATGGTCAGTTTATTGACATGTCACTACTTTAGATTAGCCAGTGCCAGACAAGACACTTGCAGAGGTGGATTTAGGGGAGTGCAACCAGTTCAGTCAAACTGGGTGAAGAGTCTTGGGGGCACTGCAGGAGGTGCCACAACTTTGATGTAGAATGGAAGGCGAGAAGTAGGAGGGAGGCACCAAATTTTGCCATTGCACAGGACGCGGCTGACATTTGAAGGGTCTGCTACTGACCCTTGCAGACTAAATCAACATTCAGCAAGCATAGGGGGAGCTTTGGTGATGTGTAGTGTGCCAAGTGGCATGGGGAATACTTGGGATGAGAATAGAGGTTTTGCAAGCCCCCACCCCCATCTTAACCTTTGAAATTTTGGAGAATTTGAAGATGTCCTTGCTGCACAACCGTACCTAGCCTTCTAGAATGTTGAGGGATAGCCTTGACACCTTGATTTCTTTAGCTCTGTTAGGCTCTGGTTTTTGCACATGCGGAAAAGTTAACTTCTGCAATGGCCAGGACTTTGAGCCATGGCTGCGAAGCCTGTGGCCTCCCATATGTTGTTAGACTCCAACTCCCGTCAGCTTCGCCCTAGTGCAGTCAATGGTCAGGGATGACTGGGAGCTAGAATCCCAGCAATTTCTGGAGAGTCGCCCTTTCCTCAGCCCTGTCCAAAGGGGAGACAAGCCACGACTTCTTGAGTCATCAATCAATTTCCACGTAAAACTGCTTCAGCTTTTCAGTTTGGCACCTTAAAAGACTTTACAGGATTTATTAAGGCATGCGCTTTCGTGGAGTCCAAGCAGACTTTTCCAGATGGGTGAAGACGCAACTGATGAAGTGGGCTTGACCCCACGAAAGCTTACACCACAATTAATTCTGTTAAGTCTTTTAAGGAGCCAGAAGGGTCTTGTTTGGTTTTGCTCCAAGAAAAGCTACCCACCTGGAAGAGTTTGCAGGTTGTGCTTCTGGTCAATCTCAGTGGGATTGGCTGACTCCTACTGCTTTTTAGGAAGGAAAATCAGAGTCTGCCATAGGCTACAGGGACAATTTGTTATGTAAGGGTGATGTGGTGCCAGGCTGACTCTGTTTTCTCCTTCCTGCAGGGATGCTCTAAGCTAGAGGTTGGGAACTTGTGGCACTCCAGATGTTGCTGGATGTTGTTTCAACTCCCACCACCCCTGCCTGTGCTATCTGGGACTAATGGGAGTTGTAGTTCAACTTACCCATGGAGGACTGCAAGGCCTCCACCCCTGCTCGGTTCTAGTCTGAATTGGAAGCCATAGAATTCCCTATTCTGGCAGTAGAACTTGCAAATGAGACAACCTCAACCTACCCTGAGCCAGTCCCAAACTACCTGGTCTCTTACTTACAACCAGAGGCATACCTAGGCTCCCTTGCACTTGCTGAGGCACCTCACCTGGCTGCCCAAAGCAGCGGAGGAATGGCCTGCAGTGGATGGGCGAGCTCCTAGCCACTCCAGAGTGGAGAGGCACAATTTTTGCACCCCCAGGCCTGTGCCCTTGTTCAGCCGCTAGGCACACCTCTGCTTAAAACTGCTATTCAGCTTCCGCCTGTTTAGCTTCAGTGTTGCCCTTGCAGAACTCAGCAGGGAAGAGGATGGAGACTAAACTAGAATGAGTTGTCCCTGTCTGTCACTGGCTCTGCCTTCACTTAGGCTGTTTTCAGACAGCCCCCTTTGTTCCATTTCCCTGACATTTCCTTACCTGATAATTACTGCATTCTAGGAGATTTTCCATGTGATATAACATCCACTTCTGAAAATGTAGCAGGTGTTTAGTGCTTGTTTCCATGCTAATTGCTTCCAGGAAAAAAAAATCTGTTTTCAACCACATTAACCTGGAAAATTGTGGGAATTTTTGCACCACAGTTTTCCCACTGTTTTCATAGGTCATGCCATGTGATGAAGTTTGGGCTGGTGTTCCAGCGCAGAGTTCTTCCTTGCCATTTTCATGGAGGGAGGACAGAAGCACCACCCACTGGGTGGTGGCAACATAGCTGGTGATATCTGCTGTTGCATCACACCACGCACACTGATGTGCATGAAATATAGCACGGTAAATGGCAGTATATCAATCAAAAAGTCACAATGCAACAGATAGTGTGGTGTAAAAGGAATATTGGGAGATGGAGCAGAAGGAATACCAATGCAATAATCCCTGAGTCTGAACGCAGACTTGCTGCTGGGCTCCTTGCTTTCTGCCCTACAATGACCAATATTTCTTCTTGTCCTCTCCAGTCTTGTAAAAATGCAGGAAGAGCCCTGTTGGATTGCACCAAAGACCTAGTATCTAGTCCACCTCCAGACATTGCCAAACAGATGCCTTAGGCAATAGGCTTCTCTTGTTGGTGCCCCTGTTATCAGGTAGACTGCTGCTGAACAAGGAGTTTCTCTTTAGCTGCCACAGGTTCTTTTAATGTAATTAAATTTATATACTGCTTGACTGAAATAAAACCTCTAAGCAGTATACCAGAAATATTAAAATTATCAGTTAGAACCCCCCAGTTGGAAACAAATAATTAAACTAAACTAAAACTAAAAAGAGATTGAAATGCATGTAAGTTTTTGCACGTCTGGGTAGATTTACCAGGTGTTTTAAGCAGGTGCTGCAAGGAGTGCAGTGAAGGCACCTGCTTATGTCAATAGGCAGGGAGTTCCAAAGTTTAGGTGCTGCCCACAAAGTGATTAGTTTCTTGTAATTATGGAATGAGAATTATGCGACCCCTTCAATGGTGCCAGTTCTGCAGGTCGAAGTGGGCATATCTCACAAGTAAATTAGTTAATACCATTGGTAGATCTCTTCTTCACCCATGGATTTGACTTATCCCCACATTTTTAAGGCCCCTTCTTGTGTCCCTGAATTCTCTATGTTGGTTATCTCAGGCTAAATAGAGCCCCCATGCTCAGATGCAGTATACCTTTGAGTACCAGGCTCTGGGGACAAAAAGCAAGGGTGGGTTGTTGCCTCCATGCCCTGCTTGTGGGCTTCTCAGAGCCGTCTGGTTGGCCACTGTGGGCAACAGGTAGACCTTTTGAGTTGTCCCTTTCAGTAAGGCTGTTTGTAGGTTCAGTTCCACAGGAGGCCTGCCGATAAAATAATTTTGCTGGCTGGTCTCTGAGAATGCTGCAAACAGAATTGGTTTAAGAGCCAACATTTTGTTTGGGACTACTTTTAAAAATAAAAAAGTAGGTTTGTGTTAATATTAAAGTGTTTTTGTTCCAGTTTAAAATGCTAGAGGACAAAAGCTGACCAGGTGCATAACTTTCTCTCGTTGGTTTAAAAAGGGATTTAGAAGCAGCCAACTTTATCTGCATTGCCAAATGTGTCTTCATCAATGTTAGAATCAGCCTCTTTTCCATTTTACCAGATCCTCTTTTTGGGGGGAGGGGATTCCAGAGCAGAGCCCCCCCCCTTGGTGATTCCCTCCCCCCAGCTGGGAGGTGGTAGTTCTTTAGAACATGGTTGAAGATTTCACATATGTATTATCTGAAAGGGATGGGTGAGGGATAGCTAAATGTAGTTATTTATTTATTTCATAAAATTTATATGGGGGGGGGGACATATATATATATATATATATGGAAAAAAGCCTCAAAATGGTTTACAAAAGATAAAACAGTAAAATCAAGAAAAAATTGCAACCTTGCTTTAAAACATATAAAAGTTAAAATACTAAAACAGATTAAAATCACCTGAACTTTTGCAGCATCTGGGTAGGCTTGCCTAAATAGGAGGCTCTGAAGAGAATACCATGAAGGCCCCTGCTTGATCTCAATAGGCAGGGAGTTCCAAAGTTGTAGGCGTTGCCACACTGAACGATCAAGTTTGTACAAATGCAGCGCTTATCATACATCATACTCATTGCTGGAGGTTAGCCGTGCTTGAGCTCAAACCCTCCTCATAGTCAAAGGCTGTAGAAAAAGGCAGGATTGCATTAAAAAAGTCCCCAGGAGAGCCATTGTGGGGGATGGCACGGGGATCTGAATGAAACAGATTTGCTTATGTAAGGTTAGGAGAAAAGGTTTTAAAAAAGAAGGAGCTCACCATTCCGCCCCCTCTCTCGCTCTCATTGTTCAGGAGCAGATTTAAGGTAGTAAGGATATAATTTGATGAGGAGGACGTACTTGTAAGGAAGGGCTATATTTCTTTTTGACAATTCAGTGAGGGCCAAGTCTCATTAGGGCTGTTCATTTAGAAATGGTGAGCCAGGAAAGAGTGATGCAAGCCAACTGCTAACAAATAAACTGAATATCTTAAAGTCTGAAAGGAATCACTTGCAGAAAAGGCTGCTGCGTGAGTCACTGCTGTTGTTCTCCCTGGAACGGTGGGTGGGTGATACTTTCCCACCTCTCTGCATCAAGTGTGATTTAGCATTCTGTCACTCTGGCCACTGAGGTACAGCCCGAGCCCATTATTCCATGGCATGCCCAGAACAGGGACTCACACAGAAACTCACTGAGTGGACTCTTGTGAGTTTGGATAATTCTTGGTTTTCCAGACTCTGCAAGATAATAAGCTTACGATTGGCAGTGGCGGTCATGTGGGTGAGCGATTGTCGGCAACCCCCCCACAAAAAAAGCTCTACAACTTTGGCCAACCCCCCCCCAAAAAAAAGCTCAACAAGTCTGGTCAATCCTCCCCAAAAACTTAATAACTCTGGGCAATCTTCCCCCATTTCCCTAATTTCGAGTCTTATACATGGGGGCGTGTTATACACAGAAAACTACGGTAATACTGGCGAAGGAAAGAGGAGAGAAGGTGCAAAGTCCAGCAAGCACCAAACCATCTTTGCATGCATGAGAATAGCAAACTATTTACTATCCCGTCTATTTCCTATGTTCAGACAATGGGGCCAGTTCCATTATCAATAGCTCCACTCAATTCACAAGAAGGTTGGGGTGACCATAAGCCTGATGCAAACTGAACATGCTCAGTGGACCTGGAATGCTGCCAGACTCTTGTGAGTTGTGGAGTGCCTGGAATCTTGAGCAGAAGCTCTTCTGTGCTGCAACATTTTGCAGCAGATCCCATGTATGCATCCTGAAGAATGAGATTGGTGGGGCAGGGCCCTGTTTGCCCTAATGGACTAGCCTTCACTACACAGCTTACCTAGGAGTAAGTCCCGTTGAACTCAGTGGGATTTTTTTCCTGAGTAAATATGCTTATGAGTTCCAGTGGAAATGGGTGGTGGTGGCATTCTGTTTGGGGGCTCATTGAATTTGGAGGAAACTATCCTGTGGTCCACACTCACATACATTGCATTACCAGTGGGCATTGCGTTCAATGAGCACAAAGTCTTTGCTGGGTTTGATTTCTGCTGGGTTTGATCTATGCAAGCTACTGAGCAGTTTGCCCTTGCTTCAAGAGCCAGTTCTTGGTCCCTGGAAGTCTTCCTGCTGGCTTCATTCAGGCCAGAGTTTTGGCAATCAGTTTGCATTCATTTATTATTTTAAGCTTATCTTAAAAATAGCTCTTGGGAACATGTTGCATTTGGGCCACACGTCTCATTGCGTGGAATAGTATATTCCAATGCAGTATGTGTAATGCAATATTGTACAGGTTGAATCTGTATGCATTTTTTTAAGTTGCAGACACCAGGAATCCATTACTGTAATAATTTTGTTAACAATATGGCAGGATAATTTATTGGTGACATTGCTTACCCTGGTTCTTACACACCTCCAGGTGGCAAGTTTATGGACCCCTTCTGTGTTCATAAGAGATAACCACAGGCTCCTGGAAAGAAAGGGTGGGATAAATAAGTCGTATACAACAATTTACAGGATGTGATTGATATTCTTGCAACGAATCTTTGGAGAACTGTTCCCTAACTTCCACGACTATTTGAGGATGTTTGTTCTCTTCCTCTCTCCTGCTGTGACTGCTGAGGGCCATGTTTGATATCAAATTTCCCTCCTCATACCTGAAAGCGGTTTAAAAAACGGCTGCTGAAGGGCATTGTTAACACTGCAAGGATCAGGTGCCAAAAAATTTGGCATGTCTCTATTTCAAGGGGCTATTGATTATTCCATATTGGACGGAATAAGACTGGAACTAGGTGGCTATGGGATGCACGTAGAGTCTGCTGCAAACACCAGCCTGTGTCTTCTCCTTGGGTTTTCCCTGAGAGCAACTAGCATCAACAAGACACGCGGAACAGTATCACACTGCTGCAAATGTCTCAATCCCTCGCAAATGTCTAGAGAAGGGAAATTCCTGTGGCGAATAGTTTTAATGGACGCGTGTCTCATTCCTACATGGAAGTACTCTCATACCAACTGTGCTGGCTACTGCTGGTTAGCTTACAGGGGATAATTCAACTTGCTGGTTCTTATCTGTTCCAAAAACTTAAATGACTTGGGATCAGTAGGGCCGGCTCTATCATTAGGCAGAACAAGACTGCTGCCTGAGGCTGCAGATGCTGGAAGAAGGCAGCAGTAGCGGAAAACATCCTGGTTCTTCCTGCTGAACTCGCTCAGCCTCTGTTTGACAACAATGGTGTGTTCCAGGGGTTAAACCTGGGACCTTCTGCATGCAAAGCAGATGTCCCACCAAGATATGGCACTTCTAACAACAACAACAAAGTAGTATTCTGTTCCTCACGGTTCTGAATAAAGAGCACAGGAAACTGCCTTAAACTGAGTTGAAACCATTGGTGCATTCAGGTCAGTATTGTCTCTGCTGACTGTAAGTGTCTATCAAGAGTTTCAGGCAGGGGACCTGCCCAGCCCGACCTAGAGATGCCAGGGATTTCACCTGGGACATTCTGCACGCAAAGCAGATGCTCTGCTCCTAAGCCACTGCTCTTGCTTAATGGCCCCTCACAAGAAAGGATGGGAGCATCCTTTCTACTCCCTTAAAAAATAATTTTTGAATATGGTTTTGTGTCGTTTGCTCACTTTCCATGCTCCCTCCAGAAACATCTCCTGGTATGGAAAGGCAGGGTGTGGTGTAATGGTTAGAGTGCTGGACTATGACTTGGGAGACCCCCACTCAGCCAATGAAGCTCATTGGGTGACCTTGGGTCAGTCACCTCAGCCTAACCTACCTCACAGACTTGTTGTGAGGATGGAAAGGGGAGCAGGAGAACCACCTTGGGCTCCTTAATAAGCACAAACACAAAACAGTATCAAAGTTTGCAGCCATATTGCTGGAAAAACAGGGGGTTAACGTCGTTGCTGATTTTCTAAACTGACTTTCCTCTCGATAGTGGAGAACTCTCTGTATGTAATACTGGCTCTCTGGTTTCTCCCCCCACAGGCCTCATTTCCCGGCAACTTGCACCTAGTGATGGTCCTGCGCCCCACCGGATTCTTCCAGCGCACTTTCACCGACATTGGATTTCGGTTTAGCCAAGAGGACTTCCTGCTCAAACTGCCGGTATCACACCTGCTGCCACAGCATCACCCCTGTCTTTTGTACTCTGCAGTTTTACCTGCAGGGAATTTTCCTTCCCTGTTGTTGTTCAGCTGCAATGCATTTGTTTAAAATGACAGTGAATACAAATGACAATCACACACACAAGTACAAAACACCAACCTTGAGCATTTTATGGGCTTTAGAAGATGATGCTAAAAATGGAGGTGAAGTGTTAAATTCATTCATATTTAAAAGCTCTGGCAGGCGTTTATCTGGCAAAGGGGTGGGGCCCCCAACTCGCATCAGCCCCTGGAAGCCTGTCCAATGATTAGGGAGGATGGGAGTTGTAGTTCAACAATATCTGGAGGGCTGCAGGCTCCTGCACCCCTGAATTATAGCTTTAAAGTTGGGATACGTCTAGAGCTCAGAGTTTTTCTGAGTGAGAATGCTCTGAACAGTACGTTCTTTCTCTACCACACATTTGGGTCCCATATTGCAGATTGCTTCCCCAAAGAGAGTGTGGCGAGCCTGCCTGCCTGCCTGACTTGTATGGCTCTGTCATTGAGCTCTGCCTCTTCTAAAGGAGAGAAACCTTGGACTTTGGCTTGCAATGCATGCATTCTACCTTGAGCCAGAGTCGGCTTTGGGAAGAAGGAAGGAGGAGGGTGCAAACTGAAACATAGCCAACCTTCGAACTTTGCAGTTCTCCAAATTTGGAAATGTAGTTTTCCAGCCAAGTGTTGTATACAAAAATGCATCTACGAAGGCAAAATGCACATAAAAATGCCTGTGTTCATGAAAGCAAAATACAACACGTGTAACGTTAGGGTAAATTGCTTTGGAAAGGTATGTGCATAAGGCGCCGTTGCATACAAATGTGTACATACTTTTGCTTTTTAAAAGTTGCAAACTACTGAGGAAATCCGGAGAGCTGAACTTAAGAGTAGAAAAATGAGAAATGAAGATGGGCAGATCCACCCATCTCTAGTCCCTGTTTAAAGGCATCTGAGTAGTAGGTTGACTAGGTTGCCATCATGAAGGTTGATGGCAACCTTGGGGAAGGTTCCACAGTTTAACCACACACTGTGTCACAAAGTACTTCCTTTGGTCTGCCCTGAATTTCCAACCTTTCAGCTTCATTGGGTGACCCTGGGCTCTGGAATCTTTGGTTTTAGGGCTGGGGTTGGCTAATTGCAAGGCTGATTAAATGGATACATGTGCTGGTATATTCAGTTAAATGACTCCTGCAGAATCAGGTATCTAACCTGTGAATATTAAGCTACAGGTCTATTTCCCCCTTTTCTCTTCCCCCAGGTTGTAATGCTGAGTTCGGTCAGTGACTTGCTGACATACATCGATGAAAAGCAGTTAACACCTGAATTTGGGGGCACCTTGGAGTATTGCCATAGCGAATGGGTCATCTTCAGAACAGTATGTTCCTCCCATTAATGCTGTTGTAAATGTGTGTGTAATATCTTCTTATATACATAAAAATGTCAGGTGTCATCATGCTCTGCGTTTCACATGCCACATCAACTGTGGTGTGAGGAACAGCAGGCACACCCAGGAGAGTGGCTACGCATGCCTGCAGCAAGGTTTAACAGAGCGGGGAGGCCCTTCACACAGTGGTTTAGCAAGTAAAAGTGTGAAATGCCTCCCCCCTTTAAAAGGGGGTGGAGCTTGAGGAGAGAGGAGTGGGTGTTAGGGCAATGGGCTTGGTGCAAGCTGTGAGGAATAGGGAGCAGAGGTAAAGATTCAAGGGAGGGGATTTGGTCATGGAGGGGGAGGCAAAGGGGTATACAGCATTGGCAAGTGCAGAGAGTAGGTGCCGCAGGCTTTAGCATATATGCAAAATTATAACATACCTTGGGTAATTCTGGACCATGCAATGGGAAGTTCATGAAGTTACCATCCAGGACTCCAGCTCCCACCAGCCTCAGCAAGGGCACTAGTCAGAGATGATGGGAGCTGGAGTCTACTAATATCTGGAGTGCAGCATGTTGGCTACCCATGTAGCTTGGCTACTCTGGCTGCCAGCAGCTTCTCAGGGTCCTGAAGAGAGAAGGGACTTCCCATCATTAGCTACAGTACTAGATCCCTTTTAACTGGAGATCCCTGGGATGTAACCTGGAGTGTTCTGCATGCAAAGTAAATTGCTCTGCCATAGAGCTATGGTGAACCTCAGTCCTTCCAACAACAGCTGAACTAAGTTGTAGGTGTATGTAGGTCCCACTCTATGAACATTCGCTATGTGAAAATTCGCATATCCAAACACAGTACCTGAACTTTGCTATACACACTGCTGATTCAGATATCAGAACAGAGAGCATTTTTTACTTCCTTGTTTGCCTTTCGCTGGTTGGCTGAGGGAGGGAGAGTGATCAGACAAACCAGAGATAAACTTTTCTGGGTTCTCCTGTGGTTTCCTGAGGATTTCTTTGGCTTTTGGGTGGGGTCAAAGTTCCTTGGTCAGGAACACATTAGAATTTACCCTCTAGCAATCAGTGGAATTGCTCACCAAATGAACGATTTCCAGAGAACACATTGTGTTCAGTTAGCAGAACATGCTGGTGTACAAAGCTCATCATCTCACCATTTATATACCCAACCAATCACTTCACTTTGCAGGAGAGGGCCTTCTCCTGCAGTACCATATCACCAGGAGGTGCATGTTGTGTGGAAATCACACCTTTAGTGTGGCAGCACCTGCCATTTGGAAGCCTCCTGGTCTGAAAGTCATCATTATGCCTTTGTACCTACGGAACACCTTGGTTTTCTAAACATCCTTTAAAGTGCAGATTTGTTTTTATCCCAGTCTATACCTGTATTGGACTTGAATTTGTTCTGTATTGGACCTGAATATGTTTTTATTGCCGATGCTTTTTTGTTGTCCATTGCAAATCCATCAGGGGAAGCGATTCCTAAATGAAAATAAGCAACTATATAAATAAATACCTCACTGCTGCTTTTATCAAGCTTAAGCAACAAGCGGCATGCCAAGCTGATTAACAGAAAACTTTCTCCCCCAGGCCATAGAAAGCTTTGCACTAACAGTGAAGGAAATTGCCCAGATGTTGCAATCCTTTGGCATGGAGCTGGCAGAAACAGAGCTCCCAGATGATGCCTACTCAATTGAACGCATCCTGGCACTGCGCACAGAGAAATACTATCAGCTGAAGGCAAGTTGCATCTGAAACTACCTGATCCTGTGAAAAACTTTGGTCACCTCCAGACTCGATAACTGTTTTGCAGGAAGGGTTCAATCCCATACTGGAGATTTAGGCTTGCACAATTAGAGTAAAGCACTGGTGCGGGGGGTGGGAAGAAATTCTAGACTTTTTTTGGGGTGGGACTCAATCGCGCACTAGCATAAGGATCTAGGAAGAGCCTGCTGGATCAGGCCAATGGCCCATCTAGTCCAGCATCCTGTTCTCACAGTGGCCAACCAGATGCCCCCAAGAGAAACCGGAAAGCAGGACCTGAGCATAAGAGCACTCTTCCCTCCCCTGGTTTCCAGCGACTGGTATTCAGAACCATTACTGCCTCTGACCATAGACCAAATTCAGATTACATTTAGATGTGAAGGGGTTCTGCAACAAACCTAGTTCCCTAGCAGGTGTTGGGCGGGGGGAGCATCATATAATCTCCACACGAGCAACTATTCAATAAACAGGTTGGGATGTCAGGGAGGAAATGACATTTCACTGTCCTGCTTTCCTTTCCTTGCTTTTGCCCCTGTGCTATGGTATATTATTGTCCTGGAATCACTATTTGCTAGCTAAAGGCTGCCATGTTTGATGGGTGGAGGAAGGAAATCCAGTCCATTCATCAAAGCAATTCTTCAGCGCAATTATTTTACTCCTCAAACTGATGTACATCTATATTATTAATCCTGCCATTTCGAAGTGATTGGTCGTGATTTCTTAAACTAGGTGTCTCGGCCCTAGCTGTCATTGCTTGCTTCTTATTTCTACAACTTCAGAAAGGCACATGGTACATACAAAGTTTCATAAGCAAATATTGCATTAACTTCTGTCCCCTTAGACCTTACACTCTGACTACGAGCAAGGAAATGCTAGAATTACAGAGGAGGAAATAGTGTTGCCTGTTCTGACTCTGAACTCTGTATAGAGATCTTGCCTCAACTATAGCATCTCTGACCAGGGACTCAGGGGAGGGGGGAATCGATTCAGTTCTCATTGGAAGGTGAAACTACCTAATTTGCAGTTTCCAAGACAAAACACAACCTTCAAAATCCACAGTTCTCTGGATTTTGCATTGTGGTTCCCCAACCAAGTAATATAGACCAAAATGCACATGTCAGAGTAAAGTATACATATAATTGTATGTATAAAACAGCAAACAAAAAATGTGTTATATTAGGGAAAACAGCTTAACAAAAATGTGTGTATTTGTCCAAACTGCATACAAAAATGTGATTATTATTATTGCACTAAAACTTGGACAGATTTTCAGTTTGCTGCAGAAATGTGAAGAACTGAATTTAAAATTGGGAAAATGAGAAACCGAGAGAAAGTGACAGATTCAGCCATCCCTGTCCCTGACAGATGGCCATTCCAGCTTGTGGCTTCAGTACCTCCAATGAAGGAGAGTCCACCATCTCTCTCAAAGGAGTATTTTCTAAGGTCAAATGGCTCATACCATTGGGAAGGTTTTCCTAATGTTGAGTCTCTTACTACGGGTATTGCTAGACCTGCATCATATCCTGCAGTTGTGGTATGTTTCAGGTACACAACAGAGCAGCCATGATGGATCAAAATGGATGGTGCGGCACCATGTTTGTGTCTCTTCCATAGAAGCTGCTTGGACCTTTGTGCACATATCTGCTTCCTTTCATAAGGCTGATGGAGAGCTTGGCATTATGTGTGGCGTGCCTGTAAAAGCAGCCATGATACCCAAACCAAAGTGAGAGCAAACCAGCTCTAGAAGTGTGCCTAAGTTTGCTGTGGGGGGGGGGGGCTGCTTATACAGCAGGCAGGGTCCCAGTTGCTCATTTCTCCCACTTCCAGGCAGATTATGGCTATTTGTCATCTACGATTTTTGTGGGTCCACTCACACAAACAGTAAAATTGATGGGGAAATACAATGGAAGAGTCCAGCCCCCTGGTCCTGTTGCTGATCAATATAAAACACATAATCAGCTTTTATTAGGTGGTTCTGGTTCTCAATATTTCTAGTTATGCCCTCTAGAACAACAGAGGTCAAATCTGCTCCATCTTCTGCATGACAGCCTCACCATATATTTGAAAACCATGTCTTCCCTTAGTCTTCTCTTCTGCAAGCTAAATATACCCAGGGACAGGTAGGGCAAGGGGCTGATTTGAGCAGGTGCATTTGCAGATGTGGTGTAGATTTGATTCCAGCTGAGGGTTGGGTTCAGAGGGCTCCTTTTGGAATTGTGGTCCTTGACACCTCATTGAGTTGGAAACGGAAGACCACCATGGTGGTTCTGGTGACATATTAATCAGCAGTGCTTATTATACATGCTGCAGGAAGATATTACGGCAGTGACCAAAGAAGGAAACATGCTGCTGTGTAGTTTAGAGGAACCTGACATGGATGAACCTGACAAAGAGGAACCACAGGAGAGATCTGGTGACTGGGAGACTGTCAACCGGTGAGCATGTTGAGCATCATGCACATTTTAAAAGCTGTTGACTAGGATCACTGTCTTGCCCATTGAAAGCATAGAAACATAAGATAAACCCTGTTGGATCATGCCAATGACCCATCTTGTCCAGCATCCTATTCTCACAGTGGCCAAGCAGATGCCTGTTGGGAACCCATAAGAAGGACCAGAGTATAAGAGCACTCTCTGCTCCTGAGGTTTCCTGCAAAACAATGCATAGGAGAACTTAAGGATAAAGGCTATCAATGACTGCTAGTCACAATGGCTGGGTACTATGTTCCAAGCCCTACCTGGAGATGCTGGGAATTGAACCTAGAACCTTCTGCATGTGGAAGCCCTACCACCAAGCAATAGGTCTTTCCCCCCAAAATACGAACAGGAAATTATCTTTAAACAGTCCATCTAGCTTAGTGTTGTCTGTGGTGGTTGGAAGATGCTCTTCCATTCCTGTTGGGGAAGAAAGCAGCCGTGTGCCTGGGGTCAGGTAGGTACTCTGTTAGAGTGCATTCCCACCCACCCCCCAGCAATGGCAAAAGTTATGGGGGGCAAGCAGGCAAGCCACCACTTTGGATACAACCTCCTCTTCTCTGTGTGCAATGGAAACATCCTTACCTGTCTTGCACCTGTGCCACCTCTGAATGGGACAGCCTTCTTTTACCTTGGACAAGCTACAATTTGTTCCCTGGTGAAAGGAGGTTGCAACAACACCTAAGGGTTGTTTTCGGGGAGTGGGGGCTTGGCAAAGTACCTTGGTGGATTCTGGAGTTTCCAGTCCTCAGCAGTCCAAATAGGCATTGGGTGGCTGGAGTCCATTTAAATTTCTGACGATGCCACATCAGGGACATCGTGTGAAATCTAAAAGGTGCCTGCTTTTCCCTTTTTCTTTTTAAGGGGTTGAGCTCTTTGTAAAAATGTCTTTTTTTAATGGCTTGGGACCACTTGGTGGAAATGCAGTTGAGGTTTTTTTAATTGTTTTTATTAATGATTTTCTTGGGTTACATAGTACTTTTTTTTTAATGGATAACTAAATCAGCTCCCTCTTGTGAAAAAAAAGGTTGCTTGCACAGTTACATGAAATGGAAATTGCTTTTGATGGATTCTGGGAGAAACATCAGCTGAAGATGGAGCAGTATTTGCAGCTTTGGAAATTCGAGCAACATTTCCAAGAGGTAGGATGAGGTCCCCATCCCATCAGCCTTGGCTAAGAAACTATTGCTGGCATTTTTTAATATTCATTCGACCCACACAGTAGCTTTCAACTACTGTGTGCTTGAAAGGTATAGAGGACCTTTTCCCCCTGCGAAGGGCCTTTGATCTGCAGGAGATGTCATGGGGGGGCGTGGCTCCTTTGATGTGTGGAGCTGGAGCCAGTGGTGGGCAGAAGACCACCCCCGCCACCCCCATTCTCTGCATGCTTAGCTTCAGATGTCTTCCTTGCTCAAATATAACGCAACACTTTCAAGTGAAAACAGAGCAAAGAGGGATGTGTAGACCACACGAGGGGAACACGTCTGTGTTCCCCTTCTGTGCTTTAAATAATATTGTTCCCCTCCTGTTTTTGTTTTTCTTTTTGACAAAATTTCCTCTTCCTTTTAGCTCAGTAAAGCCATTGAATTTTTAATGGAGAAGCAAAGGGAGCTGCCAGATACTGGAGATAATGTCTCTCAAGTAAAACAGATGGTGTTGGATCTGGAAAACTTGAACAAAATGGCACAGGTGAGAGCGCCATCCAGTTGGTGTCAGTGAGGAACAGCCATCCTAACCCACCTAGAGCAGGGATGGGGAGGTGTTCCATGGTGCTGTACTACAGCTTCCAAGACCCCTGACTATTGGCCAGGATGGCTGGAGGTGGGGGGGCACTCTGACATCTCTGCAGCAGATGACACAAGGGACAAAAGTTGGCAGAGCAACAACTGTAAGCGTTGCCTTTGTGCAGTAGGCTGCTTTCTCTCACATTTTTCTTCCATCCTCACAAGCAAGGGGCATGATCAGAGTTCAAGGACACATTCCAGCCAGGAAAGAACGTTCAAAGAGGCTGTGAAGTAGGGACAGTGTGTGACTGGGGAGAGAAGGTGTTGCCTGGAAAGAGCTTTGAGGGCTAGATAGAGAGGCCTCACACAGTCTAGATATATAACTTCTACCCCCTCTTTTATTTGGATGTTACACAGGAGTTGACAGGGAAGGCTCAGGTTGTGATCCTTCATGGGCACCAGTTGGCAACCAACCACCACTACGCCCTCAACTTGATCTGCCAGCAGTGTAATGAGCTGCGGCACCATTCGGATATCTTGCTAGAGGAGATCAAAAGGAAGCACAACCAGCTCCAAAGAACCTTGGACCTTCTCACTTCTCTGCAGCAGGTAATGTCCAGAGGTGGACCTCCAGACACAGTGAATGAATGACAGAGCGTTGCTTTCAGAGTCCAACTGCATGGCAAAGGATGGAGCTGTGCATCTGCTGTGATCCTGCAGGAGGGCAGGATGGGCTACTAGCCACAGAACCCCAGTTTTAATTTACAAGTTTGCAAGTGTGCGAGTGAAACCTTCTCAAAATTAAAGAAGCCAGAGGGAAGGCTAAATAGCATTTCTGAGGCTTCAGTGTCCCACATAGCTCCTTCCTCCTCCCCAGAATAGATAACGTAGAAGAAGATGAAATTATACTATTGCATCATCCTGGATTGTGGAGTTGACTTCTTGTTGGTTCAGGATTCTAATTTTGTAGGCCAGGAGCAGGGAACCTCCAGTCTGGAGCCTAATGTTTGATGTATTACAGTATTTTAATATATTTTTGGGGAAGCCGCCCAGAGTGGCTGGGGAAGCCCAGCCAGATGGGCGGGGTATAAATAATAAATTATTATTATTATTATTATTATTATTATTATTAATAATAATTAGGTGTCCCTATTTGGCCCAGCCATTCCCATCAATGATACCAGCTGTGGCACATGCAAAGACATGTCTGGAATGAAAGGGTGTTTTTGTATGTTTGTTTTTGCTGGTACTGCTGATCCTGCACAGCTCTATGGAAAGATCTATGCATGCCACTTTGCGAGCCTTGACAGTTGGCTACTCACTGGGGTGTTCAAAGTGGGATGCCTTTGCCTGCACAGTTGATTTCAAACAACACAGGCCTGCTGTTAAATGTCAAGAGACAGGGGAGATCAGGACCACAGGCCTTGGGGCTTGCAGGGGAAGTGGTAGAAATTGTCAAGATCTGGCCAAGGCAAGGCAGATCAGGACCCTGGACAGGTCTCATAGGAAATTGCAGGCTGAGCTGCAGAAGATGTTGCTCTGCAGTGGACCAGAGGCGTTTAAATGCTGCATTTCCACAGTGAACTCTTTGCCCAAAGCAGCCTGTAATCAATCATCAAAAGCTTTGGGGGGTGGGGGAGAGAAGTCAATTTACAAAACATATTCAATAAATTCAAATTGGACAAAAAATATAAACAATTAGCAAATTCAATATAAGAAAGAAAAATTAGACTTAGAGGTTTATTTTTATTTTTTGGTGTTGTATTTTGGAATTTAATTAACAAATAAGTTCCAACTGCTACTGCAGTTCTTACTGGTCTCCAAGAAGCCTCAGCTCTGCAAGAAACCTCAGGGGGTCTTCTCATGTGGCTAGCTGAGTTATAGCTCCCTTTTCTGTCCTCCATAGACCAACAACAGCACTTGGGAAACGCTTGGGAATCCTGGAAGTTCTGGCTGCTTTTGCAGGTCTTATGGCCTAGCAGTACTCAGACTTACAGACTGGACCTTCTCTTCCACTGCCCCTCCCTTTAAGAGCTCATAGCTGATTCTGCAATTGCATGTCAAAGCATGGCTGTGGAACAGGAAAAGCTATGGAGGAGTCACCCTCACAGAGAACGATAAAAGAGCCACCTCTTCTGTCTAGGACAGTGTAGGAGGTCTCCTTAATAAGGGTGACCCGTGATTTTCCTGGTACTGGATGCAAAGCACATGATGACAACAATGCAGCAGAATAAGAGGGTTAGGCAGTTGCTGGAGCTGGTTGGAAGAGGACATTGGAGACAATACTTCCACCTTGAATCTCCTCCTGTCCTCTAAGCCTGTTCATAACAGATGGGAGAGGGGAAGTCCACTGCTGCCTACAGATTGCCAGTTGGTCATTACCCTGGGCATGACCACCAACCTGTTCCTACTCATGTTTTTTCACCAGGCCCTGGAGTGCTGCGATGAAGGAGCCTACCTTCTAGCCAACCAGCAGATGGATAAATGCCAGTCTCGAGAAGGTGCCCAGAAAGCTCTCCAAGACATAGAGAATTTCCTTGAGAGTTCTTCGCTGCATTTATATGCTGACCCACAAACCCTGTACTCTGACTTTGAGCCCATCTTAACTCCTGAACTAAAGGTAGGCCCATGGTAGAGGAATCGCATTCGTGCTGGCCGTGATAGCAAGAGCTCCGCTACACAGTGTGCTAGCCTTGAATCCAACAATCTGAAAATACTGGAGCAGTTAAGCTTGTTGGCCTAGGCTGGGGTTGCCTCCCAGGCTTTACGCCAAAGTGGGTCCCTGACTCTTATGGAGGCTTCCAGATTAGAGCTGATCACTAGCCTGAACTACTAGGAGATCCAATATTGTGTCTCAAACTGACCTCCGCTTTACAGGAGCTGGGCTTGATCAAACACCCGTGATATGTGACAAGCCAATTCTGCAAGATTTGCTTATGGGGTTTTCCTTTTTGGAATCTGCAGGCTCGGATACAAATGGTCCAGATGAAGCTTGAGAATGTGCGGAGCATGTTCGAGAACAGGCAGGCTTGCTTCAAAAAGCTAGCGGACAAACAAGCACGCCCTGTGCAGCTGGTAGCCCCACGGCCAGAAAACCCACCCCGGTCGAAATCTCCTTTGTTTTCCCCCAAACATGGTAACCTGCTTTTAAAGTTACGTCATTCAGAAATGTTCATTAGGTAACCGTGGGGAAGATGGAATGAGAATGGGCTTGATAATGTCGTAGATTTCTTTGTATGTGTGATCAGAGAGTGAAGCTAACTGTGGAGCGCACCAACGTCTTTTCCTTCTCTAGTCCTCAGAGCTGTTTTGCAAGTGTGTTCTTTAAGTACCCTATAGTGTCTTCAAAAAATAACCCAAACTGATTGTTATTTATATCTCTCGTAGCCTCCACTTAATATAGTATGGAGGGAATCCCTTTTGCAATCTGAATTATTCATCTGTATTGCACTTTTAATATGTGACTGCTTTCTGCCCACTCTTTACATAATGGGAGACATAAGTGTGCAGTGTGATTGCTGGAGAGGAACTTCTGCTTGAAGATTTTAGATGTCTTCTAAAGGAGGACTACTGGGCCGCTGGTGGTGCTGTGGATTAAACCACAGAGCCTAGGGCTTGCCGATCAGAAGGTTGGCGGTTCGAATCCCCGCGACGGGGTGAGCTCCCATTGCTCGGTCCCTGCTCCTGCCAGCCTAGCAGCCCGAAAGCAGTTCAAAAGCTCCCTCGGCCAGTAAAGCAAGATGAGCGCTGCAACACCAGAGTCGGCCACAACTGGACCTAATGGTCAGGGGTCCCTCTACCTTAAAGGAGGACTACATTCCTCTGGGTGCTCCAACTACAGTACAGGACAGCTCTCAGGCAAAGTGTTTTGGTTTGCAGGTGGCCCTCCAAGGCTGTTCACATGTTACATCCAACGAGTAAACAATCCATGTACACAAATAGTTGAGCTGTACATTTATGCACTTATTCACATGTGACATTCAACGATAACACAGGTAGAATCTAGACACATATAAAAACATTGCGAAATTGCTTTTTTTAAATAAAAAAAATGTTTTGAAAAATATATTGAATTTGCCCTAAGCGCATCCTCGCCATCTAGTGCCACATTTGTATAATGCACTTAAAACACACCTAAAACATTATATTTGCAGCTGTATAGATGAGTCCACAGTCTGTGTACCTGTGTTTTGATACAGCTAAGCTGTGCAAATCTGCAAGTGTAACACTCTTTCATGTAAATAGTTATACATGCATAGACAGCTTTTACCTGTGTTCAGTGTAACATGTGAACAAGACGTTTTGATTTCTGTAATCTCAGACTATCAGCAGAAATGATCATTTTATTGAACCCCCTGAGAACTGTCATTTGTGCTCAGCAAACCACTGGTTGTCCAGCCCAAACTGGGATTGTGCTATTTATGTATTTGGTATATGCTAATTTAGGGTTTCTCCCAGTTAACATCCTTAGGGATCTCTCACAGAAGTGCTGCCTGTCATTTTAAGAGGTTGTAGGCAGCCGGGCAAATGCAGTTAAAACCCTCTACCTTATTTGGGATTTTCTTTCTGATGATGCTGTCCGATATCAATGAGACCTTGTGGAAGTAGTAATGTTGTAACCATTTTATTTTTGCAACAGCGCAGTTTGAAGATGGGGCAGCTTCTCTTCATATCTGTTTGCATTCTTCTGCGTCTGTTTTTCTCCCAACATCCTTTGCCCATTACTTCATTAAAGGTGCTTCTTCTATCTAACGGATATTCAACACTTATCTATGTCAATAAAATTAGATACTGTTCCTTTTCTTCCTCAGTTGCATCTTCTCCTGGAAAGGATCTCCATCGCCTTTCCTTTGAGGGGCCTTATTTTAGATTCTTTTTAACATAGAAAATATATATGGTTAGATTTTATAGGAAATATGTGTATTAAAGGACTTGGGCTGGGTAGAGTGATATGTGTAACCTTATCAGTATTTCCACCCTTCCGTTATATCCAGAAATCCTTTCAGTGTGGCCCAGCTGCATTATGAGTTTAAAGCAGTTTTATACCACTCTAAACAGACATCATGGCTACCCTCAAAGAATCCTGGGAATTGTAGTTTTTTAGGAGTGTTTCTAAATGATAGATAGATAGATAGATAGATAGATAGATAGATAGATAGATAGATGTCCTGGGTGTTTTTAAGCTGAAGTTTGGTGTAGAAGTACTTTAAATAAATAAAGTTTTGCATGAATAAATGCTAGCTCCACAACAATATGGTGGCTTGATGGTGCAGGTTTGCGTGGGAAATTTAATTACCCAAGAAATGCCATCAAAGCTGGATATAGCACATTATCTGTTGTTTATTAAAATATTATTAGCCACTCTTCTTTTTTTGGGGTGGGGGCTTTTGGAGTGAAAAGAGGTATATAAATGAATAATGATAATATTAGATCTCAGAGTTATGTACAAATAGTCAAATAGTGGCCAGCTTAACAACAGTCAAGAGTAGTGACATTTAAATAGTCCAAATGTAGCCACTTCAATGGGTCTACTCCGAGTAGGATATAACCCAATGCCCTGTGATCTGCAGATGAATGGTGGTATACAAATTTAATAAAAAATAAAAATGCAACTTGAAGAGGCAGTAAAGCAAAATAGGATGCTTCAGACCTTTTCCTGGTACCTTGTCAGATTATGAATTTTTAACTTTTAATCTCAGATTTTGTTCATTTCAAATTCTGTGTGATTACTTAGTAAAAAAATTATTTTGTTTCCTAAACGCCATTTATTTATTTTCAAATCTTTTGTTATAATTAATAGTTCCCCCCAATAACTTTTTTTCTCTTTTAAAATGTTTCATCCTGTTTGTTAAAACATGTGTGCACACAGGAACACACTCACATCTATTTTGTTTCCAGCATTAACTAACTGAACATATCTACCTTTTAAACAGGTGGTGTAATGTAGTTTAATGTAATTCCTTTGCACAAAAGTAATCTGTAACTTGTAGACTATAATCTGCCTTTCTTCTTTTTCTTATGTCCAAGGTGTAGATTTTAATTCCAGTTTGAAATTCTCATTTGATATCTCACTGCCTGGGAAGAAGACTTCAAGGAAATCTCAAAGTTCCCGCAAGGTAGGTGATTAAAAATGTTTAAGTACAAGTGTGACGTCCACAAAATCAATGTGGAATGGTCCTGTTCCGTGTTCCTACCTGCCATCCAACCAGCCATGCCCTTTTCTAAGGGACTCCATTCCATTCCTCACCAACTTCAGTCTCCCTACTTGCAATAGATGCTGAGCATTCTAAGGACACTGAACATGATCTATCCTTGTTGTGCTTGATTCCTCTCTGTTGTGCATGGTTGGTGCTGTTTTGGCTACATACCATAGTCAAAGGAATGACTTTGAGGGAAATCCTGCATACTATTAACAAAGTGCTCCTCAAACCACATCTTTTCATGCAGCATTGACACTCCTTGTCCAGAACAAGCATAAAAAAACAAGATGGACGGGAGACCACATCGCTAAAATGTGTAAATGGGACAGAAGTTTTATCAGTGCAGTCTTATGCCTACTCACTTGCCCGGTTCAGACGAAATGCCCAAACCAAGCTTTAAATTAGTGCTACATAAACTAACCTGGATAAGCCGTTGGATCATGGCTCATTGATCCTTTGGTATGGCTTGGAGATCGGCATTTTCCTCCGAGTGTAAACTAACCACAGTTTGTTGCTGAATCCAGTCTGGGGTGCGGAAGTTGTTTTAAACTATGGTTTATTTAACAATCTTGGTTCAGAAACCATGGTTTGATCTTCTCTTGTTTCAAAGAGCCGGAGTTTAAGCTAACAATAGCTTAGAGTGGGCTGCTTTAGGCAGTGGTTTGTTTAAATTAGGAAACAGATACTTCTAGCCCTTGAGTCTGTGCTAGGGGAAGAGAGGGGAAGGAGATGAGCAAGCTTACTCAAGCTCATTCATGTAGCACTAAACTTTGGTTTAGGTCACAGAACATGACCAACAAATAGAAGTCAAAGAGGGCTGGGTGGGTAGGGGCTACATTTGTCCCAGGGCTGGAGTTCCCCATCCCTTGCTTACTGTCTAGAATCTGACACAGGAGAGTAACAGAAGAAGGGGAAGGAAATAGTGGTGCACAAACCAGGCCATATTCTTCCATCCTGCTACTATTTCCTTCCCCTTCTTCTGCTGACTCTCATGTGTCAGATTCTAGACAGTAAGCAAGGGATGGGGAACTCCAGACCTGGGACCAAATGTAGCCCCTACCCACCCAGCCCTCTTTGACTCCTATTTGTTGGTCATGCTCTGTGACCTCCTTGTCTACTTTTGCCTAGGTGCAATAAATCCTTGATCAGTAATTATGCTTATTATGTGCTTGGAAACCTCTGGCTTTTTACATTGCTGGAATGTTGCATGATGTACAAAGGTGAAAATCACATCTGTTGCTCTGCTCCCCCTTTTTTTTGCCTCTGGCTACACTTTTATTTCTTTTTGCCCCCAACCGCAGTTGTGTGGCCGCCATAAAGTTGTCCTCTGGGGAATGAGGCCCCCATGCTGCAAAAGGTTCCTCTAACAGCGATGTACCCCACTAGTACATTGCAAAATGCAAGTTCACGTTTAGGGCAGCACATGAATCATTTTAAAATAGCAGGCTTCAAGTTGTCACTTCAAAGCTTTTTTTATTATTATTTTTCCTCTTCCTAAAGCATGTTGTTTCCCTCCAGATTGAAGTGATGCACGATTATCAGGAGAAAAGGAATTCGCTGCAGTTCTGCATATCAGAAAGTGAAGACAGTTTAGACATATTAAAAAGGTATTCTTCAGCCCCTTTTTAATCCACCAACTTCTCTGCTAGTCATGCAAACAAACCCTGATTTGTGCTTGGGAAAGTTCTCTGTTCCCTTTACTCAAAGCATTCAAAGAACGACCTTGGCCTGCTGTGATGATTAGGCCTCATCCAAAGCAAAATGTATGCTCCTTCAGTGGGGTGGGGGGTGAGGAATAACCAGGCTTTACTCTCACCCTTTCAAGCACATCTTTGTAACATGAGGACTAGAATATTTATGTTTTTCTTCCTCCAATAAATTCTTGCACATTTAGAAAGCACATGCTACTGTTTTTTCCCAGCTCTTTGTGGAATTTCTACATGTACCCAACCTTGATTCCCCCCCCCTTCTTCATTTTAGCTATGTGATAAACGAGCTTATAGAAACTGAGCGGGTTTACGTTGAAGAGTTGTTCACCATTTTGATGGTAAGTGTGCCTTTGTTTCTTCTTGCTTCACCCTTAGATGTATCTGGGATGCTTATTTTACTTCTGTATCTGACTGCAAGTAAGCTAGATGCTAACAGATGTGCAGGATGAGGAGGAATTCAGTTTTGTGCACGTTTTAGCCTAATTCACACTTCCTGAAGCAATACACAAACCAAAATGCATCTGCCCTTAGAAAGTCAAACTTCTCTGTATTTGGCAATACAGTTCTCCAACCAAATAATGCGTACAAAAATGTTGATATGTGATTTTTTTTTTTAAAAAAAATGATTTCATATTTATATTCCAGCAACAATGCTGATCTCAATGCAGCTCACAATAACAATAGCATTAATATTTTCAAGACAATGCTACAATTGTGGTAATCATATTAAAAACAAAATAGCATACAAATAAGGCAAAAACAAATTCATCGAACAATTAATATAATTATATACATTAGGATTAAATATGCAAAAAACGTGTTAGGAGAAAGTTGTGCATGCAAAATTTATGAAAACTGAAATATGCATACAGTGGTACCTCGAGTTAAGTACTTAATTCGTTCCGGAGGTCCGTTCTTAACCTGAAACTGTTCTTACCCTGAAGCACTAATGGGGCCTCCTGCTGCTGCTGCACGGCCAGAGCATGATTTCTGTTCTCATCCTGAAGCAAAGTTCTTAACCCGAGGTACTATTTCTGTGTTAGTCTGTAACCTGAAGCGTATGCAACCTGAAGCGTATGTAACCCGAGGTACCACTGTATTAGACAGTATCACATGCAGAAATAAATTTGTATAATGGGAGAAATGCCCACTAGATGCTGATAAATTTTCATGAGGACTTTTTACTTTAAAAAATAAATAAATGCAAACTGATGTGCAAATCTGGGGAACTGAACTTAATAATGGGAAAGATGTGAAACTGAGCAAAACCAAAATTGACAGATTGATCTATCCCTACTCTCCATTCCAGTTGTAACATTTATTATTCTTATTCACATTCTCCTGTTGAACATGCCACTCAGAGGCGTATTTTTACTGTCATAATACTCTGAAAACACACAAGCCAAACAAACACACCTCTGGGGCTGGTGCACGACTGCAAAGAGATTTTTAGCATTAGGACCAAGAGGTGATGATGCTACTAAACGTGGCCTTTTGGGGTCGGACAATCTGGATGTGTGCCTAATACTGCATTTGGGGTTGTGCTGTCGGCAGGGCTACAGAGCTGAGATGGACAACCCCACCATGGCCTTTCTCTTGCCACCCCCCTTGCAAAACCGCAAAGATGTTCTGTTTGGAAACATGCCAGAGATTTACGACTTTCACAACAAGTAAGACACCGCCAAACCTTTGCATTGTCAGTCTCTCCCCACCTCTACCACCCCATGCCTTTAAAAATGAGTTCCGGAAGCAAACGTGACCCACTCTTCATTCCTACCCTCTCCATCCTCTTCCTCTTTCTTTTTCTTGCAGGATTTTCCTCCACCATCTGGAGAGCTGCGTGGAAGCCCCAGAGAAAGTTGGCTATTGCTTCTTGGAAAGGGTCAGTAGGCATGTTGTTGGAGCTGTGCTCATGATCCTTCTTGCTCCAGATCAGGGGTGGGGAACCTTAGTTCTCCGGGCCTCCCTGTCTGGCCCTCAGAACTCTCCCCAGGCCATGATTCCTGTCCCTACTTAGACACCCTGATTGTTTTTGTCTGGCCTGAATGTGTCCTTAAACCCGGGTAATGCCTCTTACCTGTTTTGGTGGAGGATGGAGAGGGATGGTCTGGTCTAAGAAGTAAGGTAAAGGTAACAGGACCCCTGACCATTAGGTCCAGTCGTGGCCGACTCTGGGGTTGCGGCGCTCATCTCACTTTACTGGCCGAGGGAGCCAGCGTACAGCTTCCGGGTCATGTGGCCAGCATGACTAAGCCGCATCTGGCAAATCAGAGCAGTGCACGGAAACGCCGTTTACCTTCTCGCTGGAGCGGTACCTATTTATCTACTTGCACGTTGATGTGCTTTCGAACTGCTAGGTTGGCAGGAGCAGGGACCAAGCAACGGGAGCTCACCCCGTCGCGGGGATTCGAACCACCGACCTTCTGATCGGCAAGTCCTAGGCTCTGTGGTTTAACCCACAGCGCCACCCGTGTCCCTGTAAAACCCACATTCTCTGCTCTGCCTGCTTTCGCCTATGGTCCCAAACATCATCAGCCTGTGGCCTTCAGAAGGCTGCCCATGGTCGAAAAACATTCCCCAGCCTTGTAGTATGAAATTTCAACTTAGACCACTAGTAAAGAAAAAAGTCCCTCCCCTGTTGGTTGGTGAGTGGTAGACAAGGCGGTTGGGTGGGGAGAGATTAGCCCCACCTTGGCCCCACTTCCTCCCACCACCAGCATCCTGCCTCCAACTGGTTGCCCCAAAGGGAATGTAGCTAACCTCAGGAAAAACTTCCCCATTGTTGAGGTAGGCAATAGTGAGCTAGACTGACCCAATGGCCTGGCGCAGCATAAGGCAACTTCCTATGTTGCTGGAACCAACAGCATTACTTTTCTGCTTCCTATTCACTCACTAAACAGGAGCAGCAATGCGTCTCTGTGTGGGGCAGTGCTTTTTGCAGTGTGGGGGCCACATTCCCTTCTGGGGACCCCTTCCAAGGGCCGCAGTGGACAAGGTCAGACTCAGAGGCCAAAAAGGATGGATGAGTGTTCATGGGATGCTCTCCCCAGGGAGACTCGCCTGGTGCCTTCATTACTCTGGTTTTATATTTTGCTGGAAGCCACCCAGAGTGGTTGGGGCAGCCCAGTCAGATGGGCAGCATATAAATAATAAATTATTATCATCATTATTAGTATTACTACATATCTTTAGGCACCAGGCAAAAACATTCCTCTTCAGCTAGGTCATTGGCTGATTAAACAATCTATGGCTTTTTCAATTGTGTGTGTGTGTGTGTGTGTTGTTTTTGTTGTCATTATGTTATGCATTTTGTGGTTTTATGTTGTAAACTGCCCTGTAATCTTCAGGAGAAGGGCGGCATTTAAATTTTAATAAATAATAATGATGATAATAATATGCAGTCTTCCCCAGGCCTGAGGTGTCCCACCCCAGTCATACTGCACTGTCCCAGTTTCAAACAAGGATCTTGCCTAGTCCTACCTAGAGATATTAGGATTTGAACCTGGGACCTTTAGCATGCAATGCATGTGCTCTATTTCTATGATCCAGAACAGGTTCCTGCATTGCAGGGGGTTGGACTAGGTGACGCTCGGGATCGCTTCCATCTCTACCATCTGGCCACAGTGATCCATGCGATGGTCATCTCCAGGCTTGACTACTGTAATTCGCTCTACGCGGAGCTGCCCTTGAAGCTGTCCCAGAAACTCCAGCGGGTGCAGAATGCTGCAGCGAGGCTCCTCACAGGGTCTCTGCCATGGGAGCATATTCACCCAGTGCTTTTCCAGCTGCACTGGCTCCCGGTGGAGTACAGGGTCAGATTTAAGGTGCTGCTTTTGACCTTTAAAGCCCTTCACGGCCTAGGACCCTCCTACCTATGGGACCGCCTCTCCCGGTATGCCCCACGGAGAGCCTCAAGGTCCATAAATAGCAACACCCTAGTGGTCCCGGGCCCTAAGGAAGTTAGATTGGCTTCAACCAGAGCCAGGGCCTTTTCAACTCTGGCTCTGGCCTGGTGGAACTCTCTGCCTCATGAGACCAGGGCCCTGCAGGATCTGATTTCTTTCCGCAGGGCCTGTAAGACAGAGTTGTTCCGCCTGGCCTTTGGCTTGGAGCCAATTTGATTCCCTCCCCCCTCTCTTTCTTTTTTCTTTTCCTTCTCCTCCTGCAATGAGGCTACATTTTAATATTTTAATGTTCCAGTATTTTAATGTTGTATTTTATTTTTGTTTTTAAGTTGTAATCATTCATCTTGTTTTTATTATTGCTTGTAAGCCGCTCTGAGCCCGGCCTTGGATGGGGAGGGCGGGGTATAAATAAAAAATTATTATTATTATTATTACAATTCTGTGGTCAGGTGTATGGCTGTTCCATTTGAATTAGACAGCTACAGGTTCTTTGGCTGTCTGATACAAGTTCCCTGCAATGGATGTACTTAGAATTAAGGGGGTGTTACATATTTATCATTCTTTCCTTCCTCCTGCAGCGGGAAGATTTTCAGATGTACGAGAAATACTGTCAGAATAAGCCGCGATCTGAATACCTGTGGAGGCAGTGTGCAGAAAGCCTCTTCTTCCAGGTATTTTCACATTGTTATGGTGATAGGCGAAAAGCTCACCTGGGCCAGTCATTATCTGCCAAGCTAACCTACCTTGCAGGGGGGCTGTGAGGATAAAATGGGGAGAGGAGAACCATGTATGGCACTCTGAGCTCTCGGAGGAAAGGTTGGGATTGAAATGTAATCATAATCAGTCTTTATTATGGTCTAGAGACCCAGCAAATCGTTACAAAGCAATGCACAATTCAGACAGCCTACTTCCAGGTTAAACAAGCATTTTGTTCAGACTTAAAGATAGGGATCATTTGTTCTTGCAACCACCGATAAAAACTTTGCCACTGAAATGAAATAATAAATACGTTTGCAGATATATTTTATTTTTATTGCGCCATCTGCCTGGAAAGAGGAGCAAAGAACTACGGAACTCACTCCCACAGGAGGGCAGTGATGATCACCAACTTGGATGGCTTTAAAGGAGTATTAGACAAATTTGTGGAGGATAAGGCTATCTGTGGCTACTAACCACAATGGCTGTTCTCCGCCTCCACAATCAGAGGCAGCAATGCTTTTGGAAACACGTTGCTGCAAACTGCAGGAGGGGAGAGTGCTGCTGCTGTGCTCGGGTCCTGCTTGCAGCTTCTCCTCATTGGCCACTGGTAAGGATGGGGTGCTTGCCTAGATGGGCCATTGGCCTGATTTTTTTCAGGCTTGTCTTATGATGTGGTCCAAGGCCAGCCCACCCACGAGACAGCGCACTCTTTTGTTTGTTTGTTACAATGTTTTTTTAAAATTGGTTTTCACATATTACATTACAATACAGATGTAGCAAAGGCAACACCATTTCTTCCCCATCCCCCCATATATTTACATTTATATTTCCTCAATCCATCATATTATTCTTTTCTCCTTCCTCCCACTTCCCTCCGCCCCCACTCGATTTCCTCCACATTATACAATTTACAACAATCTTTGCATTCTAGAATCTTCTCAAATCATCTATATATTCTTCTTATCTTTCCTTACTAATTTTTCTTCCATCCAGTACTTCACCTTTTAATCTAGGCATATTAGCGTATCTTTTTTTGAGCAATATTTTGCCATATATTCATCAAAACATTTCCACTCCTTTTTAATTTTTTGATTCGACTGATTTCTTATTATAGTGGTTAATTTTGCCAAAATTAAATATTCGTTTAGTTTACAAACCCATTCCTCCTTTGTGGGTATAGTTTGTGACTTCCACCTAGGAGACAGCGTACTCTTAGGAGGGATTGGCTCAGCTCCAATCTCTTCCCATTCTGACAAACTGCTTCCTTCTCTGTTCGCGCCAGTTTGCACTTCTCAAGAGCGTTGGCTGGGTTCCGGCTCACTCTCAGCCATTCCCTTATCAACCGGCATTCCAAGGGGTGGGGGAGTTGGCACTAGCCAATGCTCATCCTGCCTGGCAGTTGACCCTCTCTGTTCCTGGCTGCTTTCTTCAGCTGGTTGCAAACCGTCACTGGGAGCTGGCTCATTCATGATATTCAACTGCCTAATGCCATCCACATCACCCAGGGGATCGCAGCTGCAAAAGTTAGAAAACAAGAGTTGTTCTGGTGTCTGGAGAGGTCACTTCCTGGTTCGCATAGAGAAGCCATTTTTAACAGAGCTCAGCAATGGAAGTGCACAGCTGTACTGAGGCAGCACCATGTGTTGAAATTCTGTGCCCCCTAACAATTTTGTACCTGGGACAACCTTCCCTGTGGGCCCCTCCCATGCTTTGCCACTAGGGAGTGGGGCAGCATTTTGGGGTCCACCTCAGGTGCTGTAATATCTCAGCCCAGCGCTACTGAGGGGACTTGCTTCGACAAACCGGAAATATATCTGTATCCCAAACTGGGCAACAACTTTTTTTGCTCATTCATTTTGATAGCTCTAGTTTTGCATCATTTCCATAATGCTGATTGTGAGAGGTGCATTTGGAGGACATAGAAGATTGCAGGCAGCCTATTAATGAGATCCTGGCACGTGGATTAAGAAATCATCTGAAAATACAGCTAGGAACAAATTTATTCATCAGCTGCTTTATACAAGCTTCAGATTTTGCCTCTTTAGCCTACTGTCATCTACTGGGCCTTGTGATAGCTCTCCAGGGGCTGAGGAAGCAGCATTGGGCCCCTCCCAATGACCTGTATGTTCAGCAGTCATCCAGATTAGCTTCTGCAAAAAAACTTAAAGTGTTAAGTTTTGTAAACATTAAAAAATGCAAATCTTAAAAGTAATCAAATCATTGCCAAAAATTATTATAAATTATAAATTAATTATATATATAATTTTGTAATATCACTGTATTCTGAAACCAAAGGTCAATTAAAAAGTGCTATATACACTTCTTGAGCATCCCTGGTAACTATTATATTTTAAACTGGGTGTTAAATTATACACGTGAATGCAAAAATATATAAGGCCTGACATTGTCTTTGAGTTTTGCATTCCAATACTTAGCAAACTCCAGTTCTCAATAACTTTAGTGCCCTTCCTTTAATTTCTCTTTCACAATATGAACAACAGTGCTACATACCATAGGTTTTTATACCATCTCAAAATGTCAGTGGACTTAACTGATTTCCAATGGCTAGTCTGGCTGCTATGATCATTGCTGTTGCAAATTCCAAATCTTAATCATTTACTCTGCTTATTTTGGTGCTAAGATTACATTGCTACTAATCATTTAATTTATAAACCTCAATGCCTCTTGTTAAAATTTTACACAAGTCCAAAATCATGTACCGAATTTAATAATTTTTTATTTTAAAAGATGACATACGCAATGTGCCACATTTTGCCTTTCTGTTTCGTTGCAGGAATGCCAAAGGAAATTGGAGCATAAGCTTGCGTTGGATTCCTATCTGCTCAAACCTGTGCAACGGTTAACAAAATACCAGCTGCTCCTGAAGGTATTCATGTCATTGTTCTTAAGAATGGATCTACACCACTTCCATCTTTCAGGAATGCACCCCCTCACAGAATGGTAGATCTGGGAACTGTAGCTCTGTGAGGGGAGTCTCCTAAACTCCCAAGCACTGGGATCCACTTCCACAAGAGGTAGTAAAGGCCAACAAATTAGATGGCTTTAAAATATACTGTATTTTTCACTCTATAAGACGCACCCAACCATAAGATTCACCTAGTTTTTAGAGGAGGAAAACAAGAAAAGCCAGCAAGAGCCGCAGGCACGCTCGGCGTGGCTCTTTAAAGATAGAGCAGCTCTTGCTGGCTTTTCCGGGAGGTGGGAGAAGGGACTGACGGGCTGCCCTCCATCACTTCTCCCACCTCCCTGAAAAGCCAAAGCAAGCTGCACAGCTATTGCTGAAGCCAGCAGAGCAAGAGCTGCAGAGCGGCTCTTGCTCTGCTGGCTTCCCAGCGAAGCAGGATCAGGGATGGAAGGGGCTCTGTAAGGGCTCCCTTCCGTTCCTCCTCCCGCTTTGCTGGGAAGCCAGCAGAACAAGAGGCACTGCACAGCTCTCGCTCTGCTGGCTTCAGTGAAAGCTGTGCAGCCTGCATTCACTCCATAAGATGCACACACATTTCCCCTTACTTTTTAGGAGGAAAAAAGTGTGTCTTTTGGAGCAAAAAATACGGCAATTAGGCAGATGCATGTAGGATACAGCTATTGATGATTACTAGTCACAGTGAACATGTGGCCCCTCCGATGTCAGAAGTGTGTGGCTCTGAATACCAGTTGCTGAGTATCACAAGTGAGGAGAGCACTGTTGTTCTCAGGGCATCAGGTTGGCCACCATGAGAACAGGATGCTAGACTAGATGGGCCACTGCTCTGATCCAGCAAGCAGCCTCTTCTGACATTCTTATTGCAGTCAATGCAATGTTTGACATATGTGAAGCAGCCCGGAGTGCAGAGAAAATCCTGACTTCAGGATGTTTTCAGAATCCTGACTTTGATGTTTTTTCAGGAGCTGCTGAAATACAGCACAAGTTGTGAAGGCGTCCAGGAGCTCCAAGAGGCACTGGTCGCCATGTTGGATTTGCTGAAGTCAGTCAACGACTCCATGCATCAGATTTCGATAACTGGCTACGATGTAAGTAGACTTTTCTTTGGTTGGGAAGGCATCCGTTGTGCTGTTAAGTGGGAATGGGATGCAGTGGGGCTGTCGGGGCAGGACTTTGGGGGGCAGATGTTGAGGCCCCACTCAGCAGAATGAGCAGAAGGGGCTCCGAATGCAGGAAGACTGGCTTAGTACACTTCCATCTAGATATGCTATAAGTCGCCCAGAGTGACTGGGGAAACACAGCCAGATGGGCAGGGTAATAATAAGAATAATAAGAATAATAAGAATAATAGAGGAGCAGCCATCTCTGTGATACTATCTGAATAGCACTCTCTCCCCAGTAAGGCCACTGAGTCTAGAATCTAGGAGCAGAGGGGAGGACCTTGCTTTTATGTGGAAGGTCTCAGGTTCAGTTGCGTGTCGAGACCCCGAAGCCACCCCCTTGTTGAGAAATAACACACACAAGGACACAAATATTAAGTTAACGTTATTGGGCAAATTTTGGCCACAACTTTATTGATTACAGAATGTGAGCAGTATTGGCTTAGGCATTGAATGGACCCGACTATATTCCTGCCCATCGCACAGGGAGTCCAGTAAGGGTTAACCACCGGTAGAGGGAGCCCCGTCGATGCATACCAACTCAAGTTCCCTCTGGTGTTCCCGTCGGGGTCGTGTCATGGCCCCAAGCCCCGCCCCGGGCTTTGGACACCCCCGGATTCCTTTAACGGAATAACCTTAAGCTTGGATGGGCAGGTGATGGCCACCCCTCCCTTCCCCCATCATAAGGTCAAACAATGCCTAACCGCAACCCTAACAAAGTTGTGACGCTTGCTACGAGGTAGGCAAAAATCAAATGTCCTGTGCCAATTTGCCAAGTGGAAAAATTCCTACCAGGCCCCTCAACGGCAACCAACCAAGGTCCATAGCAAGGTCAAGGAACGAAAACCTGCAAAATAGGGAGGGAGGGCAGGTGATTGAGGAAGTGAGCCAAAGAGGAAGCCCTCCGGCTTGCGCCTCCGTTTTAAATGGTCCCGGCCACACACCCGCAGCCAGCAGATTGGCTGGCCGGTCGCTGATGTGGCCAAGATCCCCTGGGCAATGCGGGACTACATCCCCCGCCCCCAGAGGAGAATGGGTGGTCACGCAGTCTACCACAACTCCTCCCCACGTGGAAGTGGAGAGGATTTCCTGGCAATTCCACATTGGGCTGGGGAAGAACCCTTTGGCTGCAATGCTGGGGTGCAACTCCCTCTTCATGGGCAAGGAGACCATTTTGGCCAAAACACAACCATAAGGGGTATATGATGTCAGGCACAGGGCAGATGAGGACTTGCCTTGGCCAAAAGGGTGTTGGAAAACACCATGGTTCAGCTGATTGGCAGTGCCAGGATAAAGCCCTTTTCAAAGGAATAGGGCAAGGCAGCTCTTTGAAAGGGTCTTCGGAAGGCTTTGTTTTATTTTGTAAATCACTTTTGTGATAAGAAACCCCTGTGTGCATTAAAAACAAGCAAACAAAATACAATTGTTCTTACCAGGGAGACATCGGTGAGCTGGGCAAAGTGCTGATGCAAGGATCTTTCAGTGTATGGACGGGGCACCGGAAAGGTCCCACGAAAATGAAGGACCTGGCCAGATTCAAGCCGATGCAAAGGCACCTCTTCCTCTATGAGAAAGCGCTGGTCTTCTGCAAGAAGAGAGAGGACCACGGCGACAGCCACGACAAAAGCTCCTCGTACAGTTTTAAGCACTTTCTGAAGGTAAGTGGGAGCCTCAAGGAGATTCAGCATTCCACGTTTGGCATTTCATTTGTTGTCAGTTTTTAGCTTCATCACTGCATCACACACACACACACACACACACACACACACACACACACACACAGAGCACGACATTGTTTTCTCTGGGGTTTTTTTAGATTATCCACCCCCTTCCCCCCTCCCTTTCTCTTCCCTTTTCAAATCCAAAAAAACCAAAAAGTGGATAAGTGGCTAGCATGGAACAAAATTAGATTAAATTAATTGGAAAGAATTATATGGTGTTATGTTATTGTTAATCTTCCTGTTCCAATAATTATTTTTTTTAAGTGCCAGCAGACGCTACACTGCTGATCTGAAGTGGAACATATTTAGGAAATTTTCCCAACCAGACAACAATTTATAAAGTCTAGGTTTATTGCCCCACTCCCCAAAATGGTTTTATTTATTTATCTACCTTTATTTCAGATTCTTCTGTACCACTTTATGTCAGGCAGTGCCCAGAGCAGTTTGCATGAAAGTTTGCATCAATAATAATAAGCTCATAACAATTCCATTCCATTAACTGACAGTATAAAAGCAGATTCTGAGCCTCTTTTTACAAGACCCTCATTCTGGTTTGATACTCAGCAGCTTCTCACTTCTTCCTTGGGTGCCCAACCAGCCGTCTGCTCCTATGATAGTTCTGTCAGAATTTGTGACAATGGATTTTCTTCTCACTGATTGCAGATTTGCAGTTTTCTGGTGAACTGACTTTTGTTGTGCTCCAGGCATGTGTGCATTTGTGTCAAGTCCTTCCTTTGTTCTCACAAGTCGAACATTTCAGGGATTTGTAATTCCAGGAAAAATCCTGGTGTTACTTACATTTCCTTTGAGTGTAAAAGCTGCTTCATGCAAGGGAAGGCTAATTACAGTGCTGGAGCACCTGCTTTGCATGCATAAAGTCCCAGCTCCACTCACTGGCATCTCCATGTGGGGCTGGGAGAGTCTCCTGCCTGAAACGCAGAAGAGTTGTTGCCAGCCTGTGTAGACAATATACTGAGATAGATGGACCAATGGTCTGACTCTGTAAAAGGCTTCCTATCTTCCAAGATTATTCCAGCCAAACTGTTAACAAAAATACAAATGTTGGCTTTCAGAAAGAGGGTGGAAGACCATAACTTAAGCTGTGTACGTGCCATAAATTGAACTGAAAGATCATTTTGCCCCTCCTATACCTGATCGATCCCTGTTCTCTGCAGATGAAAGAACCAACATCTGCAGTCCAGCCCACCACTAGGTCTGGGGAACGGTGAACTGGCCCCCTCCAGAAAAAGTTTGCTGACCCCTGCACTAATGCAAGCACCTTGAATTAGGACTAGCCAACATGGCAGGTGTTTATGTGAGATAATCTGGTTGCTGAATTCTGGACCAATTCAAGATTCCATGTTGCTGTTAAGGGGCAGGCCCATGTACAGCACATGGCAACAGCCCAGTCTGGAAGTTACCAGAGCATGGAGTCCATTTCTGTGCAAGAGTAGCCACAGCTGTGAGAAAAAGGCACCCCAGCTCCCAAAACTGGTGGTACAGCTTGTTTTCTCAGCAGTGCCTGGAAACCAATTTTGCAGAAACAAAACTTAATTGGCAAATGGCTTCTTGTGTCCCTGAGGCTGCCTTCCATAGCTGATGATAACCATGCCAAGAAGAGAAAACAGAGAGGAAGGAACAGAAGGTTTAGCCAGGTGGCCTCATTGGTTTAATGTCTCAGGCCACCTGACAGTATTGTTCTTTGCGCATGGAGAACACAGAGTGTTTTATTAAGGGTGAACAATGGGAACTGTAAACTGAACATCTATTTATAAACGGCTTATTCATATTTATAAGGAGCAACTGGTTTGCCTGGATTCTTACCCCCCTTCCCCTTGGGTCCCTAAGGGGATGTAGATCTAGTAAACTAGCTGCTTAAAGGGAGTTCATAATGCTGGCCAGAAGGTGAATGGAGAGACCCAGTGTGGCGTAATGGTTAGAGTATTGGACTAGTACTTGGGAGAGCAGGGTTTGAATCCCCACTCAGCCGTGAAGCTCACTGGGTGACCTTGGGCCAGTCACAGCCTCCTAACCTAAATTACCTCACTGTTGTGAGGATGAAATGGGGAAGACCATCTTGAGATCCTTGGAAGATAAAGGTGGCATATAATGTAACAAATAAATAAAAATAAATAAATAATGTCATTACCCCTAATTCTAGCAGTGATCTGGACATGGAGTCAGAGGCTTCAGGGGCACCAGATGAGGAGCCTGGTTAGCTTCAGGGGTCAGAGAAGATGGTATTACTGCTGCCCTGAGTTTGGGTCTACATGAAATGTTGGAGCTCCACAAGAGGGTGCAGAATATTTGAGAGCTCCTTCCTCCATGGCAGGGGCTCTGTTTCTGACAAGGCTGTTAACGATTGATTGATTGATTGATTGATTGCACCTTTATTTCCCACCTTTCCCTCATGGAGCTCAAGGGTAGTGTGCTTGGCTCTCTCTTCTGCCTGATTTTAGACTCTCACAACAACCCTGTGAGGTGGGTTAGGCTAGGAGACGGTGGCTGGCCCACCAAGGTCACCCGGTGAGGTTCATGGCTGTGTGGGGCATTTGAACATGGGTCTCTCAGGTCCTAGTCTGACTCTTTAACTCTCTGTAAAAGAGATGCACTCTCCCATCCAATGGAGGACCATGTCAAAGCATGCAGAAATATAATGCAGCCCACCTAGATTGTCTGTCCATCACTGAATCACTAAGAGTGCTTTTTATTATTATTATTTTTAGATGAGCGCTGTTGGGATCACTGAAAATGTGAAAGGAGACCATCGGAAGTTTGAGATCTGGTATAGCGGTCGGGAAGAGGTCTATGTTGTTCAGGTTTGTTTTGCTTTTGTAAGGATTTTCCCTTTTCCCCCCAGCCAGACCATTGGCTCCACCAGGTTAAGCATTTGCTCCTCAAATTATGTCCAGGTAAGTTACTGCAGCATATTCATGCCTCTTGTTTGCAGCCATATGTGCCCTGCAGGATCAGACCATCCTATTGGCAACTATGTGAACAGGACACTGGACTAGAAGGGCCTTCCTTTGGCCTGATCCCGTAGCCAAATACTTCTGATGTTCTTATGATATACTGCCCTCAGCTTCATTTGCACTGTCATAATCTCCACTGGCCAATTTAGTGAATTTATCTCAGCTTTTTTAAAAAAAGAATCTGATCTAACTGGTCTTCCTCCAATCTTTTGCATGAAGCTCATTGGTTGACCTTGGCCCAGTCACAATCTCTCAGCCTATCCTACCTCACATGGTTGTTGTGAGGCTGAAATGGGAAGGAGAAAACTATGCATGCTGTCTTGAGCTCCATGGAGGAAACGGTGGTATATAAATGTAATCAATCAATCAAAATAGATGAATAAATTATGGGATTGTCAACACCTATTCTTTTTCCCACACCTTTCTTTGGTTGTTTTTGGGAGGGGCATGTTTCTTAACTTCTGGTAGCAGAGAAGTGATTGTTCTCTCTTCTTCTGTCAGGCACAAACAGTTGAGCTGAAGATGGCATGGCTAAATGAAATAAGAAAGGTTTTGTTTAAGCAGCAGGAACTCATCAAAGGTACCTTGGAGGATTGGCTGGAGGGTGGACCTTATGGATTTCCCTGTTGTGAATAGCAGGGGTGGTGTGTCCTGTTTTGCCGCTTGAGGAGAAATGGAAAAACAACTCCTCCTGCTGCTGCCCCAATGGTACCAGTACAACTCTCTCTCCTGCATTGTGTGGCATCGACTTCCAGTGAGATCTTGCAAGATCTCACCAAAGTTTTGTGAGAACTCATGTACTTCCATTCTGGCATTTATTCCAGGATTCAGATACCTGGTATGTTCTGCCCCAGTTTAATTCTGGTCAGAAATTCAAATTCTGGCATGCAGCTTCTGAATGCCTGCACCTGAAAAGCAAAATATTAAATAGGGTTTGTTTTAACTTGTAAAATGGTGCATAGATGGAATTATGCTGTAGAACAATTTTGAAAATTAAAAGAAAGGGCAATAGAATGAACTGCTCTTTCAAAACATTTGCAGTTTAGCTTTCCCCTCTGGAAAAATATCCAAACACTCACTGGGGATCCACTTTGCAAATCTGAGGTAAAGTCTGATTGAGATAGAATTTGTTTTCTATCCATAGAATATTTTTTCCATCCGTAATCTGCATGCTTTATCTTTCTCCAGCCTTCAGACCACAAAATAGGTGGCACTGGAGAAATTTAAATTTAAATTTAAACCCACATTTACCAAGAATGAGGTCAGCATGCAGGGCTAGTTAAAAGGGGAGGTCCATAAACCATTTGCCTGCTGCATCAAGCCAAGGACTTACCTGCTTCAGGATTTTGAGTCCAGACCTAGGCACCTGATGGTCTCCATCACCTAATTTTATGAACATTCGCCTGATACATGACAAAAAGCTAATCCATATTTGCATTCTATTCACAGTTGAGAAGCAACAACCTCCTTCATGTACAGACCAGATCCAACTCTCCCCTCCTCTGAGTGATGGGTAAGTCAGCAGGGCCTGAGACAAAATAGCTAATTTCTGCATATTAGGATGCTGGGCTCCACCCGGTTCAATCCTTTCTCTCCTTAATTTTTTATGTATTTATTATTTAAATCTGTTTGAAGCTTTTCTGTATAAATATGCTCCAAGTGGCTCCTAAAATGTGAATCAGTGGATCGTTACATTAACAATCAGACACTACACAATTTCAAAACATAACACAGAATTCCAACATATAGTAATTCAGTTTCAACTGAATAATTCAGTATGGACATTGTAACATTTTAAAGTCATCATAAAACAAACTATCAATCATTGAACCGTATCAATTAATGACAAATACAATAAACATTCTAGTGCAATTGCATGCCAGCAATAATATAACCAGCAGCCACTGCATGGTACAAAAACTAACCAAGTGTATATAAATTATTGATTGGATTTATAGACTGCATTTCTGCCAAGGCAGATATATGATAGCTTGCAATTTCAAAATATTGAAACAAACACGTAAGTTCACAAAGGCTAAAAAATTTAAAGTGTGCATAGTTCTTAACAGCTTAATCGTATATCATGGAATACATAGCCGTTAATAAATCTATACTATAAAGCACATGAATAGGGGCTAAAAACTGAAGTGCACCTATTTCATAGCAGCTTGATCATGTAAAGTGCTCAAAAGACAACTCTCACCCACTGCTTTTGATTGTATCTGGCAAAGTTGGTGGAGAGCTTGGAGGAATTGCATCAGGACCCAGAATGGGAGGGGGGATCAGCACCTACACCCCCACCGCATATGCTTAGGAATGGACACCGCATTGGTATTGCTGGGATTACCTGCTCATAGTTTGGTTGGTCTTGTTGCTTCAGTTTCTCTAAACAGACTCTGTGTTTTCAGAAAACAACCAAGAGCCTCCGTAAGCTCAGAGGAAAATGATTCTGAGCGTACCAGCCCCGTGGCCTTGGAGAGCGTGGCTTCCTCACCGCAGAACAAGCCAAGCAGGCGTATGTGCAGCTTGATAGCATCTTCTTCATTCTTTGGCCCAAGTGTGCAATTTTATCTGTGTTGCCTGTGTAAATCTCATCTCTTCTTCCCCAAATGTATCTAGGGACATCTGTCCATTCTCCAGCTAGGTTGGTGTGTTTTCCCTGGTCACACGTCTACATATGGTGGGGGGGGGGCAAGCGAGTGCCTGCCCCTGATGAATGCCCCATTTCTGGTTGCACCCACCATCCATAGGAGGCATGCAGAAAAAGCCCAACCTTCAAGTGTTGATGAGCTCTAACTTCCATCATCTCCAGCCAGCATGGCCCAGTGGTTTGGGATGATAGGAGCTGGAGATTCTCCCTCCCGGATTTTGTAGTAATGTTCTGCAAGTGACCTTGTAAGCAGTGATGATTGTGTATCTCTCTCCCCATGCAGCTTGGCCAGGAATGTCCCATTCTTTGGAAATCTGCGAAGGACTTGATGATTGGTCCAGCCATAACTACTTCTTGACGTGTTCTGACACGGAAGAAGAAGATGGGAACCAGTTGGTTAGTTGAACCGTTTGAACTGTTTATTGATTTATTTCCACATAGGAATCACTTCCTATAAAACATCTTGGTGTGATTTAACAATAAAAATATCAACATCCATGAATCACAACTGGTCTTGCTCCTGTTATATTTTCCCTTTTTTGTGATGGCTCTGTACCTGCAACCTATTGTTGTTATTACTGTTGATATTTTTATTGTTGTTTCTCCCCTTTATATCAAATCCGTTTGTAATTGATTTTTTAAAAAACAACAACTAACACACACACACACACACACACCAGTTATAACAATTTATCTAAGAATGACTTGAATAGCAGATTTAGTACAGTGGTGCCTCGCAAGACGAAATTAATTCGTTCTGCGAGTTTTTTCATCTTGCGAATTTTTCGTCTTGCGAAGCACGGGTTCCCAAAGTCTTCAAAATCGCCAAAGTCTTCAAAAACCTCAAAAAAGGCTACCACACCGCGTGCTATGAGTTGCTCCTCGAAGTCAAGTCGCAACTGCACCTCTTCAAGCAATGCACCCTGGGTATTAACGGTTTTAAGAAAAAGGAAACAAACTTGCAAGACGTTTTCGTTTTTCGTCTTGCGAAGCAAGCCCATAGGGAAATTCGTTTTGTGAAGCAACTCAAAAAACGAAAAACTCTTTCGTCTTGCGAGTTTTTCGTCTTGCGAGGCATTCGTCTTGCGAGGTACCACTGTACCTGACACAGACACACAACTTTGCAGAATACACATACCAGATTCATTTCAGGTGAATGGTATGTTACTGGGAACTGTGCATTTCTGAAGCTACTCTGTAGAGCATGAGACATTGGGCCCAGTACTGCTGCTACTCCCTGTTATTGAATAATAACAACAAACCCCTCTTTCCAAGGGAAATTGTACCTTTGTGCAGGAAATAAGGGTCTCCTAAGAGCTCTCAGCACCCTTAATGAACTACAGTTCCCAGGATTCCTTGCAGGAAGTTATGATATCATAGTGCTTTAAACACATAGTGCAGATGTGGCCTTGCTCTAAATAGATTTGCGGTGTGTGAGAGTCTTTATTTATTTATTTTTTTGTAAGGGGAGGTTTGGCATCCTGGGAGGCTGGCACTGCTCTCTGGAAATAAACCATATCTTTGTTCCTGATGTCTCAGTCCCCAGGAAAATATAAAGCTCTGGCAGACTGCAAGATGAGCGATTCAGAAGACTTGCTAGTGAAAAATGGGGATGTGATTCAACTATTGCATGAAGATGGAGAAGGACAATGGTGAGCACCCCAGATCTTCTTTTTCAGCAAGGAGTAGCAGCAACAATTAAGGCAGGTGTTGACATTGATGGCATTCTGGTACCTGCTAAAACTCATTTATTCTCTCAGGCCTTTCTGGACGTTGATACCAGTTGCCCATGATAACGTAATTGGTTGTATCTAACGCAGCACTAAGTTAAATTCACTCAGCTGTAAGCTTGTTCCGCTGGCAAAATGTTTTGTCCCAGTGGAATGTTGTTGCTCAAGAGAACACATAAGCACATTTCCGATAACTTTGTTGCAAAATAGATCACACAATCTGTGGTGCAATGAGTTTCTGCTAGTGCAGCTGTCACACTGGATTCCTCTGCGATACCAGCACTGAAACTCACTCCCCAATAGCAGACAGAGAATGCCAGACACAGCCCAGTGTGTTTGTTTTGGCTTTATGTTGGCTGCTGTTTTATTTATTCTGGAGTTTCGTTTCGGTGTGATTTCATTGAACTTTGGTACACTGCTTTGTGATTCTTACATGAAAGGCAGTATAGAAATAGCTTCAACACACAAACAATGAGAAGTGAAGAGGGAGCTGCAATCTCTTGAATCTGGTAATATGTAGGTACTTCTTTCAGAGGTGTAGCCATGTCAGCCTGTGTTGCTGCAAAACCAACAAGGAGTCTCGTCGCCCTTTAAAGACTGACAAACAGGAAAAGCTGGTCCACTGTGGCAAATGGGGCACTTCCCCACCAACCTCGGCCTGCCCTCAGCCAGCCTCCCCCTTCATTCTTTGCTCCTTACAACCAGCTCAGGGATGGCATTGCTATTCAGCTTCTCCCTGTTGAGTCTCAGTGTTGCCCCTTTAGAATTCAGCAGAGAAAGTGATGGGGACAAAACCAGAATTAGTTGGCTCAGACAGTCCTTGGCTCTGGCACCACCTGCTGTTGGACTCCAGCCTTACACCATACCAATCCCAATGGGCGCCAGCCACAACTAACAAATGTTATTTTTAAAAGAAACTACCGTATTTTTCGCTCTATAAGATGCACCTAGTTTTTGGAGGAGGAAAACAAGAAAAAAAATATTCTGACTCTCAGAGGCCAGAACAGCGAGAGGGATCGCTGCGCAGTGAAAGCAGCAATCCCTCTTGCTGTTCTGGCTTCTGGGATAGCTGCGCAGCCTTCATTCGCTCCATAAGATGCACACACATTTCCCCTTACTTTTTAGGAGGGAAAAAGTGAGTCTTATAGAGCAAAAAATACTGTAATTGTTTTTGAGACTAACAAATTTTATTAGCTTTATTAGACTACAGGCCGCTTCATGGTGTGCTCCTCATTTGCCAAATACATACTTTTATTGATTATTTGGTTGTTTAATTCCTATATTTAAAATATATTCCTGTACACAATTTCTTGTGTACAGGAAATTGAAGCAGCAACAGAAAACCTGGACAAAATATTACAAACATCCACACAGGGCAGAGGGTCCTTCCTCAGGCTGCCCACAGCTGTGTCCCATTCACCTCTCCACACCCAGTTCCAAGTGCAAGAGGTTGGTTGAATCTACTCACAACACACACACACATATCATACATTCGTAGATAGTAGGTAGATAGATAGATGAGAGACTGGAGTTAAACAGGAATAGAATTCAAAAGCACAGCCTGTGAGAATTCAACCAACTCAGTGCTGTGCTAAGCAACCTTCAGCAATTAAACTTAGCATTGGTGATGAAAATGGCAATATAATTTGAGCTTAAGTGGCTTTGAATAGAGAGAACAGCTTCCTGTTTCACTACCATCGTTAAACTACTCAGCAGTGCTGAAAGATTATTGCTCTTTCACCAGTTATTGTCTACACTCTGCACACTTATAATAATAATTTTCCCCAGCCACTCTGGGCGGCTTCCAGCATGTATTAAAAATAGTAATAAAATGTCAAACATTAAAAACTTCCCAATACAGTCATACCTCGGGTTACAGACGCTTTGGGTTGCGTGATTTTGGGTTGCACACTGCACTGAACCCGGAAGTACAGGAACTGGCTACTTCCAGGTTTCGGCGCAGAAGCGCTAAATCACACTTTGCACATGCACAGAAGCCCCGAACCACAACCCGCGCATGCGCACGCGCGGCGCTGCGGGTTGCAAACGTGCTTCCCGCACTGATCATGTTCGCAATCCGAGCGTCCACTGTACAGGGCTGCTTTCAGATGTCTTCTAAAAGTTATCTCCTTGACACCTGATGGCTCTAACTGGATTGCCACAGACTGTAACATGCTGTTGACATTTAACTCTGTGCTTTACATACTCCACCCACCTCCTTGGCAACTGATATCCCACTCCATAGGAAACTGAGTTGGACCTGGAGCTCACTGTTGTCTCCCCCAAATTTCCAGCGCTACCTGGAGATATCAAGGAGTGAACCTGGGATCTTTTGCATGCCTCCAAGTGCTCTACGATTGAGCTATGGCCTTTGCCTTATGGATCTGGGCTCTAGTCTTATGAACATAAGAAGAGCAAGGCCAAAGGCTCATCTAAGCCAGATTCCTGACCTCACAGTGGCCAACCAGGTGCCCGAATAAGTAGTCAGCAAAGAGGACATGAGTATCTTGGTCTTCTCCCCACTTGTGCACTGTGGTAGCTGGTATTCGGAGGCACGCTTCCTCTAACACTGGTGGTAGCACAACACCATCATGGCTCATAGCCATTGACTGCCTTGTCTTTCATGAGCCTAAGAATGTAAATCCACGAAAGCTCATGCCATAATAATGAGTTAGCCTTTAAGGTGCCATAAAACTGTGCTTTAGTTTGGTCGTCCTGCGTGCTGTGTATAGATATGCAAACATTTGTTTTCTTGTACACCTTTCTAATGCATATTTTTTCTTTTCTTTTATCATCTTAAAAGGCTGGTCAAAAACCTCAACCGAAGAACAGAAGGTTGGGTGCCCATCAACAGTTTGCAAATCATTCTCGGGGACTGTCGTGTTCGCCATGCCAGAGATGCAGGTATCCTGTGATGATGAGCATATATTTCTATATATATGTATCTCACTCTGAACTGTTTTGGAACTGGAATCTGCAGGAGTTTGGAGGCACTGGCTGCTTTGCATTGGCTGCTTGCTTAGAGGAGATCCTGGCTTTCGCCACAGTTCTTTTGAATTATGCTGAGCAGGGGAGAAAAATCAATTATCTGAATTGCTTCGAAAAGTTATCAGTAATATGATACAATCTTTCCCCTCTCCTTTTCATTTGCTTACTTTGATTTTACTTCTTGCAAATATGGAACTGCCTAATAATAATAATAAATAATAATAATAGTGGTAATAAGTGCTAAAGGCAGGAGACTTAACATCTAATCCAAGCGAACATGTAATCACTTAATAAACTAACCACCAGGGCACACTTGTTCCCTGGTTCATGAGAGGGCTGTTCAAGCCCTCTAGTGTGCAGAACCTGCACACACACATTTTCCTCTGCAAATAATAAGGACTAGGAACATGCTGGCTCATTCAAAATGACAGCTAATACATTCAGCTAAGATTCTGTGTGAAAAACCCGATTCTATGTAGAAAGGCTGGACTTTTTATCCATGCTCCAGTATTGGCTACACATTCCTCTGCACTCGGTTAATTGCAGGTTATTTTCTTCTTTCTGAGTAGAAAAAATATATTTGATCCAGTGCTAATATTAATATCAAGTGACAGAGGATGGGTGGAGGCAGAGACCTGTGGGTCTTGGAATGGGAGTGACATTCAACAGAGAGGCATATCTGAAATCCTTCACCTCTTGTCCGGAACCTTTGTTTCTAATGGGATACCTTTTGTTTACTCCCCAGTTCTTTTCCTCTTACAATTCAGGGGCTTTTGTTGTCACTGGGCACACTGTCTCTTTTGAAACAAGGGTTCATTTGTCAATTTATTGTTTTTTACACTGGGAGAGGATAAAGTGCAGATAAAAGCCAGGAGATAATGGTTGCATTAGGACGTAAACCTAAACAATTGTTTAGCATTAGGAGAGCAAGGACTTCCCCTCACTTCCAGCATGACCCTGAGGAAGAGGAGACCCAAAGTCTTCACTTCCATTTTAAATTAACCACTGTTTAGTGGTTCACACAAATCCTAAACTGTGTTTATCTTAATTATAGTTAGTCAAAGCGAGCCAGCTTCATAAACCATGGTTTGATGTTGACTAGTTTCAACTAACCCATAATTAGGATTAATCACTGTTTGTCTACATGTAGATGACATGGTCAAATCTTTTTTTAAAATCTAAAATGGAAGAAAAAGTTTCCAAACTTCACCTTGTTACTATCCTGGGGTTGAGGGCAGACAGAGGAGAGAGATTTGCAAGGTTCACTGCAGTTCATTCTTGTAATGCTAAACTATGGTATAGCCTTGAATCCAAACCAATCCACCTAAGACTTCTTTATCTGAGATTTTCCTACGTTCAAGTTAAATTCCTGGGATCTCCTCTTTAAAGGATTAGGTAATATGTAATATGAAAGACTTCTGCCTGAGACCATAGGGAGCCTGTCAGAGCAGGCAATGCTGGTTATATAGATATATGGGCAGTGTCTACACATCAAAGTAAGCCATAACCCACAGTTTACCAATCACAAGCAAATCTTACCAGCGCCACTCTTCCCCACTAGCATGTGGGGGAAACCAGACACTATTGCTGGCTTGCCATTACACCTGAACCAAAGAACCATGATTCCATTTGCTCATGCAAAGTAGGATTGGTGAGCTAAGAGCAAACCTTGGTTTATCTAAACCAGTGCTTTTCAAACTTAGGTCTCCAGCTGTCGTTGGACTCCCATCATCCCTGACTACTGGTCCTGCTAGCTAGGGATGAAAGGAGTTGTAGTTCACCAACAGCTGGAGACCCAAGTTTGAGGAAGGACTGATCTAAATGCTTTGTTTGGAGTGAAACAAGCCATAACAATTTGCTTGGATACAACTCTAAGCAGGGAAGAATAAATTGGGCTCAGTTGGCTCATAGTAGACACAGTAAGCTAGCCTGGTGTGTCATGGTAAGAGTATCACACTGGGACCTTGGAGGCCAGGGTTCAAATCCCCACTCAGCCATGAAGCTCACTGGGTGGCCTCCTAGCCTACCTTACAGGGTGGTTGTAAGCATAAAATGGGGAGAGGGAGAAGCACACACAGCACCTTAAGCTCCTTGAGGAAAAGGTGGGAATATAATAAAAAGCAAATGGCTTGTTCTGCTGGCCAAAATGTGGCTGGTTCCTTACCTGCTGTAAAGCAGTCTCTCATGTCCACGTGCTTTATATTCCATCCTTTATATCATATTCAGCCAAGAAGTAGCACTTTTAATAAGAGATCTCCCCCACCCCCCCGTTAACTTGTCTATTCTGCTTTCAAATGAATTTTTGCATGCTGTGTTAATTCCATGCTTCCATGTCTTTGTGCCCTGGCATCTCAAAGTCCTAGTTCTCACTTAAACGGTCATGGTTCGAAATGAATCCCACCTTATTATCTTTTATGCCAAAGAATGCACAAATGCTGCAGATTGCCTAGTCTTGCCTAGAATCGCCAAAAGAGAAAAAGTTGAGCTAACACCTGATGGGCTGCAATTCGTAAACCAGGGCCTGTAACCTTGACAAATACATTGTAAGATATGTCCAGAATTCAAGGCACCTCAGAAAGAAAGTATGACCAGCTTGATGGCATCTCAGTGGGAATATTGGGTCTGTTCCCTCTGGGAACTGACAGCTGTTAATAGGCCAGTTTGGTGCCAGTTTATTAAATCTCTGATAAGAGTTTTGTTTTTTGGGAGGATCTTGGCCAATAGCTTTGTGTTAACAAAGTGAACTTGCCTTTTAGCTGGTGTTTGGTGGTTTGGAATTCGGTTAGGGGAGGGGTTGCACCCAACACCAGTTCTACTCAGTGTAGACCCATTGAAATGAATGGACATGATGAACATAGGTCCATTAATTGTGCTGGGTCTGCCCTGAGCAGCTGGAGATGACTATGGGTTTATTTCCACTTTTCACAAGTGTGCTGGATAACATTTTGCAATTATCGAGGGGCTGGGTGGGGGATTGTTCGGAGAAAGGAATTGTAGCAGAACCTCAACCAGTCAAATTGCAAAGCTATTTAAATGCACTGGATTGCACTCTTTATGCACTTTAAGTTGCGTGTCTATGCAGCCTTAATGATTTGTGACTTGTCCGTGGAATGCAAAGTTGTTGAACTGAGTTTTCTCTTATTTGTTCGTTCTTGCTGGATTTCGGAACAGAAGGCAGCCTACCTCTGGCCAGCTTGTTCCTTTCCATAAGTGTCCTACGCTGCCTTGTGCTTTCGGGAATGGAGGAGTTATAAGCTGCATGGTCGTGAGAACCTATGTATTCTTGGAATACACTCCTCCTAATGCTAATGTTGCTCTTTGTTGCTTTATAGACGCTGCCGTGTATAAGACGAGAAAGCTAAGCTCCCCCTGAATTTAAAGGGAGAACTCATATCATGTCATGTTTGAATGCTGCAGTGGCGATTTGAAGTGGTTGTTCAAGAGGGAGGACTTACCCATGGCTGGAGATCCACCTCTCTATCTGTCATCCATCAACATCTGCAGCACATCACAGCTCCATCAACATTCCCCACGGCCATCAGTAGAAGTCATTTTTGTTTTTTTGCATATTTAATTCCCACCTCCTTCCACCAATGGAAAATAGGGTACCATTTTGTTTTCACATGAAGTGGACTTTCCCCGTCCTCTCCATGGCATCCATTGAACTACATTTAATAACTAATTGGGTGGTTTCTTTTGCCTTTATTAAGATGCCTGATGCTTCCTCTTGAAGATGTGTTTCCCAACCACATGTCACTGCGGTTGGCTGCACTTTCCTATGTTCAGTTGGGTCTAGACCACATAGTCACAATAAGCTGTTTCCAATAGGCTGGATGATGCAATACTGTTGCGAAGGAGTGGAGTCTCCTTTTGCACTAAGGTTCTGATCCAGAGCCCAGGGTATCTGTAGGATGTGGTTCAAGATCATATTTGACAACTCAAGATTGTCAGAACTCCCATTGGGTTCCCTGGAGTTCCTGGGTGATCTAGTAAGTGTCCAAGTTTACATTGTGATTTTTGGGGGGAACACACGTGCCATAACTGAGTTCAGTGTCCCTGTTTGCACTAAAAAAGCAATGTTCTTCTTTGTGCTAAGACTGTACTCTTCAGCATTGTTATTGAGAATGACGTGATGCTGGAATGGAGGAGAGATAGAGTATGTCCCCTCTTTTTCATTCTTTTTAAAATGAAGTTTACATAATTTATTTCCTGTTGTGCTTCTTCATTCTATCTCTGCCCTTAGCATTCATGTGTCCATACAGGTAGTTCTACGTAATGTGTGTAATTCAAATTTCATATGGGAACAATAAACACAGGGTAGGTGTTGTGACCTCACTACTCACAACGGCTCAAGACAGGTGTTTGGTTGCCTGCCTGCAAACAAGAACTGATACAGTCTCGGTAAGCTGCAGTTAATATTATTATTATTTCTTATGCACCACAATGTGAAGGGGAGAAACACATTTTTTAAAAAATCAGACTTGGCTTTCTGAACCACAGATTCCAAGCTTGTACTGCCACAGTGCATTAGCACACATTTCATCAGCCTAATCATGCAGTGTTTCTCAAACTTGGGTCCCCAGTCATTGTTGGATTACAACTCCCACCATCCCTGATTACTGGTTGTGCTAGCTAGGAATGATGGGTGTTGTAGTCCAACAACAGCTGGGGACATAAGTTCGAAAAACACTGGTAATGTGTGTATTGGAGGCGGGGATAGTTTCTCTCCTCCAACCATCCATTTCATAGTCACCTCTAATGCTAATACTTACTGTGTGATATATTAGGTGGCTGAGTCTCCTTCACTGGAGTTTTTTAAACAGAGGTTAGATGGCCATCTTTCAGGGATTCTTTAGCTGCAATTCCTGCATTGCAGGCAGTTGGACTAGATCAGTATTTTTCAAACTTGTGTCCCCAGCTGTTTTTAGACTACAACTCCCATCATCCGTGGCTAGCAGGACCAGTGGTCAGGGACGATTGGGGGCGAGGGGAGAAACAGCTAGAGACCCAAGTTTGGGAAACACTGGACTAGGTGGTGGTTTGGGTTCCTTCTGACTCTGCAATTCTATTGTTCTGTTCAGTGCCATTTGTTGGCTTGTTCACCACTCTGCAAGAAAACAACACTGTAGAATCAATGGCAGGATTCTAGAATATGTGGGCCCCTTGTGAGAATTCCAAATGGACCATTTTAACAGATATTCTATAAAGCACCATCCAAAGTTACATTAGTTACTAGTTAGATATAAAATGGGTTCCTTTTTTCTTTACTCTTTACTGTAGATTACTGCCATATGGAAGCCAGTCATGCTGTGGAGATCACTTTTCAAAAAAAAAACCCCCCAAACCTCCACACCTAAATACTTTGTCTTGGCAACCACAACACACCTTGGCCTTTTAATTGTGTCTTTCTAGTTCTGAATTGTGCACTATTTTATTTATGAAGCTGGCTAGTTCTGCAAGCCTGAATGTACAGTCTTAAGCTACAACCTGCACCCACTGACCTGGGAATAAGATCCACTGGGCTTATTTCTGAGTAGACACATTTAGGATTGTACTCTTAGGACTTTGGAAAAATTTGCACAAATCTTTGACGACACCTTAAGAGTAGCCAGGTTTACCACTTGAGCTGTAAAATGTATATCAAAACTAAACCAGAAGGGTTTCTGCCCTGCCTAGAAATTATACTGTAAATGTACTTGTAAAAATGTGTTAAATCTATATTTAAAAAGAATTATAAACATTGTTAAATAAAATATATATATATGAGACATTTTCATTTTGTGTGGAGTTTTATGCTGCTTGAATTAACAACAGAGGAGCTTTTTACATTGCATTTTATTTGCAGTTTCATAATAAACACACTGAATGCTGATTGCATTCTAATGCACCCGCTGTGCTAATTTTCCACAATACATTTAAAATCTTGTGTTTTACTCTTAAACACCACAGGTAGGGATGTGGCTTGTTTGAAATTCCCACAGTCGTGATAATTAACATTAGTTTTAGTAATCCAAGCCAAATATTCTACCCATTGCCCAACACTACCTCTAGGTAGTAATTCCTTTGTAAACGCTTTTCTTAAAGATGTGTGCTCAGTTTTGTGAAACTATTTTTTAAAAAAACGGGGGCTTGGGAGGGGCTTCTTGGGAGGGGGGAAGGGGTGTGTGTTGCCCCCTTCCCACAATCATATGTTTCTTTGGAATACATTTCGGCAAGGATGGGCAAATCAGTCATTTTCAATTTCTCCCTGTTTCTCATTTATTCCCAATCTTAAAATAAAGTTTTCCACACCTCTAATTTGCAGTCTCTCTGGGGGCAGGGATTCCTTATGAAAATCCACCAGCATTTTAATGCTGATTTCACCAAATGCTCTTGTTTTTTAAAATGTTATTTTCTTGAATATATATTTGCCATTTCCATGCATATATTACCCTACTGCACAGGTACTTTTGGCTGGAGATAACTGCTTTGGAAAATTTGGAGAAATGCAAATCTAAAAGGATTTTCAAAACTTCTCCCCCAACCACAACTCTGGGTTAATTTGCATTCAAACTTGTCATGTCTTTTATCCACTTAATGTATTTTGAAACTCTGGTGTAGACGCCATATTTGCCCTTTTTCGCACACTCCTCCCCCCAGCTGGTTATCCCCGTTAGGAACCAGGTGCCTTCAATGTCTGCAGTGTAAGGGCCCCCGCTGTCCCCTTGGCATGTATCCTTCTCTTCATCTGAGTAGCCAGCACAGAACATGTTGGGCAAGATGGGGTACCTGGTGCTCCTTAGGCAGGTTGGCCGGTCAATGTATTTCACTTTGAGAACTTGTAGGATGCTAGCCAGCCTTCCTTGGAACGCCAGCTTCCCCCAGCCACTCACAGTGCCGATGCTGTGCTTGAGCAGGCTGTTTGTGAACTCTTTGTCCGCAATGCAAATGGGAACGGCATACTGGTTGAACTCCAGCGGCGAGTCCAGCTCAAGAAGGGCAATGTCATTGTGGTACTTGTTGCTAGCGTTGTAGGTTGGGTGGGGGACCGTTCTGATCACCCGGCGACGCTGTTCAGTGCCGTCATCAATGTTGACGTTATGCTCACCTGATAAAGAGCCAAAGCATCCTTTTAAAGTAATAATAGTAATAATAATAATGATGATGATGATGATGATGATGATGGAAGAGGGGCCTGATCCATTAGAGCACATAGGGGCACTGCCCCCCCAACCTCAGCCAGCACCCCCTCCATCTGCTTGCCTTCATGTTTGATGTCATGGGCTAGTTGGACGCAGAGGAACGGTGGGAGGAACCACAGGTATTTTCCAGACCAAAAGCCTGGACTCAGCTTGGATTGTTCTCTTCCTGCCTCCTTGTTTCTGAAAATACCCCTGAGGTTCCCCGTCCCTGCTCTGGCAAAAATGTGGCAAGGAGGAACACAGCACTCACACAAACATTACTCCGTGACTTACCTGCCACAACAGTGTGGGGCACATACTCAAGGCAGTGGGCTGCAGTGACGATCCATCTTTCATTGACGATTGAGCCTCCACAGAATCCTTTCTGCTCTTCGTTGAGGATATAAACCTGCATGCAGAGAAGGCTGGACTAGACCATGGGAAATTTATATAACCAGCCTGGAGACCTACTCAACTTTGGGCGAGACTCATTTTCAAAGGGAAGGTGAAGGTTGCCTGATAGCAAAGAACAGGACTATGAGTAGGGGGCTTGCAGAACTGTGTGTACAGCATGTCTGTTGTCTACGTTACTGGGACATATGTGCTATGGTTTGGGCACCCTGGGAAACAGAACACCATTGGTCCAATCCAGAAGGCTATGGAAATTTTACATGCAGAAGTGATTTTGACCATAGCTACATTGTGTGAGTGCCCCTGAACACAGAGAGATGCTTGCCTCTCTTGATAGTTACCAGGATGTGATCGCTGGCACCCTGCGAAAGGGAAAATACCTATAGATCTATGTATGTTATCATGTGAGTTGGGTGGTTGATGTGCATATCAACCACCTGTTCTACACATTCACTGTGCCTCATGGAGAATGTGCCCATGAGAAGGGTACACATTGCCTGGCAAATATGCACATTCTCAAACAGGACTTGTGGAATGTGCACATCTGAACAGCATTTTGTACATCGTCCATACAATATCTAGTCTCTCCAAGAAACATCTGCTTCTAGTTCAGAGGTGGGCAGTCCCTTGCCCACAGGCCAATATCTGACTTCATGTGACTTGGGGACATTCACAAAATGTGTCTGGAATTGTCCTTTCTCCCTTGCAAATGTCAACAGTAATTGAATTTCAGACACTCGCTGACACCTTAAATATAACAAAGAGCTTTGTGTCACCTCAAGGACTAATCCATCTTACTGTGGCCCTAAACTAAGGAGTGGAACAGAGAAAAGGAATGAGTTTGTACATTTGATGAGTAACTTTTCCTTGATTTCAGCTGTGCTGAGTGGGTGACAGGTTTGTTTCAGAGTGAGAAAGGTTAGCTGTAGGAGTTGCTTCCCTCCTCCTACATTAGTTAAAGCCCAGTGTTCATTACAGCAGGTATGGCCAACATGGTGCCCTCCAGACGTTCGTGGACTACAATTCCCATCAGCCCCAAGGAAGCATTCCAATGGTGAAGGATGATGGGAGTTGCAGCACAGCAACATCTGGAAAGAACCACACTGGCTTTTTGTAATTTCCTAATGGCGAACAAGAACAAGAAGTTGCAAGGTTAGGCACCCCCAAATGACAAAGCAACCATGATAACTACAGTACCTGCCAAGGAATCTCCCCTTTCTTGCTGTCCATGCCACCAACCACTCGAATTCTGGCTCCTATTTTGGAAACAACCTGGGTGGCATTGTCTCCTGACTCCTCCTCAAGGTCATCCGTAGTGTTGGTGAGCAACCAGTCGTCAAATGTATTTGGCATTGAGCGGGTGAGCTTCTTTACTGCCTCTTGAGCTGTGACCTTTCCGCATGGGAAGGGCACTGGGGGAAACAAAATAAGAAGAAGACAACACCCCTGCCTCTGACAGAGGGGACTCTGGCCCACAACAGCATTGCAGACAAATGCCTCTTGCTTAGTAATGACTTGCTGGTTTTGACACTGTACTCAGTAGGCATGGATTAGTTATTTTGGCTGACTTCTGGTAGCTCAGGGCAAAGGTTTCTTCGAGCAGCCTTTTCCATCAAGCAGTCTTCCCCAATCTGATGTGCTCTAGTGGCTGGATGCTGGAGGAGAACCATACGGTAGCCATATGGAAGCCAGGAACTGGGATTCGGAACTGGAGGCTAGGCCAAGTTTTGGAAGGACTGTTTTGGAGGAAGAGGCTTGCAGCCCTATGGAGATTCCGCCTCCCCACACTCCACAAGGGGCTTTGCATGTCCTGTGCCTGCAAAGATATTCTTGCCTAACGCTGCCCTATCCCACAGGAAAGGTAGGTGGGTGTAGCTTTGCCAAAATGCCCTTGTGGGTCAAATGGGAAGGTTGATGGGACAAATCTAGTTCATGCCTTACAGGTTTTAAAAACAGAACAGCCACAGCCCACTAGAGGTGATGAAACAGATGAGTGTATGTTCTAGTGTGAAGGTAGCAAGCACTTATTGGACAGCACCCATTCCACCCAATCTTAAATACATCAAATAGAAAGAATGTGCATTTTTATTTTATTTTGGTGGAACATGTGTCCATGACAGGAACAGAGGCCTGAAATATTAAATATGTAGAGTGTGTGGGAGATTTACAGCTCAAAACTTTAATAAAGCTGTAACAAAAAGGAGACTTACCTGTTGGCTCACAGCTCCTCTGATCATCCTGAAGCCTATAGCCAGAAGTACAGGAACAGGATGCTTTCCCTCCTGGGCCATTCTTACAAAACTGTTTGCAACCTCCATTCTTTGTGGAGCAAGTAGCATCTGATTGCAATGGGGTAAAGGGAATCAAATTTAATCATGGGTTAAGAGCAGAAGAGGGCTGTGGAGGGTGGAGAACATGGAGACAATGAAGAAGTCCCATCACTGATCAACATTAAGGGATGGTTCACACAGGAAAACTTACAAAATGACTTCAGCATTTATGTTTCTACTAGGGCCTGCCATTGCTGCTCATGTTGCTCGCAAACCCCACCAAACATCTCACCCCATTGCCAACCACAACCCCTTTTATGCCTTGCCCAAAAGACCCCTCCCCCTCCCCTCAAAGCTTGTCCCCAAAGTCCTCCTTCATCCCTTCACAGCTCTCTGGGAAGAGGATTTGATTGTTAAACCACTCTGACAACTGTAGCTTTGAAGGGGTATAGGGGTTTCCCAACAACTCTCAGCACCCTTAACAGACTACAGCTCCCAGAATTCTTTGGGGGTAGCCCTGGCTGCTTAAAGTGGTGCCATACAGCTTTAAAAGAGCAGTGCAGATAGGGCCTTTGACACACTACCATACTCGACAATGGTTGGTTGCTTAACACCCTCTTGATTTATGGCATTGTGCAACAGAGACAGACTCCCTCTTAACATACCTAATTCACAGTTCCTTCCTTCATAACCACCCAGACACCAGCATATGTAGTTACTGATATCATCTTCACACCGACCTCCGTTCAAACAGGGGTTTGAGTCACACTGGTTTCCGTCTTGGAAAAGAAGAAGGAAATGTAATAGGAACTTGCATTATCCAACAGTTACATTGCTATTTACCCATCTTTATCATGTACTTTAGAGCATAAGCAAAAAAGACGGGGTGGAGGGGGTGTTAGGGTAGGGGTAGTATCTCGGGGGGGGGGCAAATTGTGCTTCTTCTTCTGGGGACGTTTATCCACCTTCAGTCCCCACCTTGCACTCAGCCTTCACCTGTAGCTCCTAAAAGCTGCCAGCAAGAGGGACCATTAGTGTGTCTCTACTAATTTGAAGCTAGTGAGGCCTCTGTAACATGCAGGGCGTCTCTACATTATTTCAGAGATGAAGCTGGGAGAGGAAGGCCAAGTTGTTGAAGGCTTGTAGACCAGCATAAGAGCCTTGAACCTAGTCTAGGAGCTTATGGGCAGTCAGTACAAATATTTTTGCAAGGCTGCCTGCCCCTATCAGCAGTCTTGCCACTGCATTCTTCACTAGCTGGAGGTTCCACACCTGTCCCAACACAGCCCCACATAAAGTGCATTTCTGCAATAATCCAGTATCAAGGATTATTATCCCAATCCAAATACAGCATTAGATCCAGGAAGCTATTTTCTACGAAGCCAGATCATGGGTCTATTTAGCTCGGTGCTGTCCACCCTGCCTTGCAGTTTCTCTCTAGAGTTTCAGACCCACCTGCGGATGTCATGGACTGAACAAGGAACCTTTGGCATGGACTCTACCAACGGGCCATAAAAAGGGAGGGGGTGGGAGAGAGAGATGGGAAATTAACATCTTACAGGTAGGAATTAATGGATTCCCCCAGTTTTCTTCTATTGTTTTTTCCAATATGCTGGTTTCTTTCGGGTTCTGCTCTGTCTGAATTTCAGAATGGTAGCGACAGACCTTATGCATGCAACTGTACAACAGTATGTTAAAAGCGAACACACACCTAGGTCCAGACGGGGGGGGGGGGCATATGGGCCACTTTGCCCGGGTCTCTGATTCCAAAGGGGGCCTCGGTCAGCATATTTATATACTTACTTATTTATAAGACTTCAGTTATCCCCAGGGTAAAAAAAGGGGGGGCACCTTATCTACCTGGCCCGGGGCCTCTGCCTGGCTCTGCAAGGCCCTGCGCACACACATCCCACACACAGAGTGCCCTAAAACTCAGGAGTCAATCATTTTCCATTTACAGGCCCTTTCCATGATTCCAGTTGGAATGCAACTGTTTCATTTTGAGAATAAAGTACTGCAATGCAATTGAAGTGTCATTTTTTTAAAAAAGCCTACTTACCAAGGTATACCTTCCAGAATTCCATCTGCAAGAAATATGGTAAAGCTGAATTCAAATGAAAATGAAAGCAGGAAAGCAAGTAACATATATAAGCCATCTATATAACATTTGTATAATGATTTATGCACCGATTTATGGGTTCAAATCATGCACAAGGGTGATGTCAATGCCTTTAACCCATGACTGAGTACATAACAAACTCCTTCTAATCATCTACAGTTGAAAATAATCAGGATAGTACATTCACAGAGAACCCACATCTTATGTTTTTTGCTGTGGAAGTCAGCTTCTATTTTCATTTCAAAAGCAAACCAGGATTCTAGTCCTCATTGCTGCCAAACTAAGGCATCCTTTAAAGTCTGAGGTGTTGTGCCTACTAAGTGCAAAAGCTAAACTGGCAGCTAAATATGCTTTTCAGAAGCCAATGAAGGGCTCAAGCCCTTCTCACTCCCTATCCCAGCAAAATAATAATTATGCAAAAAAGTAAAAGTGGCAGAATGTGGAAAATAAGGGGACTCACATACATCTACTTTGTCTGTAGGCCACAAAATTTTCTAAGTACAGAATTTGGATACCTTGGCACAGAATCATAGAGTTCACTGGGATTTACTAAAGAGGTTTGGTAAAGCACACTAAGGCTGCTGTACATACTTACCTGCTAAAAAGCCCCATTGAACTCAGTGAGATCACACTAGTGGAACCTTTCTCACACACACACATTTTGGGAGGGGCTGCTCTTTCTAACTTGCAACAAACTATGGGAGAATTTCTCCTCCTGTTGGGAGAAATTCAGTTAAATAGTCCAACCTGCTCAGAAAAATAAAATAAAAAAAATCTGCCTGTCAGTAGGATGAAGAATTTCACAAGACTCCTTGTAAACAGCTCTAGATTGCATAGCAGGTTCTTTTTTCAATTGCACACCCATGGTGAAGTTCTAGATCTTGCATTCCAATAACTGGAACTCACCGTTTTCTCATCATTTTCAAATACTTCTCTTGCTTCCTCATAGCTGCATCTTTCTTCCTGGCACTCGCGCTCGAGGTTTCCTTGAACCATTTCTTCCAGCCGCCCAGAGTTGTACCTTTTGTAGCGTGGCAAAATGGCATTCGCCTCATCCTGGTTTATAAAAACTTCAAGTTGCAAAGAAGCAACAGGTCAGAGAGCGAAATGAGCAAAAGAATTAACTGGAATAATAACTACCCAGGGTCCCTGGGACAATTGATGGCTTTTGAAAGCCATGGCTGTTTGGATGCTTGGATGTTCTTGAGGTTGAGACTTGCTGGTAAATAGAAAAAGCCAAGAGGTTCACCACTCAAATCTCACCACAGCCACAAATTCACCTGGATGGATGTAGGCAAGACATTATTACAGCCAGTGTAGTGCCAGGGGTAGAGTGTTAGACTAAGACCTGGGTTCAAATCCCGACTGAGATGTTGTTTGCAGATGATGCAGTCCTGACAGTGTACTCTGAGGAAGTTTTCCAGAGACTCATCAACTGTTTTGCCCAAGCCTGCCTCGAGTTTGGTCTCGCCATCAGCTTGACAAAGACCAGCCTCTTGGGTCAGGACACTGCCAGCACACTAGGTATCAGCACTGGTGATCACACCCTTGAGGTGGTAGACAGTTTTGTCTACCTGTCCAACCTTTCCATGGACCCTGAGCTCGACAAGTGGCAAGGCAGCGATGGCAATGGCTCACCTCTCCAAAAGGATATGGGAGAATGTGATGACCAAAACCAAGATGAAGCTCTACCAGGCTTGTGCGGTGAGCACACAGCTTTATAGTCACGGGCAATTTACACCGGCTGGGATGCTTTCCATATGTGCTGTGTCAGGAAGATTTTGGGCATCACATGGCAGAAACAAGTATCAGGCAATATGTGTCCACATTCCCAGCATGTTCACACTCTTGTCTCAACAACATCTATACTGGCTTAGTCATGTACACGGAATGGAGGATGGAAGGCTCCCCAAGGATGAGTTCTATGGGGACCTGTCTTCAGGCACCAGGCCTGTTCGCAGACCAGCTCTGCTTTACAAAGATGTCTGCAAATGTGACATGAAGGCTGGCTACATCAACCCCACCCTTGCAGACACAGTGCCTGGAGACAGACAGTCAGGTTGCGCATCTACAGCAATGACCATAGAAGAAATGGCTGCTGGGAGGGCACAGAGAGACGAAAAACCATGATTCATCTGCACCAGTGAAACCAGACGCCCCACTGCAATAAAAAAATGTCTCTCTCATTTTGGTGTCTATAGCTGCAGCAGGCACTGTAACTCTTCAACAGTTTTGACTTTACCCCTGAAGGTGTCCCAAGACAGATGGATGCCAACACCATCAATGCTACCCTAGCTTACAGGTGTGTTGTAAGGATTACTGAGGCTGAGTGCAGTAAAATGAGATGGAAGAAGACCAGCCCAACCTAGTTCAGAATGCAGACTGGAGATACAAGTTCAGACTGCTCCTATGTGTCAAAAATGCTCTGCAAGTAGAAAGCGACTCCATCAGGCTGGGAGATTCTAGTGCAGCCACTTAGCTTCAGTGTTGGCCTTCTGGTTGCAGAGAGTTTGCAACACCGGGGAGTGTTGAAAATGCAAACCTGTGACATCCATTCCATGAGTGGAGAAATATTTTCACCTCAGGGGCTGCATCCCTCATAGGCAGCTTTCCAGGGGCCACATGGGTGGGTGGAGTCAGAGGAAAAGTGGGTGGAGCAAAATATGTGATTTACCTTTTTAAAGGGGGATACATTCAACTGCATTCCTCTCTCCATCCACTCTGACAAGCAAAAGGCATGGTTGCAATTCAAGGACACATTCCAGCCAGGCAGAAACACTCAAGGGCAAGGCTGGTGAGTGGTGGAGCCTGCGGAAGAATCTGAGGGCCGAATTGAGAGACATGGGGGGCTGCATTTGCCCCCATCCAGGCCTGAGGTTCTCCACTGCTTATCTATGAGAGAAGTGTTTTCCTTCTTGAAATGGGGTAGATAAAAATACTACACCAGACCCTCTCACCCCGCCCCCCTCCAAATTGGCTGTATAACAGCATTGTCTTCTTAGGGTTACCATATGTCTGGAATTTTTCAGACACAGCCAGTATTCAGCACCTCCACCCCAAAGGAGCATTTGGGTGGAAATCGCTTGAGGAAGATCTGGCCACATGGCAGCTATAAAAACTCATTTCTGTTGTTGTTGAGATTTCACAAAAAAGCCCGCAACAACTTCTTTGGCAAAACAAAAACAAAACAAAACCCACCCAAGAACTTTGTCAAGAAAAGCTTAACAACTTTTTGAAATATGGCAACCCTATTTCGGAAACAGAGGGGATGGTTGCACAGATCATAAGCATGATACGAACTGTAAAAAACAGAACTGTCACAATCCAAGGCAGTTGGCCATACAGAAATCCTATTGAAGGAGGCTCCCTCAGTCCCTGTATTCTCTGCTCTCACTAAGGTAATAATTAAACACCCAGTTGTGACCTATGACTTATTTGCCAAAGCTAAGGAATGAGCCACACAGCTAGTTATGTGGTCATTCATACCACTGATTTCAGTGGGACAAGTTCAAGCAAGAGTTTAACTTGCCCATCAAAATCCATCAAAAGCCACAGGACTTAAACATGTATAACTCTGGCTGAATTGTGCCTGAAGTATGCAGCTGGATGCACATCCTAAAATGCAGAAAAAGGAAGCATCAAAGTACATTTTATGCATTTTTTTTTACTGTATTCCTAATCTATTCCATAAACAAGGTTTGAATCAGCTGCCAAATTTGAAATAACCACACAAAATAGTATTCATTTTTTAAGGTGAACTCCCTGTAAATATCCCAAATTGCATTTTAAATATCTGTTCAGGCTTATAAGCCAAATGTGGAAAAAATTATATTTATTTTCATTCATCATTATTTGTCTATGCAATTTTTTAAAAAATATTATTATTATTATTATTATTATTATTATTATTACATTCCACCTTTCCTCCAAGGAGTTCAAGGTCGCACACATAGTTCTCCCCCTTGTTTTATCTGCACAACAACCCTTTGAGTTAGGCTAGGCTGAGATTGAGTGACTGACTCCAAGGTCACCCAGTGAGCTTCACGGCTGATCGGAGATTTGAACCCTGGTCTCCCAGGTCTTAGTCCAACACTCTAAACACAGCACTGCAGCCTCTGGTTAATTGGAACTGTCACAATTTCTTCTTCCTTGTTTAATCTATTTATATTAATTGTTTTTTCTTCTGCCAGAACCCAGGACTCCAGCTGGTGCAGAAGGCGGCGGCCAGACTGCTGAAGAGGGCATCTGATGGATATCATGAGGCACCATTGTTAAAACATTTTCATTGGCTGCCCATCTACTACCGAGCCACGTTCAAGTTCCTTTAATAATTTGCAAAGCCCTGAACAGGTAAAGTACCTAAGCAACTACCCGAACCCTTATATCCCAACTTGATCGCCAAGATCGTCTGCAGGAATGCAGTCAGTTGTCCTCTGAGTCAGAGAGGCTCATATGACAAGAGGAAAATCAGCCTTCCTTGTCATCAGCTGAGTCCTGTGGAATACCCTGCCTCTAGTGATTCAACAGGTACCTTCTGTTTCAATGTTTAAATGCCTCCTGAAATTTTTCTTTGGTCACAGGTTTATGAAGGCAGTTAGGAATACATCTTTCTACAACAGTTTGCTGATTTCTGGTTTCAACTTTTTTTTTACATGTTTTTTGTAGCAGGCTTCTTTTTGTACAATTGCAAACAGCTCTGATATTTTTGTAATGAATAGTGGTATATAAATATATATGTTTTAATAAATACACATCAAAAATATACAGTGCAAGTATCATTTTTAAAAAATGAAAGCACATTAAAATTATCAACAAATCAAAGCTACTCATAAAACAGTAGCCAGGCGCTAAATCATATCTGTCAAAATGTGCACCGAGATATTGCATTTCTTAATTTAACTACACTGTGAACTGAAGGCTATATGAAGCCGCCACCACCCCTCAGTTCTTTAAATTAATGAAAGTTGGGTCAACAGATGTTATTCCTCTGGCAACTACATTAAAAAAAAAAAAAGATCATATACATAAAAAACATTTGACAAGAGTGAAATGTTTCTCCTCCCTTGTAAATTATTGATCGCATATCTGCCTACTGGACCCTGGTCTCATTTCAAGTGACTCATTCGGTTTAAAATGAACCCACCTGCACATTCGCCACAGAGGTGACATCCCAGGAGACAGATGGCTAGCACGAAGAAGCTGTTTGCCATTTTCTTAAAAGCAGCACATCTGCTTTGCTTACAATGTATTGTGGACTAGGAGCCACCAGTTTAAGGGGTCCAAAGGGCAAGTACATATTTGTTTTGTTTTGGGCTCAGCTTTGAGGTCATCTTCTAAAAGGAAGTCCCTGGGTGGACACCTCCGGAAGTTTCTAAAGTGGCTTCCCCTATATTGAAACGCCAGTTTCAGCATGGCCATGACATAAAACCTCACAGACAAAGGGCTAGGGTCTCTGAAAAGCAGGGCTGGGGAATCTTTTCTCAGATTCTCTGATAGGTAACTTTACAAGGCCCACATGCAAATAGTGGGCAGGGCTGGTGGCCAAAGTGGGTGGGGCAGTGGATGCAAATTTTACCTATGCAAAGCACGTTGGTTTCTACACTTTCTTTCCCAAATGAAACCTGTGTAGGCAGGGAATAGAAGTAAGGAGAAGCATGGCAGTCTTCAGACCAGTCTTTGCCAGTCTGGTGTCTCCCACCAACCCCAGCCAGCACAGGGGTCAGGAGAGCTGTCGTTCTGCAGCACCTGGAGGGCACCAGGTTGGTGGAGCTCACAGAGAACCCAAGTGAGTTTTCACTATCTTGGCTTGTGAGTCAATAAGGTCTATAAACCATGGGCACTAGAGTAGACGCATTTGAGTCAACTCTTAGGGGCTGAAGTCCCTCCAATAAAATACTTGAGGGGCCCCCCAAAACTGATGGGCATTGCCATTCAAATGGTGTGTGCACGTGCGTGTGCTGCATCTTGTCATCAATTACTTGCCCCCCATAATATTTTATTCAAGTTGACACCCCTGATTAGACCCATCACCCAGAAGCACACCCATCTCCTCCTCAACATTGCTGCATCATCAGGCATCAGAAGGATAGAGAGGGGAAGGGAAGACTGCCATGCTTTTCCTTACTTTTATTCCCTGCCTACGCAGGTTTCATTTGGGAAAGAATGGGGTTATAAACTGAGTATTTCTCAAATAAATGGAGCAGCACTGCCATCTCCCCCTTCTTGATCCCAGTAATCCAAATATGTAGCATGCTGATCTCAGCACTTCAGAAGGAATAAGCTTGAAATCTCTGTCTTGGGGCCTATTTGCGCTATATATCTAAAGAAGTATTATGCCACTCTAAGAGAGAGATGCCTCCTCCTCAAGGAGATGATCCCTCCTGGGAACTATAGTCTGTTAAGGGTGCTGAGAGGAGGCCTCTATTTACAGAGCTGTAATCCTCAGAGTGCCCTGGGAACAGGAATTGACCGCTCTGAGAATTGTAGTTTTATGGGAGGGGAATAGTGGGGAGTCTACAAACAACACTTAGCACCCTTAACAAGCTACAGTTCCCAGTATTCTTTGGGCGAAGCCATGACTGTTTAAAGTGGACTGGTGGTGCTTTAAATGCATAGTGCACATGGGGCTTTAGACTAAATCTGTGAGCCATCTCATGGCTTTAACTAATTATTCTACTGTTGTGTTTATTATCATTTCCCCTCATGCAACCACCTCCTATCAAGTGTAACCTTTTACCTGAGGAAGAACTCCAGAGAATCCGGAAGTATGTTGTGTTTTTTGTGACTTTTTGGTTTGGACGTGGGTGGCGCTGTAGGTTAAATCACAGAGCCCAGGACTTGCTGATCAGAAGGTAGGCGGTTCGAATCCCAGCGACGGGGTGAGCTCTCGTTGCTCGGACCCTGCTCCTGCCAACCTAGCAGTTTGAAAGCACCTCAAAGTGCAAGTAGATAAATAGGTACCACTCTGGCGGGAAGGTAAACAGCGTTTCCGTGCGCTGCTCTGGTTCGCCAGAAGCAGCTTAGTCATGCTGGCCACATGACCTGGAAGCTGTATGCCAGCTCCCTTGGCCAATAAAGCGAGATGAGGGCCGCAACCCCAGAGTCGGCCAAGACTGGACCTAATGATCAGGGGTCCCTTTACCTTTACCTTTAATAAAGGTGTTACCAGCTGCTGGCTGACTTTTCTTCTTATTGATGTGCATGGCTGCCTTTGTTCTTCTTAGTTTACTTTGTACTTTTTGCAGAGCACACATGCCGCAACAGAGTTCAAAATCTACATTTGCACCAAACAGCAATGCTCCTGTCTGCAGTAAGGCTGTACTCTTTGGTCATCTTAATTATTTAAGCTTGCATTGGGGTAGAATGGTCCCATCCCATTAATTAATTAATTAATTTACATAATTCATTACTTTTTTGTGTGCAAAACTTATCTGCGATGGCATCAATAAACCGAGAAAGTGCTGTGTCGAGACTGAAGACAGAATCCAAGACAGGGATTAGTGCAGGAGTTGCCAACCTTCTTAAGGCAAAAGGCACATTTGGATTTTTTTGGTGAGTGCTACAGGCACCACCCTGGTTACTCAGCCTCCTCCCAGGAGAAACAGAATGAGAGAATGTGTTCATGCACACCCATTGCTTTTCCAAGTGATCTGATTAAAAGTAGAATTAATCATGGGCTTTGAAAAGCACCTGTAAATGTCATGACCTCTGAATCCAGCAGCTGCCAAGGCTTGTGAGTCAGGAGCTGCAGACATTCCAGTGAAGGGACTCAGCCACATTAGTAGAAAAACCCGAACAAACCCCAGCGTTATAAACATGCAACACCAGATGGCGCTGAAGAGCACAAAAATTTCTAGGCGATTTTATGTAGGAATTTTTTTCTTTTGTTATAACGATTTGATTTATAACTTATTTATAGTGTGTGTTTTTCCCTGCGTTTAGATCCACCCAAAGGAATCAGACCAGGTGCAGGGCTGTGAGTCTGCTAGTGGAAAACAGGAGCTGAAGCTGATGAACATGAGCCCCCCCCCGAGCCTCCTGCAGTGATGGCTGATTTCCAATGGGAGGGCAAAAAGCAGGGAGGCCAGCAGTAGTCTAGTTTTGTCCCCATCCTCCTTGCTGCTGAGTACTATAAGGGCAACACTGAGGTTGAGGAGGAGGAGGAAGATGGCAGCCAGCCCCAGCCCCTGCACTTGGATCCAAGCAAGAAGGAGAAAAATAACTACCAAACTTTTAGAAGACATCTGAAGGCAGCCCTGTTTAGGGAAGCTTTCAGTGTTTAATAGGTTATTGTATTTTAGTGTTTTGTTGGAAGCCGCCCAGAGTGGCTGGGGAAATCCAGCCAGATGGGCGGGGTGTAAATAATAAATTATTATTATTATTATTATTATTATTATTATTATTATTATTATTATTCAGGAGGGCACTGGCTGAGGGCAGATTTCAGGTCGCTGGGGCAGTGTACTGTGTCCGAACTGCCCTAATGGACCAGCCTGTACTGACCTTCTGCATCTGTAGGGACAGAGCGTGGACCCCCATGAGACCTTCCCCCGAAGAACACCCCCCCCCCGTCAAGACCTTACCAGCCCAGCACTGAAGGAAGTGTACCAGTCCAGAGGGTTGGTCCTTTAAGAACGTATACTGTAGTTAGTCACAAGGTGGTGGAGAGACCGCCTGAGACCAGAGGCTTAAAACTGATTGGTCAGCTTCAAACCTTCATCAGGGCAAGCTGCCCACTCACGAGTTTTCTGTGGCTATGCATCTTTCTCTATGGAATACGTTACTGGACTAGACTGTGACTTTAAAAATGAAACTACAAACTTCCTCCTTCACCTCTGTGTATTTTTCAAGGGAGAAAATGTCAAGCACCCTCAGCTTCTCATGGTCAAGGGGGCAAGGGAGTGGGGGTGAGGAGCTCAGGACTCAGAGGCTTCACGGGCACCAAGTTGGTGACCCTTAGATTACTGAAATGGTCCCCAAAGTCTGGAGTTTTGTTCCTGTAGGAGAGCTGGAACTCTTTTCAACGATCAGTCTTGGCTGTTGAACCACCGTTTTACTGCAAAGCTTGCAAAAGAACATGCGTGTTTATTTTGGGTGGTGATGTTGTAGCAGACACTTATTGAGCTAAAGCGAAGCTGCCATCTGATTGCAGGGTACATTATGCATCTACAAATGCTAAATTGCTAATGCCTTCTGAAGTTCCTCTAATGTATTAGTTCAACAGTATTATACCACTCAACAAGAAAATGATACCTTGAATCCATTATCGCTTGAATGATGGGATGCTATCAGGCGGCAAATATTTGGCTTCCAACAGTTTTAAAGATAGGCATGTCTATATTAAATTCCATAATAATAATAATAATAATAATAATAATAATAATAAGTCTCTCTCTCCCTCTTTCTCTCTCTCTCTCACACACACTTTAAAAAGAGGTAGGGTTCACTTAAAATAAATAAATTTCACACCTAAATACTTTGTCTAGGCAACCAGAACACACACAACATATTGTTATGAGTTGGGTGGGGAAACAGCAGTCTGTAAGACAGGACCCTTCTAATTCCTGGGTACAGCAATTGTTAAAATCTAAGGAAAGATTTTAGTTCCTAGATTAGCCAGGCTAGCTTCCTGGTAAGGTAATGGCCTAAGTATGGGCTATTAAGGAAACAAAGGAAGTGGTTCAGTGCCAGAAGACAAATGGGTGGACCCTCCTTCCTTAACTCAGTGGTAGTTAGAAAGACAAAGGCTGGAAGTAGCTGGAAGTAGCAGGCTGGGAAGGGAGAGGGTTAGAGCCATGCCTGATTTCTGTTTGACTCCAAGGTTGTGGCTATGGGAGAAGCAAGACCATCTTGGAGTGTTATTGCCGTGAACCCTCCCATCATAGGCTCAGATTGTATACGTGTGTAAATAAATCATATATTTTAATGACCACAGTCTCTGCTGTACTTCATTTTGAAGGAAACACAAACCCTGGGTAAGCGCCTGGAACCCCTGGAATCTCACACTGCTCAGACAGTGGGGTGCAACAGTATTTTAGCCTTTTAATCTCATCTTGCTAGATCTGTATGCAGTTTTACTGATGAAGCTGCCTGGTTCTGCAAACCTGAATGTACTGTCTTAGAATGCAATCCTATATCTGTTTACCTGGGAGAAAGCTCCACTGGGTTTACTTCTGAGTAGACAGGTCTAGGATTGCAATCTTAAGACTTTTAAAAGCTTTACATTCCCATTGGAGGGTTTCATCTCACCCAATTCAGCAGACACCGGCTGCTCCCCTGGTGCCTGCACGCAGGTCTCTGAATTTTCCTGCATGTTTTCCTTCACTGCCAATTCCTCAGGCGCTGTCTCTTCCTCTTGCATGTTCACACACACCTACAATTTCTCCCACACACCCCTTTTCCACAACAGGCTTCCAGGGAGTGGAGAAATCAATCAGAAGCAGCCTCTCAGCTCTAGCCACCTCACATTTCCCCAATGCGGCTTTCCCCCTTGTTTTCAGCTACCTCAGCTGCCCACCCACACTATGGATCTCTTCGGCCACCCCTTCCATCTGGGTGCCTTGCAGCTGGGTCCTGGGTCATTCTCAACCCCCTGTAGCATCTCATTCAGCCGGGCCCTCAACTTGCATGGAGTCACACCCTTCTCTCCAAGGAAGCCTTTCACACACACTGTTTGCAGCTGCTTCACCTCAGCAAACTGTCGCTGGATCATGTGCTCAAGCCGCCCCATGTCTTGCTGGCTTCACTGCTTCATCTGTTGCTGGAGTCGACCTGCTCAAGGGGTGTTGCTGTTCCTCCTTTCACTTCAGCTGTGGTCACAGGTCCCACTCCAGGAAATACAAATCCCACACCCCAATACCTAACAGCTGCAAATTTCCATGGGTTTCAAGTACTTACCCAGGCTTCATGTTTCCTGTGGAATGAGGTACAGTAGAAACTGTGGCTTCCCTATAATATATGGTTTATTTACACATACATATGTACAACCTGGGACACGGGTGGCGCTGTGGTCAAAACCACTGAGCCTCATGGGCTTATGAGTGACGCAACCCCAGAGTCAGTCATGACTGGACCTAATGGTCAGGGGTCCCTTTACCTTTATGTACAACCTGAGGCTATGATGGGGCGGTGGGGGGAGGTTGTTGGGTAGAATCCACAGCTTTGAATTCTAACAGAAATCAGGCATGGCTCTGTCTCTCTGGCTTCCCAGCCTGCTTCCAGTTTCCAACTTCTAGATTTAAACACTTGCTGGATCCAGGAATTAGAAGGGTCTTGGCATTCAGCCGACTCTCCTGCCCATCAACTCATAACACTATGGTACTCCAAACTATACCAAAAAAATTTCCTCTCACTTTGAAATATAAACTATACTGTTAGCATATTTGTAAATATGTGTTAAATCTATCTGTTGAAAGAGTCTCTCACACACATACACACTGAACTTTTTGTCCCATGTGGCGAGTTTTGTGAAGTTTTGAATTCAAAATGGTGCTGTTTTTAATGCGGTAATTTATTTGTGGTTTTATGGCACTTCATTCTGATACACATAATAAATGCACAAAGTGCTGATAGCATGGTAAGTGCATTAAAATGCTAAGTTCCCAAAGTACTTTACAGAGCTTTGTTTTACAATGGTGTGGCTTGTGATACTAAATATTGGCCTTCTACTACCTTTTACCTTTCCTTACTCTTCTGGACAACAATTCCTATGCTTCTTTGTTTTTAATTCTAGAAAACAAATTCAGAACAATGCCTTAGGATGAGTATATCCCCCCCCCCCACCTTACACTACCATGAGATGATTATTTTAAGGAACTGAAGTCATCTAGCCCCTGGCTTAATTATGCAAGCTTTGTTGTGTTTCTTATCCACTGAACGTAGTCTGCAACTTCAGTGTAGACATCATAATCGCCCTTCAATGCACATTCTTCCCAGCAGCTGGCTATGGCTGTTAGGAACCAGGTGCCTTCCACGTCTGTGGCATAAGGGCCGCCACTGCCTCCCTGGTGCGTTCTCTTAGCTGTGGCAGAGACACCAGCACAGAACATGTTTGGCAAGAGGGTAGACTCGCCATCCCTCTGACAAGTGCTCTGGTCAACACGGTGCACGTTCAGAACCTGGAGAACACTGGCTCTTTTTCGTTGGTCCTTTGGCCTCCACCAACCGCTCACCGTGCCTGATCCATGCTGCAGAAGGTTGTTTGTGAACTTCTCGCCTGCGATGCAAATTGGGGTGACGTAATAGTTCAGCTCCAGCGGTGAATCCAGCTCAAGAAGTGCAATGTCATTGTGGTACCTGTGGGTAGTGTTGTATGCGGGGTAGCGAATCGCCTTCACCACCCGACGTTGTTGTTCAGTGCGGTCAAAAGCCTCCGTATTGTGCTCACCTGATGATAAAAGAGCCATTGGATACACACAGGTTCTTTAAACGGGAAATTTGGCATTCTGGACATACACTTAGTTGTCAACACAGCATGCTCCAGGCTGTGTCAGATTAAAGCAACGAGTCCAGCACTGAACTCAAGGCACCAGTGTTAAGTATACAATATACACTGAAATGGAAAAAATAACTCTACAATGTGTCGTGTCTGTGTTGAACTGTGAAGCATTGCATGTATATTTCTGCTGAAGAGCAGCCTAACAGGTTAATCATTAGAGTGGACTGTATATCTGCTGGCTCAGTCACATGAAAGAGATACTATTACAGGTCTGTGTATATGCTAATCTGTGGGCATCCATCTTGGTTGTGTGAGTTCTTTGTTTTCAAGCAACTGGAGAGCATGGATATATTAATTCTGTTCTTCAGTAAATCAGCCTCAGGCTAATGGACTGGATGCAACATATTTATAATCTAAGATACTTATTTCTTTTCAGCTACTGTTGATTAGGATCATAGAATAGGAGAGTTGGAAGGGACCCTGAGGGTCATCCAGTCCAGCCCCCTGCAAATCTCAGCTAAAGCATCCATTACAGATGGCCACTCAACCTCTGCTTAAAAGCCTCCAAGGAAGGAGAGGCCACAACTTCCTGAGGGAGACTGTTTCACTGTCAAGCATCTCTTACTGTCAGAAGTTGTTTTTTCTGTATGTTTAGTCAGAACCTCATTTCTTGTATCTTGAAGCTGTTGGTTCAAGTTTTATTGTCTTTTGAATATTTTAAGTTATCTGTTTCTTATCAACAATTTTTGATAAGATTTTTATGGGCTGCTTAGAGGTTGTCTTACAATCAAATGGCACATTAACATTGTTAAAGGAAAATAAATAGATGGACATAAATAATGATCCCATGGAAAGGGAATGTACTTTGTACATGCTCAATGGCATTCTCTCCACCCCACCCCAAAGTCTAGGAACAGAATAAGGCCCCTAATAAACCTGTATCCAGCTTTATCATTCTACCAGCCCTACTGAGACTCTAGGCAAAAATGAAGCCAAAGGTAATTCCAGCCACACCTCAAAGTTGTTTTATCACTTACCTGCCACAACAGTGTGTAGCCCATACTCGATGCAGTGTGCTGCGGTGGCAATCCACTGCTCATTGATGATCGTGCCTCCACACAGTTCTTTTCTCTCGTAGCTGAGCATATAAACCTGCGAGCGAAGGAAACAGTATGAGAACAGGATCGACCCCTTAAAGTACATATGCAGTTACAGCCCAATGGTAGTGTTAATGGCAGCTGCCTCTAGAGGGCAGCAAAGGCTGGATGGTGCAGCAGCGCGCTGAAATTTGCAAAGAAGAAATGGAAGAGAACCCAAACAAAAGACTTTTTTTTAATATAAAAAAAACAACAACAGAGAGAAATACAGTAGCAGGTAAAGTGTATTTACTTATGCCTAATTGCATAGAAATGAAGAATCAGGGAGGCTTGAGTGAATGTTTCAGGATACAATCCTATGCAGATTTGCCTGGCAGTAAAGTGAAGTAATTTAGTTAAAATGTAGAATTCTCTCCCGCAAGAGGCTGTGATGGTAGGGTATGTCATTTTAGGTAGGGAAACTTAATTTTTGCCAATTTCTTCAGTGAGGTGTCTGAAAAATACATTTTTGGGTGTGAGGAATTCAATTCTGCTGTTATTTTTGTGACTGGGCAAGTCTACATTTGAGGAAGAAGAACATAAACTGCTTTCAGAAAACCAAAGAATTTTAATCTGACCTTCTGAAAATGTCAGGTAATGCTAAACAACAGCAACAATTTACTGCAAGTATTTGGCAATCATTTTAATGATTTCTATGCAATTTTACACACATTTTACTTGCCAGGCAAAACTAAATTATATTAATTTAACCAAAATAACCTTTGAATTCCAAAGTCATGTTACAACTTTTTAGCACCCATCATTTTTGGAATTTGAAAAATTCAACTGGTCTTACATAGGCACTAACTTGGATTTCAATTTCTATACCACCCTTCATCAAAAGGTCCCGGGGCGGTGTACAACATTAAGAACACATTTCATGGAGCATAATTAAAGCAAAAATAAAAAGCATAGTAATAGATAGCATAATAATAACATAATGATTATAGTATCAGTCTCCCTCACCTCACAACTTTAACACGCCATGGAGTATTTAATGGCCAAAGGCCTGATTAATGTTTTGCCAGGCACCTAAATGTGTATAATGAAGGCACTAGCGGAACCTCCTTGGGGAAAGCATTCCACAGATGGGGAGCCACTGCAGAAAAGGCCTGTTCTCATGTTGCCACCCTCCAGACCTCTCATGGAAGAGGCATATGAAGAAGGGCTTCAGAGAATGATCTTGGGGTCTGGGCTGGTTCATACAGAGAGAGGTGGTCATTGTGGTATAGGAGTCCTGATTCGTTTAAGGCTTTATAAGTGAACACCAGTACTTTGAATTTGACCTGGAAACTAACTGTCTTGTTCTGGTGAGCCATTGAATTCTGCACCAGCTGAAGTTTCCGAACTGTCTTCAGGGGCAGCTCCATGTATAATGCATTGCAGTAATCCAAACTCCTTTTACCATTGTCATGCGGTTCCCAGACGATTGCCCAGAAGGGAATGTGGCCCTGAGACTGAAAAATGTTTCCCACCCCTTTAACTAGAGGGAATGGTTCTCCTGTAGATTGCTTGATGGGGGCCTTCTATAACTACCACATTTGCAAAACAGCGAACTCTTGTTGCATTACCTGCCATGGAACTTCCCCCTTCCTGCTGTTTGTGCTGATTGGCCTGGGAGGCGTTGGTTCCACGAGAGGAATCTGGGCTTTATTGACAGACATGTCTCTGGGGTCATTGGTAGCATTGCTGCTTCTGTTGTTCAGTGCCTCTGGAGCTCCAATCCTCCCGCATGGAAAGGGCACTGTGGAGAAACTACAAAATCACTCATGCGCTGGAAAGTAGGCTCCGGTGCACAAGTGCACCTGCCAGAATTTGAGGATTAGCCTTTCCTTGATGTGAGGCTGCTGCTGCAAGCATCATCGGCTCATTTGTGTGTCCGCTTTTCAAGGGTAAGCCATAAACTTAAGAAGGTGCTTTATGTCAAATTGGACCATTGGATCAGTTCCATATTGACTGGCAACAGCACTCCAGGAAATAAGACAGGAGGCATTTCCAGCACTCCTGGGACACGATGGGGAATGAACATAGGACTTTTGCATGCATCACAGGTGCTCAGCCACCGAGCTAGGGCCTTTCTCCATTTGTCCATTGGGTTCAGGATTGCCTCCACTGACTGAGACATAGTAGGATATACCACAGATTGAAGCTGGTACCTTTTGAATGCAAGGCAGGTGTTCTACCATGCAGCTATGAACCAAAGCAGCTCACAACAATGCCAGAAAAGAACCCAGTAGTAAGGAAATCCATTGCAGCACATTGCAGTTGGAACGTATCAGCAAGATTTAAAATAAGCACAGACTCAACATTACCACAGGCTGTCTCACATTACAGTATACTGCATACCACCAAGACTGAGCAACTCACTAGCAATTCATACGAAAGTTTAATGATAAACATACTGTTATGTACTGAGTTGAATAGGATCCAAAATGCAGCAGTCTGATTGGTCCTAGAACAATAGGATTCAGAATGCAGCAGTATGATTGGTCCGCAGGAGCCACCCAATCCAGCTCCAGGTGGAAGTGAATCCACAACCTGATTGGCCTACAGGAGAATCCTGGAATTAGCCAATCATGTGCAGCCCATTGTGTAAATATTGTATATAAAGCTGATATTGTGGGGGAACTTCCATTTTTCCTCCTCACCACTATGAGCTGAACAAAGAGCATGAAATCCACTCTCGACTCCGAGTATATTTCACATACCAAGACAAAAATATAATTAATAGCAAAATAGTACATCAGCCTGAGATCTAAGAAACATCCCCCCCCGACTTCTCACTTGTTTTTTTAAGGCTTCTTTAGCACTTCATGAAGAGGCAGGAAAAAGTAAAGCCTCCTCCCCATCCCATCCCATCCCATCCCAGATGCAACTGACTAGCAAACCTTCTGGTATGACAACTGCAGGTAGCTACTGGCTAGTACCCATTCCACCCAGATTTGGATAGTCTGCAAACAAATCCCTCACCTGGGAGGGAAGAACCTTTTATTTCAATGGAACCTGTTCCCACCAGGTTTGGAGTTTTATTCTGCTAAAAGGGTAGAAGATTCACAGGTCAAACATTACTAAACAGTGCTCAAATCTTTTACCTGTTGGTTCACAGCTCTTCTGGTCTTCCATCAGTCTGTACCCAGGAGCACAGGAACAGACTGCCTTCCCTGTAGGGCCATTCTCACATATCTGCTTGCAACCTCCATTCTTCGCTGAGCATGTAAGGTCTGATTGGGGGGGGGGGGGTTGAAATTAAATTAAATTTTACTTGAAACTTGCCAAAATACAAGAACATAGTTGTGGCATGAAACAGATGCAACAAGGATGCCCCCAAATCAACCACATTTTTGATTTGGTTCACACTGGCATGGTAATCTCATGATCTCCATTTAAAACTTGCATTTCATTCTGTTGGCTCAAGGCAACATACATGGTTCCTCCTCCTCAGTTTTAACCTCACAACAACCCTGTAATTTAGGGCTAGTCAGTGTGGTGCCCTCAAGGCACTGTGGAACTCATCACCTCTGGCCAGTGTAGCCGATGGGAGTTAGAGTCCAACAACATCAGAAGAGCAAACACTTTATTTGTGGACAATGCTTTAAGAGACTTTGATAACCCAAGATTGTGGGAATTCAGATTGAGTCAGTAAGGTCTAAAACCACAGTTTACAGGTATCATAGGTACTGGATCAGACTCTTACTGCAAAAGAACACCCCACTCCTCCTCAACTTTATTGCATCATCATATCATTGAGATCTAAAAAATTGTCTTATGCTGATGATATCATTGGCACAGATCCACAGCCTGTAGTATAGCGGCAAATTGAGAAGCGTATGGTCCCTTTGTGATAGTCACACCCTGCCCCTCAGAGTCACACCCCCTTCTAAGATTATACCATATTCTAAGACTATACAATAATCTTATAATTATACAATGATAATAATTAGGGATGCATTGCAAAATGATCAGTGCAGATAGCCATGTATTGCCTTTCAGATGGATCTACTCTTTTCTGTGGGCAAATGATTTGGAATGCTCCAATAACTTCTTTTGGAATGGCTTACTGTACGTTGTTGTTTTAAGTTCCATTGAGCGTAGAAGAACTTGCACACCATTCTCTTGAAACTGAAGCACCTGTTGTTTTCAGTGTCCCCAAATACTCGGCTTTGGAGCATGCAGAACAATTCCTCCTTGTGGCACTTCAAATATGAAACAGCCACCCAGGAGAGGTCCACCTTTTAGCATTGCTGTTCGCTTTCTAGTGTGTTGTTACAGCCCTACTTAAAAAAGAACACCTTAACTTGCTTAGGTTGCTATTATTATTATTACCAAAGGTAAAGGTAAAGGTAAAGGACCCCTGGACGGTTAGGTGCAGTCAAAGGCGACTATGGGGTTGCGGTGCTCATCTCGCTTTCAGGCCGAGGGAGCCGGCGTTTGTCCACAGTTAGTTTTCTGGGTCATGTGGCCAGCATGACTAAACCGCTTCTGGCACAACGGAACACTGTGATGGAAACCAGAGTGCATGGAAACACCGTTTACCTTCCTGCCACAGCGGTACCTATTTATCTACTTGCACTGGCGTGCTTTCGAACCGCTAGGTTGGCAGGAGCTGGGACAGAGTAACGGGAGCTCACTCTATTGTGCAGATTCCAACCGCCAACTTTCCGATCAGCAAACCCAAGAGGCTCAGTGGTTTATTCGTGGTTCCAGGCAACTGAGCACCCATTCCCCATTAACATACCAATCTCACAGTTCCTTCCTTCATATCCATCTAGGCACTGACATTGGTAGTCACTGGGTTTGCATTGACATGTTCCACCATTCATGCATGGCCTTGACTTGCATCCCTCGCCACCTTGGAAATAAAGATTCAATTGTAACTGTAACTAAGGATATTCATGAGACATATTGTGATCTACAAATGGCTATCAATGCCTTTTACCGCAGAAGCAAAAGATAAAAGAAAACGCAGGGCAGTGAGTCAGGAGCAGCATGCCCCACCCCCACCTTCTCCTCCACCCCCACTGCAAAGAGGACATTGGAAGTATGCACTCCCTTGCTTAATGCTAGCTATGGTTTAATGTCACATCCAAAAAAAGAGATAGCTGTGGTTGGCTTAAATGATGCCTTATTATTAAAAACAAGTCAGAAATAAAACTGTGGTATAGTATCTGGCTTTTTTCAGCAAAGCAGAGTTTAAACTAATTGTCATTTCTTGTTTGGATGCAATGAGAAACTCTGGTCAGTTTAAACCAGCAAGCAGATTCTTCCAGTCCCCTCCTCTTCGAAGGAGAAGAGAGGAGAGCATAAGAGCTCTAGGTTCAAGCTGCTTCACTCATGTCATGCTAAATTATGGTTTAGTGATGGGCTTAAACTTCTCATTAATCAAAGGAACCTCTGCTCTGGTAAACAAATCTGGGGAATAGGGACATCAATGGAGGAATCTAGCAGAATCAGAGTCTATGAACCCTTATAGTTTCAAGGGCAGTGGCGTAGCTAGCTGCTTAGGTGCCCAGTGTGGCACGAGCCACCCATGGGGGCGGGGTGTGTTGCTTGGAGCCTCTCCGTCGCTGCCCCTCAGCTGAGGGAGAGGCAGCGGGGAGATGCAAGCCCCATGCTGCTGTTTCAGGCAGCACAGAGCCTGCAGGCGCCCAAGCCACCACATCACTCCCAGGAGAGTGTACTCTTCCCACCTTGGATCAAATCTATGCTTCCAGGTGCCATAAGAAAGCTGCGGAGATAGCACAGGATAGTGCACACCCTGGAAATGATCTCTTTCAGCTTTTGCCTTCTGGAAGAAGTTACAGGATTATAAAGACTAGGACTAGCCGCCTGAGAAACAGTTTCTATCCAAATGTGATTTTAGTTTTAAATGCAGTGTAAGGAGTCTCTATGGGAGTGTATTGTATTTTTAAAATGGGGTATCAGACTTTTTAGGGGGCTAACTAGGTTGGGATAGCTGGGACAGCAGGCTTGTTGGGTTTTGAATGTCTTATGTAGATTCCCCCCCCCCCAATTTTGTTGTTCTGTATGGGACAATGACAATAAAGATTATCATATCGTATTGTATGGCTGCCGGCCCCCTGGTAAATGCCAGCCCCTGCGGTGTGGCACCCAGTGCCAGCTGCATTTTATTATGTTTCTTGACTGAACTAAAAGTTTTGTGAGTCCAAATTTTTAAAACTCGTATTTTTGTCACCCCCCTCAGTGATGACACCCGGGGCGGCCCGCACCCACCGCACCCCTTCCTTTCACCACTGTTCAAGGGATGAGTGGCTGCATATGCTTCAGTCTTTGCTGTAGTTTGCAACCAAGACTGGGGACTACCTGTCTCCACCTATTGTCAAAAATAATTCAAAGCAAATCCATGGGAGATTGTAGCTATCATTGTTGAAATTCAGTGTGATGCTAGGCATATTCAGTGTAATACTAAAGACCCAAGCTTCTTCCATGTAATAGATAGAACAGTTCAGTGGTCTGTGGGCTGCTGTTTGATGAACACAGAATACTGTGGCAGCCTGTGTTAGCCTGGTTCGCTCCAGAAACTGTGGACCAAAAAACTCATTGGCCCCACACCATGCCAGCTGCGACTGATGGAAGTTGGTGTCCAAACCATCTGGTTAGTGAAGGCATTTGGTGGGTGAAGGCAGCCGGGTTGGTGAACGTAACCAAAGTCAGACAAAAAGATACTGCTTACCGTAAGCGTATGCATTCCAAAATGTGATCTACAAGAAAAATTATTAACATTAACCTCAATGGTAAATGCAGGCAGATAAACAGCAAACAGGTTTATAGAACATTCGTATTACTTTAATATTGACATCCAGGCATTTCACAAGCATTTTGGCAGGTTCACACCATAGGTCAGCACTGCCCATCTTTTCTGAAATATGTCCCAGAGTAGTTTAACAATCAATCCCTCTTCCAGGGAATTCTGGGAACTGGAGCTCTGGGAGGGGAACAGGAGCCTCCTAACAACTCTCAGCACCCTTCCCAAACCACAGTTCCCAGAATGCTTTGGGGGAAAGCCATGACTGTTAAGGGGCTGTCCTGGTGCTTCAAGTCCCTGCTGTGGATGTGGTCCTAGTTGCGTTTAGTAAAGAACATTACTAACATTCCCACCCACCCACCTGCTCATTCGCCAAAGCACTCAGTGACCAGCATTTGAGATCTCACAATTACCGTTTGCAAGTCGTCTTCAAAGACTTCTCTTGCTTCCTCATAATCACATACTTCCTCAATACATTCGCGCTCAAGGTTTCCTTGCAGAATTTCTTCCAGTAAGCCAGTATTGTGCCTCTTATGTCGGTGCAATAGAGCATTTGCCTCCTTCTTGTCAACAAAAACTTAAACATGAAAAGAAATTAGAAATCCACTGAGAAGGCTGCTTCCAATGTTGTCCACTACCACCACCCCGTCCCTTGGAATTGCATGAGTGGGAGGGGGGCTCCCTGCCCTCTCCATTGCATCACTGGTGCTGCTCCCAGCCCTGTATTCCCAGCGCTACCAGGCCATGCTGGGAATCGAACCAGGGATGTCCCATGATCACATTCTAAAGTACAGTGGTACTTCGGTTTACGAACCTAATCCGTTCCGGACGTCCGTTCTTAAACTGAGGCGAGCTTCCCTAGTGAGGCCTCCCGCAGCAGGTGCCCTTCCACCGTTTGGATTCTGTTCTTAGACCGAGGTAAAGTACACAAACTGGGACACTACTTACGGTTTTGTGGAGTTTGTAAACTGAATCATTCTTTAACAGGACTGTTCTTAAACCGAGGTATCACTGTAGTTGTGTTCTATGTTATTAATCAAGCACTTCTAGGAGCTTTTTTGTTTTGTTTTCCAATGTAAAGGTAAAGGGACCCCTGACCATTAGGTCCAGTCGTGACCGACTCTGGGGTTGTGGCGCTCATCTCGCTTTATTGGCCGAGGGAGCTGGCGTACAGCTTCTGGGTCATGTGGCCAGCATGACTAAGTCGCTTCTGGCGAACCAGAGCAGCACACAGAAATGCCGCTTACCTTCCCGCCAGAGTGGTACCTATTATCTACTTGCACTTTGACGTGCTATCGAACTTCTAGGTTGGCAGGAGCAGGGACCGAGCAATGGGAGCTCACCCCGTCGTGGGGATTCGAACCGCCGACCTTCTGATCGGCAAGTCCTAGGCTCTGTGGTTTAACCCACAGCACCACCTGTATCCCTTTTCCAATGTAGTTCTTATTAATTAAAAAAAAAAAAAATCAGTGTGGTGTGAGCAAATTTTTACCTTGACAGTGTGGCCCAGAGGAAAAAAAAGTTTGAGAACTACTGCTTTATAAGTATATAAGAAGAGTCCAGCTGTATCAGGCCAATGACCCATCTAGTCCTGCATTCTGTTCTCACAGTGGCCAACCAGATGCCTCTTTTGGAAAATAGCAGCTAAATTCAGAAGCATTACTGCCTATGATAGTAGAGGCGCAACATAGCCTTCATGGCTTGTAGCAACTGATAGCTTTATCCTCCATGAGCAGGCATGCCAGGCCCCCTCAAAGTTCAGCAGTGTCTGTGCCCACATGCTGTGGGCTATGCTTGTGCCAAGCATGCAAGCCATGTGGCATCCGCATGACATGTCCTTGCACCCCGCAGTGTGCATGTATGACGTCGCCCGGCCCCCTCAATCGCAGTGGCATGGTGGCATGCCTGTCCATGAATTTATTCAATCCTCTTTTAAAAGCCACCCTCTCTTAAAATCCTCTTTTAAAGCCATCCAAGTTGGCGGCCATCATCACTAGGACCTCGTACCTACAGGACTGCCTCTCCTGGTATGCCCCACGGAGGACCTTACGGTCCATAAATAACAACACTTTGGAGGTCCCGGGCCTCAAGGAGGTTAGATTGGCCTCAACCACGGCAAAGGCCTTTTCAGCACTGGCCCGGACCTGGTGGAAAGCTCTGTTGCAGGAGACCAGGGCCCTGCAGGATTTGACATCTTTCTGCAGGACCTGCAAGATGGAGCTGTTCCGCCAGGCCTTTGGTCTGGACTCAGTCTGACTCCCTCTTTCTTTTTTTTTGATGGAACCCCTTATATGGGATCCTGTATATAAATATTCCCTCCGCTCTTTGCTGGCCCATGTAGGACCAACAGGATAGCTGGCCCTGGTGAATATTTGATGTTTCCTCCCATTATGGTCTTGATTTATGGGCCACCAGTAAAACAAGGCTGCATTTTAAGCTGTATTTTAATCAATTGTTTTTGTTTGTTTTTTAAACTGTATTTTATGTTTGGTGTTAGCTGCCCTGAGCCTGGTCTTGGCTGGGGAGGGCGGGGTATAAATAATTTTATTATTATTATTATTATTACTATTATTATTACTACTACTACTACATCCTGTGGGAATGAGGCCCACAGTTTAACTATGCGCAAACGTTCCCCCCAACCTTTATGATTCTGAATAAAGTGCTGATTTAAGCTAGAACAGTGAAAGATTATACGTTCTTTTTTGTTTTAAGAATAATTTTTTATTAACCGACCAATCACATCAAATCAAACCAAATTACATAAATTCCAAATTACACAGCCGAATTTTAAATTTTTGTTGGGGGTACCCATATTTCAAGTTCCGAAGGGATCCAATCAACTTCTTGCTGTTTTAATGTCCACAAATCTAACCTTATGATGTTCACAGTACTATCCAGTCCTTTCTTATTATTTTTCCACATCTCTTGTTGTTATTTTCATATATTTTTCCTTTCTCTTTGTGACCTCTGATAGTCTCCGCAAGCTGGTTAGAACAGTTTGTAATCCTGCGTGGATATTATTTTTATCCAGTAGCCATATCCAGACGTTTTCCATATAACATCACTTCCATACATCAAAACAGTCTTAGCGTCATTAATCTTCACCAATCTGCCTCCTTTCTCAAAACCTCTGAGGAGATTCACTAGGAATGCAGTCTGAAAACAAATCCGTTCTTCCTCCCGGCTATAAATCCTTTGGCAAGATGGCGACTCCGAATTAATTGCTGCGCCATTCCCAAAAGCTCTTATTGCTTCTCGATCTCCATAAAGCATACTTTTGGTTAAAGTTTATCTCCACACAGACCTTAATCATCCTGCTTGGGTCAGTTCAACCGACGGTTCTAATGAGGAGGGGTTCTTGTAAATCACATAGAAGGAAAGTAAAAAAGGTCCCCCCCCCATTCAGTCCCGTTGCTGACATACCCCGCCTTTGGTGTATTTTCATCGTAAAATATTCCTGTTTCTCCAGCCCGTCGTCTTCTTTCGCAGAGGTCACTTAAATTAGTAGACTTCACTCCCCTTCTTCACTTGAAATATGTGCATTTGCTTCTTTTGTAATTAATTATTCCAAATTGCTGCAACTAGTGCGCGATCAGAGACAGCGTCCAGGAGAGCCGATGTCCACACGAGGGCATTCTGCTTAGGGCCCTCACCCCCTTCTTTCGAATTAGGGGGTGATTTATGGGCACAGCAGGCAAGGGCAGTGTTCCCCATTTCCTTGGGGCAACAAGGGAGGCTGCCTACTCCCATAACAGCCTCTTAATTACCCCGTGTGGGTCAGAGAGATGGTATTGTCGGCCATCTTCCAATACGCCCCCTAGTGGCCCCCGAAAGATTATACATTCTGAAGGGAAACTAGGATTGTTTGTGCCACAAACTAGACCCCAAATGCAAGACCTGTGCTCCTTCACGCTCTCTCCCTTATACTTGCATTTAACTGTTTGTCCTTGTTTCTATCTTTTAAAGTATGTATGAGATAAAGGTAAAGGGACCCCTGACCATTCGGTCGAGTTGTGGCTGACTCTGGGGTTGCGGCTCTCTTCTCGCTTTACTGGCCGAGGGAGCCGGTGTACAGCTTCCGGGTCATGTGGCCAGCATGACTAAGCCGCTTCTGGCGAACCAGAGCAGCGCACGGAAACGCCGTTTACCTCCCACCGGAGTGGTACCTATTTACCGTATTTTTTGCACCATAACACTCACTTTTTTCCTCCTAGAAAGTAAGGGGAAATGTCTGTGCGTGTTATGGAGGAAATGCCTACGGGTGGCATGCCTACGGATTTTCCTCCTCTAAAAACTACGTGCGTGTTATGGTCGGGTGCGTGTTATAGAGTGAAAAATACAGTATCTACTTGCACTTGATGTGCTTTCGAACTGCTAGGTTGGCAGGAGCAGGGACCGAGCAACGGGAGCTCACCCCGTCACAGGGATTCGAACCGCCGACCTTCTGATTGGCAAGTCCTAGGCTCTGTGGTTTAACCCACAGCGCCACCCATGTCCCATGTATGATATAATCACATCTTAATTACAAGTTTTTACCTGTTTTAAGTCTTACGTGTTCAGTTTATCCATATGTTTTATCTTATGCTGGTCTATGATCGAAATAAAGTTTGATACCTATTCACATACATATTCACAACATTGTCTACAGGTGCTGTTATTATCCCTCTGTGGTTCATGCAGAAGTCTTTTTCCAGCCCTACCCAGAGATCCCAGAGACTGATCATGGGGCCTTCTGCATGCAAAGCAGGTGCTCTACCTCTGGGCTGCAGCTGTTCCTCTAAATTAAACCATTTGCTCTTCCACCAAGATAAGATTGTCCTGCAGATATTAACCCAAGTGCAGAATAAAGTTGTGAGTTTTGTACTACTGAAATGCATCGTGTAAAATGTAAATCTTACATTATGCTACATCTCATGAGCAACAAATGCCAAGATTATAAAACGCAGACCTGGAGTAATCCAAGGACAGAGGCGAAGCTGAAGTCAGACTGACCATGTCTTTTGGGGTCCATTTTTTACCCCATGCTCTGACTTAAGGTAATAATTAAACTTCCGATTGCCACCCATGGCATATTTGCCAAAACGGAAGCACACTCTGTAGAGCCAGTTATATGCTCTTTAGTCCTGCTGACTGCAGCGAACAGGCGCTCAACTCTCCTCATCAAAAACAAGGCTACTCTTGCATTTTTTTAATCTGTCCCAAGGGACCTTTCTGATGCAAATGGGTTGCTGACAACAAGGGTTTTTCAAATCTTGTTTTAATTTACCAGATTTACTCCAGAAAGGGAAAATAGAGGGGAAAGACGGGTTGACATTTTGATGTCAATGTAATTCCAGGTAGAACGGAGAACCCCCTGTCTTAAACCCTGGAGAGCTGTTGCTAAATGGACCTATGGTCTGATTCTGTATAAGACAGGTTCCAATGCACCTCGTGGAACCCAATATTTTAAGGTGATCCCAATTTTTTAACCCACACAAAATATCCATTTGATCAAAGCCTTTCTCAACCTCCGGCGCTGCCCAGATGTTTTGAACTACAATCCCCATCAGCCCCAGCTAGCATGGGAGGGGAGTTGCAGTCCAAATCATCGGGGGGGGGGGGCAACAAGCTGATATTATGAAGGCTGATTTAATGAGAACTCTCTGCAGATGTTCCTTTAAAAAATAAAAATACCCATTTGGCTTCATACTCCAACATCAAAATTATTTTATTGATTGATGGCAATGTCTCCTGGGGTAGCTCAGGCAATGGAGCATAAGACTCTTAATCTCAGGGTTGTGGGTTTGAGCTCCACGTTGGGCAAAAGATTCCTGCATTGCAGGGGTTGGACTAGATGACCCTCATGGTCCCTTCTTTCCTCCAAGGAGCTCAGGCTGGTGTACATGGTTTTCTTCCTCCTCCTCCTCCTCATTTAATCCCAAAAACAACCCTGTGAGGTGGGTAAGGCTGATAGGCAGTGATAGGCCCAGGGTCACAAACTGGACTTCCTGGCAGAGTTGGGATTGGAAGCCTGGTCTCCCAGGTCCTAATCTGACGCTAGACTACATTGGCTGTCAGAGTTCATTGTTCTTCATTATTATTAGTCTACACCTTATCTATGACGTCAAGTTTAATGGAGCTGCTTCCTTCTTCCTTGCATATCCGCCCTGCAAGTGGGTCAATTTTAAATCCGTACTCTAACAGAGACAAAGACCACATTAGATTAGAAATATCTGTTCTTCGGACCTGGGAAGAAACCCTATGCAGCAGAGTGGGAGTTACTTCTGATGAAATGTGTACAGATAACAACTTCAATCCCTGTTCTGTGCTATCGAAGGGGGTTGAGATTGTGCGAGACTGCCCAAGTCTTATCAGATTCAGTTGGGTAGCTGTGTTGGTCTGACGCAGTCGAAATAAATAAATAAACAAATAAATAAATTGTCCAGTAGCATGTTTGTGTGCATGCACACGAAAGCTTATACCCAGAACAAACTTAGTTGGTCTCTTAAGGTGCTAGTGGACATTTTAAAAAATTATTTCAACTCTTATCAGGTCATCGGGAAGGGGTGGGGGTGGGGAGTTCTGCTGCCACAGAAGCTGCCATGAATTCACCAGAGGTGTGGCTATCTGGGAGAGATTGCTGCCATTGTGTCCATTAGGTAAAGGTAAAGGGACCCCTGACCATTAGGTCCAGTCGTGGCCGACTCTGGGGTTGCGGTGCTCATCTCGCTTTACTGGCTGAGGGAGCCGGCGTACAGCTTCCGGGTCATGTGGCCAGCATGACTAAGCCGCTTCTGGCGAAACCAGAGCAGCGCACGGAAACGCTGTTTACCTTCCCGCCAGAGCAGTATTTATTTATCTATTTGCACTTTGATGTGCTTTCAAATTGCTAGGTTGGCAGGAGCAGGGACTGAACAACGGGAGCTCACCTCGTCGCAAGGATTTGAACCGCCGACCTTCTGATCGGCAAGTCCTAGGCTCTGTGGAGCTTCCTTTAGCCAATCCGAAGCTGCGCCAGCGTCGCGAAAGTCGGTCTCCGCGCAGTGCCAGTTTAGCGCGGGGACTAACCGAATGGGCGGCAGGGTCTGCCAGGTTTGTGGGCTGGATTAACGAGCCCGGTAGGGTGCATCTGGCCCCTGTGCCTTTGCTTGCTGACCCCTGCTCTAGCTGTTAATGAAAGTTGGGTCCTGCATGATACTCCTCTGGCGGCTGAGTTTTCTTTAGAAGCTAGGATTTTAAAGATTTCATGCTGCTTGTAAATGTTTTGTCCCCTATCCGATGCCAGAGCTCCTCTCTCATTTCAAGTCAGAAGAAGCACAGGCGGCCACATAGCTTTAAAATGAACTAACCTTCACATTCAGCGTAGAAGAGGCATCCTAGGAGACAGGCAGCAAGGGTGAAGAAGCTGAGTGCCATCTTCTTAAAAGCACCACGGCTGGTTTGCTAATGAATTGTGGACTGGGAAGTCTCTTGGTTTAGGGGTCCGAAGTGCAAGTACATATTTGTTTTGATTTTGGCTTGACTCCAAGGTCATATTTAAATTTTAGGTTGCTGCATAGACATTTCAGGACATTTCCGAAATGGATGCCCCTATGTAAAAAGTTATTTCATTTTGGGCTCAACCCTCAGTTCATTTCTTACTTTAAGGTCCCTGAATGAATATTTCCAGGTGGTGCCGATTTATGCACAAGTTAAGTAAACTACAGTTTAGGGTGTCCGATTATGAGAGGAAAATTGGGGAGGTGGGGGAATGACTAAGGCCACGACCATACCAGACCATCAAAGTAGTATCATACCACTTTAAATAGCCATGGCTTTGCCCAGAGAATCATGGGAACTGCAGTTTTTTAAAGGCTGATGAGAGCTGTTAGGAGACCATGATGCCCCCCTAGAGAACTACTGCTCCCAGAGTTCTATGGTAAGAGGGATAGTTTAACCACTTTTGCAGGAGTCGTAATTATTATTTGTTTTCTGTATATGCAAATGTGAGAAAACAAGGGAAGCAAATAATTTGTTGGATGCAAACAGATAGAACCAATATCCACAATAACCTTCTCCAACAAACAATTGTTCAAGAAACCTTTGCAATAATGGAAACAAGCATATTAATTTTCCATTTTGGTTGTTTGTTGTAGTATCTAATAAAACATTTAACTTCCTCCAACTCAGTCCTCATTTCTGGGATTTGCATTTCAAAATGAGAAGGAAAGCTTCCATGATACAATAGATCACAGCCCAGCAATCCTGATCCGGCTTAATTTGCATTAGTCTGTACTGATAATTGTCAAAGGGCAGCTAATTAAATTTCCAAACGATGGTGCGTGCCCTGCGTTACTCATGTTCCAGTGCTGCAACATAGGAACTACTTTATACCACATTAGACTAATGCTCCATCTGGCACAGCATTGTCCACCCCAAGTGGCAGTGACTGTCCAGAGTTTCAGCCTCTCGCATCAGAAATGCCAGGGATTGAAGCGGGAACCTTCTGCATGAAAAGCAGACGCCCTACCACTCAGCAATGGCCCATCCCTTAAGTAAGATTCTAGTTCTCAACGTTTTCATCAAAGGGATACTTAGGCTGGATCTAGATGCATCAAAGAAATGTTTCAATTAAACGTGTCGTAGATTTAAACAGGGAAAACAGGTGGAGAAAAATGGGACTCCACAGCGCCATCTGGTGGCACAATGTTATAGGTTAAAAAGGTAAAGGACCCCTGGAGGGTTAAGTCCAGTCAAAGGTGTCTACAGTGGTACCTCGGGTTACAGATGCTTCAGGTTACAGACTCTGCTAACCCAGAAATAGTACCTCGGGTTAAGAACTTTGCTTCAGGATGAGAACAGAAATCGTGGTACCTCAGGTTAAGCACAGTTTCAGGTTAAGAACGGACCTCCGGAACAAATTAAGTTTGTAACGAGAGGTACCACTGTATGGAGTTGCAGCACTCATCTTACTTTCAGGCTGAGGGAGCCAGGGTTTGTCCAGAGACAGCTTTCTGGTTCTTGTGGCCAGCAGGACTGGCGCATGGAGGACCGTGACAAGTTCCAGTGCGCATGGAAACGCCATTTACCTTCCCACCACAGCGATACCTCTTTATCTACTTGCACTGGCATGCTTTTGAACTGCTAGGTTGGCAGGAGCTGGGACAGAGCAACAGGAGCTCACTCCGTCGTGGGGATTCAAACCGCCGGCCTCTGATCGGCAAGCCCAAGAGTTGCTCAGTGGTTTAGACCACAGCGCCACCTGGCGGCACAATGTTATATTGCATATACAACGCCTATACAGTACCCTGGGTTAAGAACTTACCGTATTTTTCACCCTATAGGACGCACCCGACCATAGGACGCACCTTGTTTTAGAGGGGGAGAACAAGAAAAAAAAATCTCCCCCTCTCTGCGCAGCGCCCCTTCAGCGAAGCGGGAGGAGAAATGGAAGGGGCTCCGTTTCTCCTGCCGCTTCGCTGAAGGGGCGCTGAGCAGAGAGGGAAATTTTTTCTTGTTCTCCCCTCTAAAACAAGGGGCGTTCATAAGGATGTGATGAAAATACATAACTGAACATAAATATAGATTGGAAATGGCTGTGTATAGTGAATACTTATCTACTCTTAAAATTCTCATTCTTGATCTTATTTCTTCCTTTTCTTTATCTTCTTCTTGTTCTTTTCTTTTATATTTTACCTTTCATTTATTTTCTTTATTGTGAATATTGTTTTGTAGAGGTGCAAATAATTGTAAATATCAGAAGAGGTAAAATGTTTTCTAATTTTCTATTGGTTACATGTATTTTCCTTTTTTTGTATATTTGTATTTTTTTCTAATTTGTACTCAATAAAATTAATAATAAATAAATAAATAAATAAAGCTCATCATGTGTCCATCTCCTCTTCGCACTTGGCGGCGTCAGGCAACTTCATGTTTTGTCACATGAAATCAAGGAACATGGAGGCCTGCAGTAACGGACCAGCCTCTGGAAGTGCTGTGTATGGTAGGAGAGACTCCACAGCTGCTTTGCTCCCTTCGTATTGCAAGAGGCTCTCTGGCGTCTCATGCTTGAGGAGGGTTTCCACCACTGCCTGAGCCTCGAGGTAGTTCCGCGAGTTTGTGTTCCACGTGATGGAAAACTTCAACACAGCCTCTGGAAGAAGGGGTTTGGGGAAGACACGTCAGGAAGGAGTGCAAGTTGCAGGCAGCGTGGCCACCTTGAACCAACACATGTCTCTTGCGAAGCGTGGCCAGGTCTGGGCACACACCTGACCTGCGCTTTTCTTCAAGGCAGGGAAGCAGATCCAACACCCCTCCCCACCTAGTAGAAACCATTAATGATGGGAGGGGTGACTGGGTTTATTCCAGACTACATGGCTTGCAGGAATGGGTTTTATAATATTTATAAAAGTACAACAACAACAACAACATGCATTATAATATTTGCCCTAGTATTACGGAGCTGGTGGAGCTAATTTCAGGCTGTGTACACACCATACATTAAAAGCATTATCGCTTCTCTCCTGTAAGAATCCTGGGAACTGTAGATTACCCTTCTACCGCATAGCTACAATTTGTAGCACCCTTTACAAACTGCAATTCCCAGGATTCTTTGGGAGAAATGTGCTTTTAATGCCTGTTTTTCCTGCAGCAGGCATGCTCAGCTACCCCTCTGGAAGCTCAATCCCACAGAAGGCTGTGACGGCCACCAACTTGGATGGTTTTATGCAGGAAAGGCTATCAATGGCCACTAGGCACGATGGCTCTGCTCTACCTCCACAGTCAGCGGCAGTAACGTTTGTGAATAGTAGTTGCTGGAAGATGCAGGAAGGGAATACAGAATGCTCTTGTTTCCACAGGCCTCTGGTTGGCCACTGTGAGAACAGGATGCTGGACTAGACAGGCCAATGTGGCCTCATCCAGCAGGCACTTCTTATGTCCTTACGTGGTTCAAGGGTAGAGATTGTGAGAAGGCATCTTCCAAAGCAATCCCACCCCGCAAATAGCTTGGGAGCCTTCTTGCCTCTAGACTAGCCCTCACCCCTTTTCTTGTTCTCACTGGAGTCTTCTTTTGCTTGCCACACCTGCGGGCTCTCTTCCGGCCAATGCTGCCAATGACAGATCTTAAAAACTTGGGGTCGGTGAGATTCGGCAATCGCAGCACCTTGCGCCTGCTGGACCTCCTGAGCAGAGCAGGTTGTGTCTTGCTCCTCGTGAAGTAGGGTGAAATGTGAGGAGTGTTGCAAGCCGGTGCAGAGGCAGAAGGTCTGGCCGAGATGGTAGAGCACGGCTTCTCTGTCAGGGGCTTCTTCCTAACCCAGTGGAACACCAGTATCATACGCCTCTTAGATGGGTTGGACATGCTGAAGAAGGTGCTGGAGGCCCAAAGACCAGGGTGACTTCAAAGCGGAGGACACAGCAGGCAGTTCCCTATCAATGGTGCCAAATCCAAGCAAATGTTAGCTCCAGTCCTGTTAAATCGATCTAGCAATTATGAACGTTAAATAAGGGATTAATTCCTCAGGCAGTATGAAAAGACTTTCTGTGGCTTTTTAATAGATGGGAGCCCCCAACTACAGCCTGTTGCCCCTTCACTCTGCTTGAGTGGGTTATGTCACAATGGTTCCTTCATCAGGTGTTTGCGAGCATGAAAATGCTGTTGGGAGTTTCAGCAATGAAGGCTCAGGCATAACATACTTTTTGAAAGTCTGAACATTTCCTCTTTTTTATTTAACAAAATTTATATACTACTTTATAATTTCTATACAAATTATTAGGAGAGTAAGTTAAAAATATACTGTAGTTGATTCCCTTATAGGCTAGTTTACATACTTTATTCCTTCTTATACTTCTATCCCACCTTTGCTCCACAGAGCATACACACTTCAGCCTCCACCTTCTCCATGTTATCCTGACAGCAATATTGTGAGCTAGGGCCATAGCTCAGTGGTAGAACAACTGCTTAGCATGCAGAAGGCATCAGGTTCAGTCCCCAGCATCTCCTGGTGGGACTGGGAGCGCTCCCTCTGCGTTTCGGAGGCTTCGCGTTACTATCGCTGAAGCCAAGGAGCCTGCATTCGCTCCATAGGATGCACACAAATTTCCCCTTAATTTTGGAGGGGGAAAAGTGTGTCCTATAGAGCGAAAAATACGGTAATTCGTTCTGGAGGTCTGTTCTTAACCTGAGGTATTACTTTAGCTAATGGGGCCTTCCGCTGCCGCCACACCGCCACTGCGCGATTTCTGTTCTCATCTTGAAGCAAAGTTCTTAACTCGAGGTACTATTTCTGGGTTAGCGGAGTCTGCAACCTGAAGCGTCTGTAACCCGAGGTACCACTGTAAATCGCTTTTTCTTTGCAGATCTAGCTGAGTCCTTTACACAGGAAGCTGCCTTATACCAAGTTGGACTATTGGCCTATCTAGCTCAGTATTGGTGACTCTGACAATAAATACTATAATGGCTCTCCAGAGTTTCAGGGAAGAGTCTCCCCCAGCCCTATGTCAGGGACTGAAGCTAGGGCTTCTTGCTGGCAATCCTACAACATTTGAAGGGCACCAGGTTCCCCTCTTTTGCCCTGGGTTCAGCAATTAGCACATCAAATGAGCTGGGCCAGTTCTTTTAACCAAGTTCTCTGGAGGGGAACAGACCATCCCCTCCTCTCTTCCTTATTTTCTTTTAATTAGGCTTGCAGATGAACTCACAACACAAATCCAGCTTTCATCATCTCCTGTCCAATATTTACAGGAAGCAACTATCGGGGAAAAACCCCATAATCCTTGCCTGGCTCTACAAAAATTAAATTGAAACACACACACACACACACACACACACACACACACACACACGACACAGGCTTTGAAACTCTTCTGTTCAAAGGCAGCTTCCCTTGTTGAATAAACCCAGGATGCCTGAAAGATTCCCAATGAGATGAGTAAATACAATTATTAATTCATCACAAATGGTGCATTCTGCTGGAGAGCTAATAATGTTCTATCCTATTTCTTTTCCTGAAAGCAAATGCATTCTCAGATTTTGTTTTAATCTGCTGGTAACTGTCTCATCTGGAAAGAAAAACAGGCAAACGAAACCCTAGACTCTGTGCAAACAGTTTAAGGAACAAGTTGGCATTCACTGACAAGTCCCAACTTTCACTTCCTCCTACAGAGACATTTTTAATGATTAAACAGCAGCTGGGACACTGTCCTTGTCTTTATCTAAAAGTGCCCAGAATTGTTTTGAAAAATGGCTGAAGAAGATTCCCCACTCCTGACGTGTCAGCACCAAATCCTTGGTTGCTCTGCTTTAAGCTGGAAGTTGAACAATGGTTCCACTTCCAGACTTGAAGACCCTCCAGGTGTTCCTATTTTCCAGGGATGGTCCCAGATTTACAGAAGCCACCCCATTTTCTGATTTCACCCCAGAATGTCCTGCTTTTCCTTAGGACGTCCCTATTTTCATTGGAGAAATGTTGGAGGGTGTGGAGTTATATGATCCCCGAGCCAAGGAGATAAGGAACTATACGACTGGTATTGGAAGGTTTTTAATATTTGATGTTTTATTATATTTTTATATTCTGCTGGAAGCTGGCCAGAGTGGCTGGGGAAACCCAGCCAGCTGGGCAGGGTATAAATGTTGTTGTTGGTCTTATTATTAAAAATCTGAAGGCAGCCCTGTATAGGGAAATTTTTAATGTTTGATGTTTTATGATGTTTCTATTGTAGGAAGCTGGCCAGAGTAGCTGGGGCAACCCAGTCAGATGTGCGGGGTAATATTAATAATATTATTAATAATAATAATAAATAGGACATCCCTATTTTCATCGGAGAAGAGTTGACAGGTAACTTGTAACAATCAGGGAAATCCCTTTTCTCCAGCCCCAAATGTTGGAGAGGGAAATTTTGATTGGGACCACAGTTTGTGGCTAAAAGGTTTTACTCTCAATCATTATTCTCTAACCCTCCCAGTCGCAATTTAGCAGGGTTGTTTGTGTGTGTGGATGCAAACGCAGTTGTATTTGGAAAGAGCTGACTCTTGGAGAGAAGGGACGGAACATAGAGACAGATATGGCAAAAGCAATCTAGGAAATCTGGCTCCGGGACTGACTGCTTTCACAATAAAGGGGAGCCTGTTTGTAATAGCTAAATAAATAAATAAATAAATAGATTAATCACCATCAGTCATAATCCACAGTGTGATAACACAACCACCTGCACCACTATTCCATTAACTTGGATTTTGTGAGGGGTGGGAAAAGGAATCTGAGCAGAGTAACCATAAAAGGGGGGTGGGTAATTTTTTGTTCACAGTATTAAAAAGTGAGCATAGTGTAGTTGTTCCATTGTGAGTGCCTA